TATTACCTACCGCTGTACATACATGTACCTACATGATATATTGGCCAGTCTCGATGCATATGCCACACACGGCTACATACACTAGAATCTAGTTACCCGGAGGATTTCTCAACGGCTGACGTCGCCCTGCATATGGCATTGACTGCTGTTTTATTCTTAACACACTTTAGAGCTAATTAGCCGCTCTCAGCGCAATACTCCAGGCAAACTTCGACATCTGCACCTATGTTGAGGCAGGTACATGTATGGCTATTCAGATATGTGTGGTAACTATCACATGGTCGGTTTTTGTTAATAGGTCCTTATGGCTAATTAATCGTACGTACGTACGCGTAGATCTAGCTAGAAGCTTCGATATAATCACGCATCATGAGAGTCGAATTGACAACCGTAGATAACTAATTCCAATCGGATCATGAGCTATCCCTGATTGCAGACCTGACGATATGGCGTTCAACTAAGAGTATACCAGTTAGAATGCGTGTTGCTACCTAGCTAAATATAAATACAGTATCTGTCGCACTTCTCTTGTTATTTAATCTTAGTATCCCGGTACAGTACCTACATCTTAGTTCAGCTTTCACAGCTGATATAATTATATAAAATTCGTCTTCAGCTAGATCGCGCCCTGTATGGAGAACGGTAATTAAGATTTCCGTAACTACATTGCATGTAGAGTAGAATGTATATGTGCGCATGCAAGAGCCGGTGTCCTGCAGCACATGTAGTCTACTGTAGGCAGAGTACCTAACTACTCTAGTGCCTACATGTACGTAGGGTACGTTTTCTAGCAGGTAAGCACTGTATCGATTATTAATCTTGACAGCATGCACCCTGCAGAATTTTTATGGATAAGCATGTAAAGTACCTATCAAATCTTTCATTTTTGTCCTGCAGCAGCTGTACATAAATCCTGACCCAAGCACAATATTGGGTCACAGAATTTCTGAAACCAACACTCCCAAGGGGAAACAAGCAATTAATACTCAACCCCAGTAACGTGGACTGGAAGAACATTTGGTCCTGATTGGAGTTCTCAATAGTCAGCCACGAATTGGTGAGATCTAAGAACAATGAATGTTGAGGCTGATTTGTGCACTTCTCTCTCGCTGTGCAAAAAAAAAAAAACTTGTCACATGCTTCCTGCTAGTACCACACTCTTCAATAATCAAAAAAGTCTTGTTTTGTAATAAGTCTTTCAGACTCGCCGATATAGTCTCAACACTTTAGCCATTCATCCATATGCCCTTCCAATCCCAGAGAATCTCAACGTAGAAAACACTGATGACACCGCTATATTTGGCCCTAGGAAGATATAGGCACACTCATATCTGCAGATCGGGCCAATCTACTAGTATCATGATCGGCTGCCGTTTGGTCGGAAGGATGAAATGTTGTCGGGGTGTTAAACGAGCTACTGGAGCATCATTGCGATAGTGATAATATTAAAAAAAAAATCAAATTTCCATGCCTGGACTATGATATGGTGGGTATATGCGTCAGCACAAAGTTGATAGCTGGGGATAAATCGGACAACGTCAAGGGAGAATAGAATTTGTTACCGGGTCCTAAATATTTTGCATGTATGCTTAATTCCCTTACATGAGACATCATTCGAAGTTTCTCTATGGTCACCTGGATTTGTAAAAGCATTGTTGTAGGGTATTACATGATAAGCCGCTGGATTTACTTGAAACCCGCAGCTTATAAAGCTAGTACCCCGCAAACTGCGGATATCGTTCCAATTAGCGGGGGGTTCAAGATCCAGGAGTGAAAGCTCAGATATCGATATCAATTTCGGAGCAAATGATCATGAACTATCCCCAATGCCTTATGGACACACCCAAATATTTTCTCGATCAATCGACCCAGTGGCATCGTATTAATTGAATTCCTCTATTTTCGAGGTTCTCCGTAATTGCCACTCGTCGTGGGTCTAAAAAGTTGTATACTGGCGGAGATACTCATTTTTTTAATTGGGAGATGTATATATGCTTCAGGTGAGAAACGTAACCTTCGGAGGGCTAGGATTTAGGCTAAATCCAACACTAAGGTATAACAAATATACTTTCATTTACATCATACGTATACGTATACCATAATGTCGTTTTATAATTTATTCAATGTGTGTACTTATCATCATAAAGAATCACTCGATTAGTTGATCCATTTACATTTAGGTGTCTCTTAATTGACTCCATTTGGACTTGAGGGAATTGGGTTGTGGATCTGAATTATGACAACTATAGAATAGGCTTTAGCTACTCTAGAGTCCGTGCATGAACATCACCTACCTTGCTAAGCTACAAGATTGGAAGGTTGTTCAGTACATTAGTACTAGGGGTGTGCCAACTCGCGACCGCGAGTTATTGGATTATGGGTATCAAATAATTATGGAAGGCCTTCGATGGGGGCCTTCGGCCCCCCCATTCCACCTCCTCTGTTTAATTCTCCCTCTAGAATTATGAGAGGCCTTCGGCCCCCGTCCTCCTCCTCTCGAGTGCTCAGTACTTTGATGTGTCATGCTTACTAAACACCCATGTCGGTGTCGACCAATCAGACCGCAACGAATTAAGAAAAAGTGTATTCTAGTACATAGTAGACATGTACCGAGTACATTGTCGCATTTGTAGGCAGGCTAGGCCAGGCCACTTATATAGTACTCGTTAATCTACAATTTCTGGAGGGAGATTCTATCTTGTTAGCTGTACTTACTCCATTTGTGAGAAATATGTTGGCATCCGTGGTATGTACCTACATGTAGGGGATATGCACGCCAAGACAGCCCAGAAAAGCGTTAAAACCACAAGCTTTTGTAGCCCCCACACGTGTGGTCTTTCAATGCTTCGATGACGGACCAGCCTCAGCAACCACAGCAGCCTGACGCAAGACCGGAAACTCGCATCTGGCTCATCAGCTCTGCGTTTGGCTCTCTTGGCTATGCGGTTGCCCAGGAAGCACTGAAGCTAGGCGACTACGTTGTTGCTGGGTGCAAGCGTGAGGAGATTGAACTCGAGCGACGCACCAGTGCAGCTCAAGACGACGGGTCTAGGGAAGATTCTGAGGATGAAGGCCGCAGTATACAGTATTTGAAGAGGATTGGGGGCGACTCGTGTATTATTGTGGAATTGGATACCCGGTACTCCCAAGTTATCCGCCTTTAGACCGACCTTCCTCGTTTCTTATCATCAGGGCCTTAGGAACGTATCGTTATGCCAATCTGCACTTGCTGAAGCGATCAATGTATGGGGTCGCATCGATGTGATCCTCAACTGCGACTCTAAAAGTGACTGCCCTCTATGATACTGCATACAATAGAGGTGCTAGCTAACATACGGGTACCCGGATTTTCTACGCAGCTTACGCCGGCACTCTAGAAGAGCTTAACCCTACGCACATCCTCGACCAGTTTGAGTCCAACTTTTTCGGCCCGATTAACATGATGAAATCGGCATTGCCATTCCTGAGGAAACAGCGTGGTGGACATATCGTGAATGTTACCGGATTGACTGGTCACATGGGAACACCTGGATTGTCGGCTAGATGTGCCAGTGATCATGCATTAGAGGGTTTTACTGATGTCAGCTGTGCACCTTTTTTTCTCACCCTTAGTGTTTAGTGGCTCTAATGTTGATAATAGGCGTTGGCGTATGAGATTGCGCCTTTCAACATCAAAGTCAGCATAGTGCAACCGCCATTAGAGGTGAAGTAAGTACCCTTAATACACCCCTGCATGCCTCAATTAACCTCAATGTTAGTGTTCTTCTATCACCTCTCCATCTACAACCTTCAGCACAGCAAGCATACAACGACCCAACACACCCTTTCAGGAATATGACCAATATTCTCTCCTTATCTCCACCCCCAGAGCATATAATGTCGGAAACAGTATCGATAATTTTGCATATTGCGGCACTGGAAAACCCACCGGGTAGAATTGTGGTTGGGAATGAGGGCATAGAACAGGTAAAGGACAGAGTGAAGACAGTATCGGAAGAACTGGAAGAATTTTTAGAGGCGAGTTTGGGGGCGGATATACCTAAGGAGTGATATGCCATCGGATAGAGCGGTAGCCACTTATGAAATCGTGTTTGAATTACGGGGACATTTGGGGAGGAAGTCTGGAGCTGTGAAGATGGTTTTTTATTATATATCTTTGATGCTGCATAGCCTCAACCCAACTTTGAGGTTGCGGAGGTGCCAGGGTAAACAACTGGAATGCTTCTGCGGAGTAGAAAATTAGCGGGGACTATTTGCACTTCTAGTGTAGGTTACTTATCGCTCATGAGAAGTTAGATTTCAAATTCTTATCTCAATTTGAATTATTTTTTTCCGTACACGGTTTCTTTGTAAATAATACTACCTGTATGTACGTACTTGTACTTATGTATGTATGTTGCCGTTGTTCAATCCTTGCGTCAGCAGATTATGCATCAATCTGCACCAAACGGGCCGCTGCCGTTCTATTTTGGCGAATTGTCACCGTATCTGAGCACGGACCACGCCGCTTTGAAGCGGAGATTTATCCTTCTGGAATCCGAGTACTCGTGACCTTGAAAGTGGCTTCGCCTGCGCCTAATTACACCAAAAGGATCACCAACTAGCCTCTTTTTATCCCCGGAACTGGGCTAAGTGATCACGAGTGATGTTTCATGTCAAGAGCCACCAAGCTGGTTGCCAAGACCGCCTGTATCAGAGACATTCTATTGGACTAAGAGCTCCCACGAGGTACAAGTTCTGGTTCTTTGGAGCTGTCCTTTTCTTATCACGATACGTAATTGCTCGGGTCCGGGATCGAAGTTGGCCTTTGTACTTCGCTCTTATAACTACACCAGTCTTGCTTTTTGAACGGTGTATTTACTCCAACCTCAATCGGCCCCCTTTCTAACCCACAAACAACCCCTTTCTCGTCTGAGAATACAACTCTCTTTGATTGAAAAATGCCATCTATGACTGTGAGTACCGGGGAGCCGGAATTGACTTCGGGTCGACAAACGTCAATGGGTTGGGTGGTTCACAGGTTTGATAGCTTGTGTATCGGGAAGTTTGGTGCAGGGATTGTGGAGGACATCATCAAGTTCGTTATCCCCCCAGATTAGTAGTCATATTTCTTTCAGCAGACTTACTAATTGAAATAGACCAGGAGTATTAAATAATCGACAGGTTGTTGTGTGTTCTGCGATGCAGATGGGAGGTGGCGCGGACAGAAACATGACTCGCCAGTACGGATATACTGGATCTGTATATTCTATGACCAGGAGCTAACCATACTGGTTCAGGTTAAAATCGGCGGTCGAAGCTTCGTTAACTCACCAGTCCGAAGAGTACTTAGCACTCTTTGAGACTATCGAAGAAGACCATATTCGGATGGCCAGCGAATTGATAAACTCGGCGGAGAGACTGGAACATCTCAAGGAAGAGATCATAGATGAATGTAACCTGGTTACAAGATTGATAGGAGCTTCGCAGGTTGGTGACCAGGATCTTAGCTCTCTGGAAGTGTAACTGACGCCTATTATTACTGCAGATACTTGGCCAGATGAATCCTAGGGCAAAGGATATAATCCTTGGTGTCAGGGACCGACTAAGCTGCATATTGATGACCTCGATTCTGCAAGACCGAGTTAGTAGATCTGTACAGGGTTTGTGGAAACCTAGGCTGATTCAAGTGATATAGGGCATTTACTGCGAGTACATCAACCCGGAGGGGATTGTCAACAGTTCATACCCCGGGAAAAACGTACTAGATCAGAAGCTTTGTGATTTTGTCAGTGAAGAATTAACAAAGCAAGTACAAGAATGCGAGCGTAAAACCATTGTGGTTACTGGTCAGTTTTCTCGAGATTTATGTGCATGGGAATGAATAGTTGTACTGATGAAACCAGGGTACTTTGGTAATATGCAAGGCGTTACCGCTGGAAGGGACTATGGCGACCTTACTGCAGCAACGTTGGCAGTTGGATTAGGGGCAAATGAATTGAAAATATGGAAAGAGGTGGACGGGATCTTCACAGCCGACCCAAAAATATGCTCGACCGCTCAATTGATACCTGTCGTAACGTCAGACGAAGCTGCAGAGATGTTGCAGTATGGAATACAGGTTGGCCACTTTCCTTGTGAATTATTTAAGTCTCAAGTATAGGAAAACTAAAAGAGGAAATGCTAGATGATACACCCATTTGCGATGGAACTGGTTGCTAAGGCCAGCATTCCGATCAACTTTAGGAACATTCACAACCCAAAAGGCAATGGAACTGTCGTTTCCGACGATGTCGCTGCTAGTTTTGGGAATAAGCTTCAAAAAATCCTCCCAAAAGCACCGACAGCTATCACCATCAAGGCCGGCATTGCTGTGCTTAGCATCAACTCGAAGAAAAGGCACATATCATGTGGATTTTTCGCCACTGTGTTCTCAATTTTGAACAAACACGGCCTCATGGTAGACCTTATTTCTACCTCAGAAACGCATGTCTCGGTGGCCCTAGGCTCGAAATTTACTGAGGAACGTTTGAGGGAGGCGATCAAAGAGCTCAAGCAACACGGAAATGTCGAATTAACCAGGCACCTTGCGATTGTCTCCTTAATTGGCAGACAGATGAAGCGTCTCGTTGGCGTTGCTAGTTGCATGTTTTCTACATTGGCAAAGGAGGGTGTGAATGTTGAGATGATCTCACAGGGTAAGTGAAATGATTGATTTTTGCTTTTTCCAATAGTCCGAAGAAAAGATTAACGTGTTCCCTCGTAATAGGAGCAAGCGAAATCAATATTTCCTGCGTGATCAAGTTGGAAGACGCTGTTCGTGCCATGAGCGTCTTGCATACTAAGTTATTCTTGCATAAGATGGATTTCGGGCCAAGTGCAAGTCAGAAATGCGCTATCAACTACGATTCTTAGTCATTTGTGATTAGCAATTGGGTTAGGTGTTTGATTGGGTAGATTTTAATCGTGGCTTTATCTTGCCTTTAACTAAGCATATAGTTGTTTAGTAATTGCCTCTGTTTTGTAATAGCTGTCGTTTAGGATACTTTAGCATGGATAATAATTATTAACGATACGGGAGGATGGTCGATTGAGGGGTGGTAATGATTTATTTATCAACTTTAGACAAGAAGCTCAATACTATTTAGAAGCTTAACAGAAATACCGAAGTACTTTATGCTCTAGGTTTTAATTTTGTAATATGTAGGCGGACATTCTACCATGTTTCTGTATGTACATCATGGGACAATATAAATACAATATATAGGCTTCTTAACAGAAGCGCAACATGTGGGGATTATTCAATCATTAAAAATCACTCTACAGCTTAAACACCTCCACATCCCCGCCCTTCCTCAGAACCGACCCAACCATACCCCCCACAGGGCCCTGCTCCTCCCTCCCATCCCTAAAATCCTTCGGTCCCGCAATCCAACCCACAAACCCCTCCGGCCCGGACACAAACACCCTCGCCCCACCGCCCACCGCCGCCTCCACATCCCTCACCCCAATGCCCCCCTCCCCATCCACAAACACCCTCACCACCAGCCTCCCAACCCCGCGCGGATCCACCCTCCCCACCAGGCGCGCAACCTCATCCGCCATCGCCCCCAGCGTCTCCTCCCGCCGTCGCACAGCCCACAGGATCTCCGCCCTCTCTTTCCCCTCACCACCGAGAAGACTCGACGCAACCTGCAGCGCAGGCGCAATCCCAGTCCCACCAGCGATGAAAACGACCTTGCGCTCGCCGCTTAGGTCGCGCGGCGTGTATGCGTAGTCTATCTGCGGGCCGCGTAGCTCGACCGTGGCGCCTTCAGGGAGGCTGTATAGGTAGCGCGACATCTCGCCGCCGGGCTCTTTCTTGATGAGGAGTCTGATTGTGCCGTTGTCGTGGGGTGGGAGTGGGGTGTAGGAGCGGGCAATTTGCAGTTGGGGCTGCTTTATCTGGAGGGAGAGGATGCCGGTTGTGAATGGGAGTGGCGGGGGTGGGGAGGGGGTGGTGGGGGTGAGGGTGAGGGTGAAGATGCTGGTTGGGGTGGGGGTGGAGGTGGAGGTGGTGATGGGCGTTTTGGTGGTGAGGGTGTAGGGCGTGAAGGTGTGGGGGTTGAGGGTGCGGGGGGTGGGGGGGTGGTGGTGTAGGTGGCGGCGGCGAGGGTTGTGAGGGTTGCGGCGGCGGCGGCGAGGGCGAGTGGCTTGTTGGTGCGGGGTGGTGGGGGTGTGGTGCTGCTGTAGTGGGATGATTGTGGTGGGCGGGGGCGGAATTGGAGCGTGCGGAGAGGGCGGAGGGTGCGTGGGAGGAGGAGGGACATTGTGGCCGGGTGGGTTTGAGACGCTGGAATGACAGGAGGGGTTGGTTGTGGGGGATCTAGATGGATGGCTGCTGCGGGGGATCTAGATGGATGGCTGTTGCTGTAGTATTGAGGCTCAACTGAATTGTGGTTACTAACCATGTAGCTCTGTCGTGGTCACTGCACTGCCGGAACCTCTGTATCTACTACTAACTAATACTCAGACACAATGCGTTTCAAGACAGATATCACAAACATCACGACCTTCACAAGTCAGTCAAACACCTCACTCAATATATATATGCCTAGCTCGTTAGCTCTCTCTGCTGACACTCAATTCCAGAGCTCATATCATGCCTGAGCTCGATATCAAAAGTCGCGTGGCTCAAGCTTGACGAGGAGCAGATCCACTTCACATTGATGCAGGAGCCCACCGTGCAAGTCTTTGCGTACGCCCCTCCACCCCACCCCATCCCCACCCCCACTTCCACCTCTAAAATATTCCTACTAACCCAAGCAACCCTCGCAGAACTCTCTCAAAAGTACCTCCCCCCCCCCCCCTTCCCCTCCCCATAACCACAGCTACTAACCCTCCTCCCAGGAAACCCTCTTCAGCACCTACCGCATCGCCTCCGCCTCCTCCAACACCATCAACCTCGAAGTGCCCCTCCCCATCCTCCTCCGCGCCCTCCGCTCCTGCGCCTCCTCCCCCACCGCCACCCTGCGCCTGACCAAGCGCGCCGCCGACAACGTTCCCATCCTGTGCATCACCGTCAGCACCACACCGTCCTCCTCCACGCTCGTCACGCAGGAGGTCCCCGTGCGCGTGCTCGCGCCGGCGACTGTCGCGGGGCTGTGCGAGCCGGAGGTGCCGCCGCCGCAGGTGAGTGTTGTTCTCCCGGGGCTCGCGGCGGTGAGGGGCGTGGTGGAGCGTATGAATCGGTTGGGTGTGAAGAGGGTGCGGTTGGAGGCGAGGAGGACGCAGGGCGGAGGGAGGGAGTTTAGGATGGGCGTGGTGGGGGAGGAGGTGACGGTGGAGAGTGTGTGGAGGGGGCTGGGGACGGGGTTGGCGGTGGGGGAGGAGGATATGGAGGAGGTGGGGGAGGAGGGGGAGGAGGGGGTGGATGGGGGGTGGGCGGGGGTGACGGTGAATGGGAGGGAGTGGGCGAGGGTGTTGAGGTGTGTGGGGTTGGCGAGGAGTGTGGTTGCTTGTGAGTCTCTCTCTTTTCGAAATTTCTGGTGTTTTGTGGGTTTGGGGTTGGTGGGCTGATTGGTGGTGGGGGAGTAAGTCTTTGTGAATGACTTTGCACTCGTCGTGTATGTCTACCTCACCGATAACGAGAGTGACGCCGTGATCACGGTACGTCCCTCTCTCCGTTCTTGCAGTAACCCCCTAATCCCTAATCCCTACTTTTACTTCTCCTTCTGCCGCCGTGACAGTGGCTAATGGGTAGGCAGTACTACATGAGCTCCCTCAGCGACTGAGACCGAACCTTTGTAGTAGTATCAATAGTAGTAATAATCAACCTAAATGAAAAGAAACAGTAACCAAAACTAGTATTTACCTAGTAGCTACATGTAGTAGAATAATACCTAGTGACTATCTAACCATGAACAAGAGCAGTTAGTATTTTCCATAACATGTAGCAATAGCCAACAATAGTAGCAATAGTAGCAGTAACAAACAGTAGTAAAAAAAAAAAAAAAAAAAAATAGTAACAACCCCAAAACGGCCGAGCAGAACAAGACGACACTACTCTTCCTCCATACAATCATCCACACACCCGTAGCCAATGATACGCCCGGCACGTATATATAGAGAGTACAAGTAGTTTCCAGCCTTCGAATCAGTCCAATATACAGGCAAGCCGCTTTGCGGCATATTTCTCTTTTGCCTGTCAGTCGGGGCTCTCAGGCCGCTGCGTGGCCCTCGACCCCTCCTGGCAGGCAAAGTCCATCACTATATCTAGATCTGCTCTGGGCAATATGTGCCTTTTCTGATATCCCCGATATATCAACGGATAGGGTCAGACAATTTCTCCAGTTGAAACTACAGGTATATCCCTTTAGCAGCCACCAGCCACCAAGCTGCTAAAATCAAACTACTAATCGATCCCCAGGACCAGTAGAAACCTTATCAACACTCTGACAACACTCGGCACAATCACAATGCCCTATGGTAATATCCAACACAGCATGTTTCAAGTGAAACAGAAACATCGCTCAATGAACCAATCAGAAGATTATAAAAGCACATTGCATATGCAGGTTATAATTATATACTTATTAGATGTAAATTAGGTACAGTACAGTAGTATGAGACATACCACGGGTCCTTTAATTTGGATACATGTAGTAATTAGCCAGCCAGGCTAGCTACATGTAGAGTATGTATGCAGTATGTAGTAGTAGTAGAGTCAACTAGCTTGGTAGGCACATGTGCAGATACATGTCTCACCTCCGGCCCCCCCCCATGCCCAGCCGGCTGTGAAACGGCGCTAGGATTGGAAATACTCATATTGGAGGTGGTGGTGGGTGGCGGTTCATGGAGTGTCACTCGGTTGGTTTTGGTTTGGCTCTGCTCTGTGTGGTGAGCGGGCAGGGCCCCCCGCGGGGGGGGGGGGGTTGAGTGTTGGTATTTATGGCTTGTGGGTAATATTTGTCCCTGTAGGTATAGATATGGACAACCAGATATCGCACAAAATGTATGGATATATTTATCTATCTATTTACAGCCCCTCCACCACACCCCCCCCCCCCCCACCGCACCCCCCCCCCCCACACACAACACCACAACAACCACACCCTACGCCCACCCCTCCTCCTCCTCCCACTCCCCCCCTCCACCAACACCACACCCCCCACCTCCCTCCCAAAGAAATCCCTCTCCCCCCACCCCCACCCACCCCTCCCCCGTCCCCCCCACCTCCTCCCCCGCCAGCCCCAACCCCCATCTCCCTCGGATACCTCCTCACACAATAAAACCTCGCCAACGCCCTCACCGCCATCTCCACCGGCATACTCTCCTCCACCTCGCCATCCACATCCCCGCCCGCCAACCAGTCATCGCGCAGCTCCGGCCGGCAATGTAGATAGATGTTGGTGATGACGCGCATATTGCTCTGCCGCCACTTGCGCCCGCAGTACGGCACCTGGCCCTTGAACAGCTTGAGCGTGTACAGGCGCAGCAGCGGGTGTGCGCACTTGAGCGGCTTGCGCAGGATCGCCGAGGATTTGTATTGTACGAGGGAGAGGTTGCGGTGGGATTTGTGTTTTACGGTTTTTTGGAGGGTGCGGAGGAGGGTTATGGCGGTGAAGAAGGGGCGCCAGGAGAAGAGGGTTGTGGGGTCGGGGGCGGTGGTGGGCGGGGGCGGGAGCGGGGTGGAGTGTGGGAATTTGGGGATTGGCGGGGGGCAGGCGGAGTCGGGGGAGGAGTCGGGGGTGCGCTGGGAGGCGGCGGCGGCGGCGGTGGGGTGGGTGGTGGTGGTGGGGGGGCGGGGGTGGGGGTGAGGGAGTGCGTGGTGCAGAGGTGGAAGTAGGATTTTTCGGCGCGGTCGGTGCGGGTGGTGACCATTATTACGGTGTCGTGCTGGTTGAAGAGCTTCAGCACCAGGGGGAGGTAGTTGGAGTCCAGCAGCAGCTGCGTCAGGTATTCAAACTTCAGGACATCTGTCGCCGCCGCAAAAACACGATTAACTTATCATTTCCATGCTGCTTCATGCGGGCTCACTCGGCTCGTTTCTTATACGTACGGGAAACTCGAAACCATTTCAGCAGCCCCAGCAGGATTGCGCTGACAGCCTTGCTAGTAATCTCGCGCATGCGCTGCGCATCGCGCCGCTTCTCCTCGGCCTCCTTCTCCTCCTCCCAGAGCTTGTGGTTAGCGTTGAGGTCTGGCTGGCCGCCCTCGCCGGCAGCTTTAGCGTTGGCAGCAGTGCTGGCGTTGGCGTTGGGGTTGGTGCTGGAGAACTTGTTCTGCTCCTGCGTGTTGCGGCCAAAGATGTTCCAGGAGCCCTTGATGCTGGCGCCAAAGTCCATTTTCTCATCTGGTGGGTAGGTATTGTCAGCGATGGTGGTAGTGAGAGGAGGGAAATGAAGGGGACAAACCTCTTCCGTTTTCTTGGTCCGCGAAGGATATCTGCTGGCCCTGGGGCGGCAGCGGAGGGGCTTGCAGTGGTGGTGCTGTGACGGCGGCCAGTATGACCTTCAGCATGACAATCACTAGTGACTGCAGCTGCGGCAATGCCACTTTCTGTCCCCAAGGTCAGTTCTCAACACAAACAGAAACCAGACAACACAAATGCCACATACAAACAGCTCCTCCACCGCCTCCAGCCTCTTCTCCTCCCACCTCTTCTCCCTCCCCCCCTCCTCCTCATCCACCTTCACCCCCTTCCTCTCCTCCAGATCCACATCCCACCCCCTCTCATACCTCTCATACGCCTCCTTTTCATCCCACAGCTGCCGCATCGCCAGCGTGCTCCTCACGCGGCCCGCAAACAGCTCGCCGGCCTCCTTGATACTCGCCGGCACCCCCAGCTCACACTCCTCCTTCCACCAGCAGCCGCCCGTGCCCCCGTCGCCATCGCCCGCAGGGTACAGAAACGGGAAATTATTGTTCGTCTGGTAGTTCTGCTTCTTCCCGCCCTTTCCGCCGCCCGGTGACGGGGGCGGCGACGGCGCAGGCGTCGCAATGTGCACCGCCTTCTCGAGGATCGAGCCTGCAGTCGCCAGCGCATCCACACCCGTCGGCTCTGAGCGCGGCGGCGTGGCGGCGACGGTAGGCAGGAAGGACGCGGAGCTCGACGAGAGGTCGAAGGGGAATGCGCAGCGCGGGGGGTCGTAGACGGGGTATTTTGCGATGATGTCGTTGCGGAAGCTCTGGTAGTCGAGCGGGGAGGCGGTGATCTCCTTCTTGTCGATTTCGGGGGCGAGGCCGGCAGCGACGCGGGCGAAGCGCTTGACGGCGGGGAGGTGGTGCTCGGACGAGCCGAAGGTGAGGAGGAGCGTCTTCCAGGTGAGGGCGAGGAGCGCGTGCAGCGGGAAGGTGGTGGTGTCGTCGTCGGTCCAGCGCAGGCGGGAGAGTGTCACGGCGAGGAAGCCGAGCAGACCCCCGGGGACGGGCAGGTCGGTGCATTCGCTGCGGAGACTCTCCTGCTCGATGTCTTCGCCGGGATGCACGCCCGGTGCGGTGTCACGCCGCCTGGTAACCTCGATGAGGAAGTACAGCACGCTCAGGGCCACCCTGAGCTCCTTCCCGGCCTGCTCCCTCGCCGCCAGCTCCGCCTCGTCGAGCTTCCCCGTCGCAACAACCTTCTCCACAAACCCCCACTCCCGGCCAACACTCCCGCGAACGCAATTAAACACCCTCTCGACCACGCCCGCCGCCCGCACAAGCGCCACATTCTTCTCGATCCGCCACAGCTGCTCCTCTTCCCCGCCGCGGACCTCGCCGAAGCAGCCCTGCACAACATAAAACAGCCCCTCCAGGCCCACGAGCCGCTGCTCCGCGTCCGCGTTCTCCAGCAGGTCTGCACACCGCGCAATGAACCGCCGGCGCTTGACGTCCTTGCTGGTGTTCCATTTCGGCGGCGTCTTTGGCGGGGCGCTCTGGTGCGGCGGCTGCGAGAGCGTGGCGTACGTGCGCTCAAAGGTGGCGCGCGAGGATAGGATCAGCGCGGTCGTGTCGGCGCTGTAGGTGAACCACTCGGAGAGCTCGGCGGGGAGGCTGTCGGCCGTGTCGTAGACGAAGGTGTAGTCGGGCTGCTTGAACTTGCCGGCGTCGACGACGACGCGGCGGAGCTGCTGGAGGCTGAGGGAGTCGGTGGGGTCTGGCTGTTGTTGGGAGGGCTGTGGGGGGGTGTCGCGCAGTTTGCTGGTGTCGAGGGAGAGGCGGGAGGTGAGGTCTGAGCTGCCGGGGTTGGGGGGAGGGAGTTCATTGCATAGGGTGGTGGGGGTTGTTGGGAGATTGTGGCCACGGGTTTCATGGGTGGAGGTCTGTCTGTAGCTGTGTGTATGTAAATAGATGGTCTGTATCTGCGACTATCTCGAGTCCAGATGCAGAGTTGTTATTCCCGTATTGCTGTAGATGGATCTAGATGGTTGAGCTAGATGAGCAGCGATGGACTGCCAGAGCTAGCTCTAGGTGAGAGTGGGGTGAGAAGAAGAAGAGTGTGAGAAGAAGAAGAGTGTGAGAAGACAGTGTGAGAAGAGTGTGAGAAGACAGTGAGAAGACAGCCAGTCAGGATAGATGTTGGTCAACAGTTCTCAACACTGTATAATCCATAGCTGGAGAGAACTGGTGCCGTACACACACAACATGTCACTCGCGAGCCCCCGTTACCCTCTCTGCCCGGGGTGGGGGTATATGGTAGCACAGACCACAATATGCTGCCCGAGATGGAGACACAGGCTTAGAATCTTTGCTCTGGCTGTTACCCTGCACACTGAGATACGAGACTGCCTGCACAGGACTCGGCGTCAGGGCTTTTTCTAGAGACCGAGACTCAACCACCACCGCAATCACGATCATCTGATAAGCACCTCCACCCATGCACCGCCTCCGCCCCCTCGCCCGCCTCGCCCGCCCCCTCCACACCACCCCCGCCCCCTCCGCCGCGCGCATCTCCATCCCCACCACCACACCCCCCACACCCACCCTCCAACAAACCCTCCACTCCCCCCTCCCCATCACCCCCACCTGCCCACCCCCCACCTGCCCCTGCACCCCCAACCCCGCCCTCCCCCCCTCCCTCCCAATCGACACCGCCACCCCCTCGCCAACGCCCTCCCCCGCTACCACCGCCACCTCCTCATCTCCACCGCCCGCCCCAACTGGGGCCCCCGCATCGAACACGACCCCGCCCCCAACCTCGCCGCCGACATCAAATCCGTCTCCACAGCCCACAACCTCCGCGACCCCTTCGCACCAACACTCGTCACAAACTCGTCCTTCGAGCCACACCCCGCCGCCGCCGCAGGCAACGACGCAGACTCAGCGTGGGTGCTGCCGGGGAACATCTACATCCCGCGCATCCCGCGCACCACGCACGCCGTCACGGCGCTGCTGAAAGCGTATCTTCTCCCCGGCGGCGACCCCGCTACGGCAGAGTTCGAGGGTGTTCGGGTGGTGGATAAAGTGCTCGTGCTGATCTGCTCGCACATGTCGCGCGACGCGCGGTGCGGTATCATTGCGCCCGCGCTGATGGCGCAGTTTCTTTCTGTAATCGAGGCAAGAGGACTAGGGGGACGGGTGAGGGTGGGGTATACGAGCCATCTGAGCGGGCACAAGTGGGCGGGGAATGTTGTTGTGTATCTGCCGCCGGGGCGGGTGGGTGGGAAAGGGGGACTGGGGGTGTGGTATGGGAGGGTGGGGACGGGGGAGGTGGAGGGGATTGTGGATGAGACGGTGGTGGGAGGGCGGGTGGTGGGGGAGTTGTGTAGAGGGGTTGTGGGCGGGGAGGTGGATGGGGAGGGGGCGGTTTGAGGGGGGGCGTGTAGATATGGTTTAGATGGTGGGGGTGTAGATAGGATAGACGTACTTTATATAGAAACCGTACCATAGACTGTAGAGTGCAGTCAACGTTTTATAGAAATCATACCATCACAGCTCAATTGCAAGCATATTGTGCAAAAAACGGCCAGGTTGATCATTGATCATTAATCCAATATCAATTATGACACCCCACACTCCCGCACCACAACCATCACAGCCCATCACTCGCCCACCCACAGTTTCCAAGCCGCATACCAACCCGAGTAGAACATAAGGCCCCTCCACGGAGCCAGCAAGCAAAACTCTAACTAGCTATTGAGTGAAGTTGGGTATTTTATTGTAAGGAGCTTTTATAACTGAGTTGAATAGAGACCGATATCATCCCGCCCATATATAGGCAGGAACAATCGTTTCGCAGCGGAAGGAGGGGGTTTCGAAACATCAAACTACACGCACGTGCTCTAGTACCAACGTACGGGTATGCATTCATTGCCACCACGACCACCACCACCACACACCCTCCTACAACTAACTAACTACAGGTACAATAAACGCTTCATCAAAACTCATAACACATAAAAACTCCAGACCCCCCCCCCTCCCTCCCTCCCCCTCCATCTAAGTATTAACCAAGGACCAACACTACCTCCTCTTCTTCCCACCCTTCGCCTTCTCCGCGCCCGTCGCACCACCGCTAGCAGCAGCTACAGCAACAGGCTCTGTCTCGCCCTCAGCCTTCAAAACCTCCTCATCGAGCTTCTCCTTCGTCTTGTCGTCCACCTCGACAATCTCGTCGCCGCCGCCCTGGCCAAACTCGTTGACACGGCGGTAGTCGACGCGGTAGATCCAGGCCTGGTAGAGCGCGATGAAGTAGATGACGTCGTCGCGGAGGGTGGCGAGGCGGTGGAGCGTGGGCATTTTGATGGTGAAGGCGAAGAGGTCGTCGATGAACCTGTTTGGGTTGGTCAGTTAGTTGATTTTGGTTTGGTTTAGAGGGAAAAGAGGAGATGGGAGGGGATAGGGGATAGGGGAACGAACGTGTTGAGCAGCTTGTAGACCATGGTCTTGCGCGGCATGTGTGCGACGCTCTTAAGGCGGTAGTTGATGTACAAGCTCGGCACCATCATGAGGAAGCCGTACGCATAGACACTGCCCACGAGCGTCGTGATGATGAAGCTGTACCAGCTCTTGTGCGTGTCGTACATGAGCGAGTAGACCGCATAGGCGGCCAGCAGCGGGACAGCGACCCAGTATAGGTACTTGAACGCCTCCTCGTCGTACTCCTTCGTCTCCTTCTCGAGCGACGAGAGCTTGTGCTTGTCCTCGAAGCGGATGCGGTAGGGTATGATTGAATCCACGGCCTGGACCTTGACGTCGACCATGCGCGTGATCTTCCAGGCCTCGAGCACGATGCCCATGCCTTGGCCGAAGAGGATCATCCACGAGGTGCCCTCGGAGTTGTCGAGCAGGTACAGGAAGATGACGAGCTGCATGAAGACGTTGGCGAGGATGGTGCGCACGCTGATGCCGACGTTGTCTTTCTTGTTGCGCCAGTGCGAGATGTCGCTCTTGAAGGCGAGCATCTCGAAGACGGTGTGTAGGAGGGAGACGATGGCGGTGGTGCCGAGGAGGTAGATGTTGGTCTCGATGAGCACTCGCTTGAATTCTTCGAGCTCGGCACCAGTGTTGGCGCTGCCGCCGAGGCCGGGCTGGGAGGCTTGTTGCTTGAAGGAGGCGTCGAGGGAAGAGTAGATCTGGAATTTCCAGAACGGCGTGGGGGCCAAGTTGATGTGCATTGGGAGAGATCTGAAAAACCATAATTAGTAAAGCACAAACAGTAAGATGGAAACAAGATACGTACTTGACGGTGCTATTGATCTCAACCATGTGTTCCTTCAACAACCAAAAGTCGTTGATGAAGAAGATTGGATAATACCAACCGTTTTTCCCGGTTTCGTCCCTGGCGCCAGTTGATTCAAGAACCACATGCTGTCTCAATGGTGGCGGAAGAGTGTTATAACTCAAAACACCACCGTTGCTCACAACATCTAATGTCAAGTTCGAGTGCCAGTAACTAGCAATGCTAGGGCCAGCCTCCGGGACGGGAGGAAGCTCTTCGTCGGCTTCCTCCTCATCGCCACGACCGATCAATTTCTTCGTCTTGACCACCTTTTTTTTCGGCGCATATCTAGTCAACAATTTAACAATTCGGAAGGTCTTTGACGGGTCATATGTGGCATCGTAAGGGTCGGCAGTGGCGCCGGAACGAGAGATAAAGATATGCGCGAATAGTGAGCCATTGTTTTGGACCTGCTCGGAGAATGGAATGTCGACGGTGACGCTTCGGGCATCTTGCGGATCATCAAGATGCCATTGCTTTTCGTTAAAAACGAGGGAGTTTTCCATTATGGGATCGGTGAAGGGTGGCAATGCGAGATGCTCATTGACGTAGACAGATACATCCATCGGCGCATCCGTTGGCCAAAGCGAGAAAGCTTTCTCGGGGATGTAGCGGTAGCTTGGATCATTCCGGCCGACCGTATTCGCACCACCTTGATCGAACGTAGACGGAGGCGCGGTATTGACTTTTGCGGTTTGCTGAGGAGCGAAGTACTCTAATCACATTAGATGCCAGTTATTAATGCGGAGATGATGGAACCTACTGAACGCGCTCTGGACAGCTACAAAGATGAGAATACCGTTGAGGGCAGATTTGAGTGTAGACTAGAACTAGTTAGAGTTGAAGCTCGCAATCCTGAGTGTAATGAGGATACTGACCTGAAAGCCACCTTCTGCCTGGTCGCCAGCAGCAGCTGCTGCTTGTGGGGGAGCCATGTTTCCGATTAAAGTGATTGAGGTTTGGTGAAGACTTTTGCACCTTGGGTCGGGACTCGGAGCATTAAGAGCTGGTTGCGGCTCTTTTCATTGAGACGACGTCGCCCGATGGCAAATTCTTGGCTTGGCCGATCCCAGATGTACGCAGAAATGATACATAATACACGCCAAAATGTTCTTTCTGCAGTATCATTACTAAGGCGTTCAGTGAAAGGTCGTGAAAAGTCGCCCCGTTGCAAGCCTAAACGCCCAAGTACTCTAGATCAGAAATAAATTAATGATAAATCTAATATCACTCCAGCTTCGAATCGATTATAGCATCTACTACATGTAGATGTACTTTTATCCTTGAGGGTATTTAAACGCCAAGAATACTAAACTCGGGCTATGGCTTGGAGTGCGACGAGTGATCGCTTATGACTAAATTATTCGATCTCTAGCTAGATTATATCACACTAATAGCCGTAAGTGGCTACATTTCACATATAATTATACCCATTAAGTAGAAGCCCGTCAAGTTTGGAAATTATTGCGGTCCCTCATTGGGGATCCAGCACACGGTTATTGGCCTCTTTCAACCCCCCCTCAAACAATCGATCCTCCACTAGATGTGCACAGGGCCTAGGGGGATAGTACTCAGACTTTATGACCAATTATGTAATTACCAAATCTTTGTACCTCAAGTGAATACACGTAAGACGTCAACACCACACTGGCGGTTCTAGCCTTGACGCCATGCATGGCGTTTGTCTGGCTTATCTAGATAGCGGCCAAAATTACACTCGACTTGGCAGGTTCTGTTTACTTTTCCGGCCCGGTTTCAAGCAGGGGGGGCCTCAGTAGCACACTCTTCCTAAGTTCCCGGGCCGTGGTTCTCGAGCCCATTCTTTTTTTTTCTTCTGAGCTGGTAATACGGCTCGTTCACCGCGGCTTCTCCCTATTCTATTTATTAGGGACGGAACCGGCCGGTAAAGCTACAGTTAGTGTTATGTATGGTGAGTGGGTTAGGGTTTCTTCCTCAGGTACTTTTTTTTCTTTTTCCTTTTTTTTTGTACAGAGATTTATATACTCGTTTCTTTTTTCGATTTTATATATAGGGAGTAAGTGTTTTAGTAAAACTAACAAATACTGCATGTAGTCTGAGCGCTGATCTAAAACTATCTCCAAAGGTGGAAATCAACATTTGGAACAGAGGCTACTAGGCCGACTATATCTTTGAAATTTGAAATAGAACATTAGGTGCTCGATACATGTTATTATAGGATATTATCTTCTGTAGCGGCTTATCAGTTTTGTTACGGGAGAGACAAGGATATAAAAATGAACAACTGTTGCCTGCTTGACACAAACCGAGTGATATCCGATGACGTTAATTCATGGTAATATATGCGAAAGGATCGTGATCAGCTTTGCCCCTTCTTTAAGAAACGCGTTATGGTAGACAGATAGGGTAATAGTTGCAACTTGAGGAGCACTCTCGGATATCGTGGCTTAAGCAGCCACGATTCTGCCCACACATGCATATGAACCAGTTGGATAATCATATTTAGCAAGCTCATTAGGACCAGCGCTCAGTAAATATTGATTTCTATGTCTATAGCCCACACATTCCACTTTATTTGCCTACACAAAATTTCTCAAACACTACGCCCAGCACCTCTTCTACATCACCAGCGCCCTCGCCCCTCCCCGTAATTTTTGCCAGTGCCTCTGCAGCCATCCTCAATTCCTCTGCCGCAACGACCACATCCGTCTCTTCCTCAAGCTCCGAACTTGTATGGGCCAGGAATGAATCCAAAGACTCAATACATTCTTCCACCAGCAGACGCTGGCGCTCCGTTGCACCTATCGACTCATGCCAGTCATCTGACGAGGCCGATGATGAGACCGGAGAAGTCATTTCCTTAAAGATGGTGATGAGGCCATTCAGGAATTCCTGGATTCCAGCTCCTGCTTCAGTGGTGCAGGAGATACCAAACACTTTACCGGGTGGTAAGCCAGGCATGGAGGTTGCAATTTTATCAAGGACTTCACGGGGTAATGTGGCTCCAGGGAGGAGATCCATCTTATTGACGACGACAATGATCTCCTTGCCCGCTACCTCGCGGACCACATCGCACACCTCCGGAGATATCTTGATCTGTGGGCCATCAGCGGTTTCTTCAACTGAGAGGACTACCACTACTACGTCGCCCTCCATGACACGTTTCTTGGCTCTCTTGATGCCCTCCTTCTCTATCTCACCTACGCCCTCCGCCACGTCGCCCACCCGCAGCCCCGCCGTGTCGCCCAGCACGACCATGAACCCGCCTAGGTCTACGGACAGGTCAACCACGTCTCTGGTGGTGCCCGCCTCTCCGGAGACAATGACTGCCTCCCTCCCCACAACTCGATTTAACAGGGAGCTCTTGCCCGCATTCGGCGCACCCACGAGCGCCAGGCTGATACCACTCCTGAGCATCTCACCCTTCATTGCGTTCGCCACATGCCCCTTCAGCACACCCCGTAACCTCTCAACCGCCACAACGACATTACTCAACAGCTCACTAGAGCTCGTCTCGAACTGCTGATCCTCCGAGAAGTCAATCAGCGCCTCCAACTCGCCCCTCGCAGCAATCAGCGCAGCCCGCCATCCTTCATACCGCTGCGACAGCGCCGACGTTGATGACCGCACAGACTGGATGCGCTGCTGCTCCGTCGCAGCGGAGAGTATGTCCCCCAGCGCCTCAATCTGCGGAAGCGTCAACCTCTCGTTCGCGAACGCCCTCCTCGTAAATTCGCCCGGCTCTGCATACACAATCCTATGCCTCGAGTGCGCCTGAGGAATTGCACCGAGAACAGCGCGGACAATCGCCGGCCCGCCGTGGAGGTGCAGCTCGAGTGTGTCTTCGCCTGTGACGGAGCGAGGGCCGGGGAAGTAGAGGACGATGCTCCCGGGGTCGAGGATCTCATTTGTATGTGGTCTGTAGAGGGTGCGCAAGGTTGCGCGGCGGGGTTTTGGGGGTGATGTGGAGGGGCAGAGCGAGGCGAAGATCTGCGGTCTCAGCGTCGTAATCGTGCGAGGTCGCAGGGTGGGAGGGGACGTACATCCATGCAGGCGGGCCCGGAAATCCGAACTACCGCGATTGCAGACTTTCCGGCTGCTGTGGAGAGAGCGAAGATGGTGTTGGGCGAGTCGTGGTGAGGGTCTGCTTCGTGAAGCGGTTTGGAGGGCTGGAGGGAGCTGGATGATCGTGTGCTTCGGGAGTGTACAGCTAGAGGCTGTTGGGGGAGAAATCGCAGGGTGACAGGCCCGGTGGAACGCCTGCAGGCTGTCGCGCGCAGGGCATAAAAAGCTGGGCGCATACTCACTGAAGATCCAGCTCGAGAGTATTGGGCTCCTTTTTGTTGAATAATCTTCAGTCGGGGGAGAGAGCTGTGGGAGGTTGAATTTTGGTGATCCGAGCTAGAGCAGGAGGGTTTGGTATTGGCCAAGACTTCTGGATTTGTGTTTTAGGGCCGAGTTCACGGTCCTAACTATTTGGAAATCCGTCAGGTGCAGGTGATGACTGATCATGCCTAAACCTTTTTACTGACATCCACCCGCTTCATCTCATCTGCATACCGCTGATCTTGGTCAATTGGGGCATATGATTGACTACATCGCTCCACTGATAAAACTTGCTGTTACAAGCAGATGTGTCCAATGCTTGTAATTACAAGACGGTAATCGGGGCTGTCTAAATATTCGTTGTACCTTGCTTGATATAGAACTGGCCCTTTATAAACTTGATACGTCGAATAGATAGCAAGCAATCTTCCGAGAAAGCTAAATAAGTATCCAAGGTGTAGGAATACTATACATTGTAGGTTACATGTAGTATATAGCTAAAACCGGCGTGAAGAGAGGGGACGATCTAGAAGTAACGTCTTTCTCATCCATACTCATTCAGTATGTAGCTACATGTATGTACCTATATGCAGGCTCGTTGTTTGCCAATGGCGGTGTGGTGGTTTGCCCGCTGCGAGCAAAACTGGACACGGCCATATGGACATACATTACAAAGTATATTATTATCAATTGATGTATCTGTCACTGTCATCAAGAAGACCACGTAACTTAAACAAGTGTGGTAAGCCTCAGCGCGGTCGGAATACATATACTCTACCTACATGTAGGCCAGATGACATCAGACCACACAAACCATCTTCCTTCTTGACGTTTTGATTCTTTGATTCATTCAGGTTTTGGGGAAATTATTTTACCAAATGACGAAATACTTACACCACCGGTTTTATTCTGAAACCTACGGTCTAGTACTCTCCCACCTAGTACCCAGCCGCAAGGCATATCTGTTAATACGCATGCACGTACAGCCAATTGCTCCGAGTCTACCCACGCGAGCTACGATTAACCTGTTTATCTAAGGATCTATAGCTAGGAACAGCCTTGGAGAATGCATCACAGCCTACATGCCATCAGGTGGGGAAACAAAAACCAACTACATACTTGTGCTTCGAAGCACTCTATTTCACACTGGCGTTGGCATGACTAGCCTAGAGCACAATATGTAGTGTAAGTACATGTAGATACATACATACTAGTACTGTAGGCAATTGCTTGTTTCTTTTGTTTTTTCACCAAGCCCCGCAGACGTACTATACGTCTAGATCTAGAGACTAACAAAGGAGCAAGTGACACAGAGAAACTGCGTATTGAAAATTCTTCCGAGGATAGTTAGAAGAGGTGATTTTTTGGGGTAGTGGGCTGGTTTGAACTTTCTGCTGCACAAATGGGCGCTACTTATCTGCAGCTGTTGTCACAGTTGCTGTGGCTCATGATCACGAGTGAGTTATCATGACCGTTGACGCTATAGTACACTACCACCATTTTGACTGTCTATTAGCAGACCTGCTTTCATTCAGCTTGGCTATTTATTTTGATAATGCGTGAACGTATTCGTTCACGGGATCAATATCCGCGCCCGCTAGAAGCAAACTACCTACTCTATCTGTCTAGTAATATCCACCAGCTTATGTCTTAGAAGGACTCCAACAACGCGCGTGCATCACAAGTGAACCCGGCTCCGGCAAAACGCCCACAACCTGACTCAAGATGTGCACCCGCTACATAGGTAGTGCTTCAATGTGACGAGAGAGACCCGTTCCTGCATCTTGTTAAACGTCGAACGTTTCAAGAACCCCTAAGACACGTGGTGCAGGGATGGTCTTCGCGGGATTTAGGCTCTTTCTATGGGTGGGCGATCTGAGAGCTTGCGTTTTGGATAACTAATCAAGTGAAGCGGCTCGCTTGGTAGCTAGGGGGATACAACTGAAGGATGAGCGAGCGGGTGAGCACATATGATTGAACGTTGCTTGTTTCGCAGGTTTTTTCTTTGGCTTTTGTTTACTGCCACAATTTCGGAAACTGGGACGGGACTGCCTCAAACACCATACGGACCTGTCCCAACAACCTGAACGGGCGCTGTGAATTCTTGGTTCTTGGATCCAGCGTGTTTGAGATGGGTTTCCCTATATACTAGCCAGTATTTCTTTGACCGGAGCAACACAAGGTACTTTTTGCGCAACCTTCTTCTTTAGAGATTCGGGAATCGCGCTAATACCTTTCTTAATAGCGGGCTATCATCCCCAGAGTTATCTGGAATGTTGTATAAATATCTCTTGCTAATTAACACTAGATTCTCGTATCGTTCGAAAATATCCACGATCTTGGTGCTTAAGCTTATGCGCATGCAATCACAATAGAGTGGAGTATATATCGCGAACTCGACTTATGGCGCCGGGCGGATATACATACATATATTGCAGATTCCCTGTTCCTTGGCCACGGAAGACTGGAATAAACAAACTTCTTCTGGTGCCTCGTGGTAAGTCACCTTCCATAATTCTCCCTTAATATGCATATTCTACACTAGTGACGCCAATCTTGTCGTATTCTACAGTAGCTAACCTGTCTCTGACTTTGGGATCTTAGGGTAGTTACATGTTATCAGGCTATAGTCGAACCAGAAGACGGGTCTCCCTTAATAAGTGCAGAGAGGTATGTAGCTGTGGAACCTCACGCAAGAGAAACCGACTAATGCAAGATTTTACATAACGATGGAAATCCTGTAACCAGTTTTTCAGGTGTCCGAGGTGCTGGATTTTGTTTTTTTTCTCGTTATCATCGTTGCTTCTTCGGGTTGGGGGGGTGAAAACTGCTGTCTCCTTTACTTAGTGCTAGGAGTTTATTTCCTCGCTTCCGCCAACCCGCCCTTCATGCGGACCCTTCCCGCGAAACCTAATCTCCAAGTGGAAACCGCGTTGAATCTTTATTTGGGTTCGGGAAAAAACTGCACCGGTGGTCTATCATGTGCTAGATCCTGATACTCTACTAAGACTAAGTGTGCTTGGACGTTAGCTCGGCGATCGTAAGGTTAGCCTGGGAGATATATAAAGTAGAATACGAAGACTTTATAGGGATATTTTTATCCATACGGAAATACTGGCTTGATATATAGTTGGGATTGGAGTTAATATTGGTTATTGTGGTAAACCTTCAACACAATTAATTCCTGTTTCTTTGAATCCTTTATAAGTTCTAGCTAGGATTCCCAGCTTCTAGATGGGTTTTGTCGTCATTTATTGTTGCTAGGAGTCCGACAGAAGGGATGGGGTTACATAGCTGACACGCCTTGGCAGGGCAATATCGGACCCCTTTCGCCAAGAGAATGGCAACGGTTAAACTTTCAACTCATCCTCCTCTTCTTTTTTCTGATAATCCACCGGCCTCCTCATGGATTTTTGTTTCGCCGTAGATGCGCCACTGTACCCACTTACATACTGGTGGTAGGAATGTAAGTGGGGTTGCAGAATGTAGTCATCGAAATGGCTGGATGGCTGGTATGCTGCCGGTACATGTACCTAAAGTACAGTTACGTGCATGCTGCAAAGAGAGCCCAGGCTTTATTAACACCATAAACAATTGTCGTTTATTAGTTTACTATATCTATCTGCTTATTTTCTGATCCTATCTACTCTAGTACTTGCATGCACATAGCCCTCTGCCCGCAGAGAGATCCCCTGCTCCTAATAAACAGTAGTCAATCTACACACCAGCTCCTTAATATAAGGCTCATATAGGTCGATAGTACCGCCACCAACCTCCCCTGGCCTCGCCTGGGACCCAAGTGATGCCTTTGCAGTTTTGGTCGAGGTTCCCGCTTGTCAGTGCGACAATAACGCATGCAAGGTGTATGCAGTCCTGTTTCCGGCTGGCGGTCATCCAGAATCTTGGAGGCGACACTTGCCAGTAAAACCTAGTGCGTTCCCGCCGCAACCTACTCTACTTGTATATACCCAACCTTTCTTCTTGACCATTTTGTTTTTCAATTTTTTCGCTGCGTTCCTTCGTCAGTTTTGGGGCGCTTTTTCCGGCTCTTCAGCTGCTGTTGGTTGGTTAGGCCGCTGTGCGGTGGTTGGGGATTGATAGCAACAAATACAGTTCCTCTCCTTTACTATTAGTACTTTATTCTTTCTATTGCCTGTCTTTTTTGTTTCCTGTTAGGGCAAAAGAACGAAACCCAGTTGGACCACAATAACACGCCAAAAAAAAAAAACGAACCACGGACCGTCAGCAATATATCAACCTAGCGGGAGAGAAAAAAAAAGATTGCGTTCATGTTCTCGTCTGCTCGGGACCCCTAAAGACAGAGTCTTTACCATTTTATTCTTACAGAATCCCTTTATATTTCACATCTTCCTTATTGTTATTTTTTATTTTTGTCAGAATGGATTCAAGATCCGACGGAGGTCCACCACCGGATCATGGCCCGATGCCGGGCGGCTCAAATATTGCCAGCTTGCAGGTGCGGATTATAATATTGGTATTGACGGGGATCAACATTGTGTCTGCGGCCGTGATGGTGGTGAGGATATTATTGGACGCCAGGAATGCATGCAGGCGGAGAAGGATGAGGTGCAATGGCGATTCAGCAGAGATGGGGCGGATAAGGATACACAGGTCGAATACGATAGACCAAAGGGCTAGTGGGAATCGGAGCGAATCATCGAAGACGAAGCTCGTGGGAGGAGGACAAGATGGGAGTTCAAAGGGATTGTGGGAAATGATTCCGGCATTCGATGTGTTCCCGCTGGTGCTGGCAACGACAATAATTATCCAGGGGACCATGTTTGCAGTGGTAGAGGGGGAAGGACTGAAGATGAGCCCTTTTCGGGGAAATTGCAGATATCTTTCGGAGGTTGCTTGGGTTGGTGAGTTGATTGCTTTCTCTTGATTGGGTTCAATTTTGTGGTATTTTGATCATTGGCTGATACGATTGAAGCCCTATGGATAACGCCTTACATCATCTTATCGTTTACCATCGAAACCGCTATCCGTGCTCTCTCCCAGCCCCGCTTCCAGCCTCGCTCGGGGAAATCTGTCATATACTGCGTTTTATCTGCGCTCATTCTCACGATACTGACATGGATACCTTCCCGGGTGATGCCTGAGGATTCTGCTCAAGACTTCTGCGATGGCGAACTAATGGCGTTCGTTGACCAGTTTTCTGCGGGCGGGTTGGGTATCCTGGTTGCGCTTGTGCCCATTGCAGTGTTTATGGGTGGGGTGGTGCTCATGCACTTGAGCAAAGATATTGCAATTGATAGGGCAGAGAAGATGGCTTCCAGTAGGATGGTTTATTTTATGCTGATCAACGTTGTGCAATGGGTATGATATGACAATTATTAAGAGAAAATGGGATATTTGGGCTAATGATATATAAACCAGATTATGATGGTACCAAACTATGTTTTGACTGCTCAGGACAGCCCTGAGTATTCCACATCTGCATTAGCAACCGTCATGGCCAATATTGGGGGAATAATCTCCTGCGGTCTTTACATCTACTTAAGGACCAGAAACATGCCCGCTGAGCTCGACGACGAACCAACACCGAAAATAGGATCACTAGAGAGGGCCCCTAGTCGGCACCCAACAGCTTTAGAAAAAGAGTTGAGTATTGTAGTCAGCGAGCCACCCCACAACAATTACCGCGACGACCGCTCCATGAGCAGTCGCCCCGCGCTTGCCTCGATCATCAGCGAATACTACGACATGCATACCATCTCCGAGATCCCCCGTAGCCCCACCATGAGTACGCACTCAGAGCGGGAAACAACATCCATACTCCGCATGCATATGCCACCCAGCCCCACCAGCCAGTACTCCAAGGACCGCCGCTCCTCCCGTGCACCCTCAATATTCTCCCAATACACCACGCACAGCTTCAGGCGGCTCGGAGATGAAATAAACCACATGATAGCCGGGCTCCGAAACCAAACCACCACATCCGCCGAGAACACCCCGGTGACTCCTCCACCACCAAGTACCCGAAAACAGTCAACAACCTACACCATCTTCCCGCCCAACCTCGACCGCCCGCCCACCGCCGCGTCTAGCATCGCATCGGTATCAAAGCTGCAGGTACCACGCACGCTACTGCGAGCACCAACTAGACCATCACGCGCAGCGGTCCCGCCAATAAATCTCGATCGGCGGCAGTCGAGCTTCAAGCAAGAGCGGCCGCGGGCGCATTCGTCATCGCATTCGTCGTCGCTTTCGGGGTCACTAAGGATACCCCCGAAAGCGAGAGTGGGAGCGCCGTTCGAGGTGGCCATACCACCGAGACCTGATAATGGCGATGCGGAGTCGTTTATGGAAATCTTGATATGGAAGAAGGAGACTGGCGCGGGGGCGGATCCGGACAATCGTGTGTAAAAACTGGTTTAGACTTGGAATATATTAATTCTTTTTCTTCATCTTTTTATTCTTTTTTTTTTCTTTCTTTCTGGGTTGTGGGTTGGGTGGTTTGTTATTATTAATTTTTTTCCTTCTATCTCTCTCTCTCTCTCTCTATCTTTGTCGATCGAGATGGCCTGGCCGCGCCTGCGGCTTTATCGAGATCGGCGGATTATTCCTTACCTAGCTGGAGATGTTGACGGACATCGATATATCGCTCTCTTCACTCCGCCGTAGTACCGTGCACCGGCTCCTTCATATTTCCGCACCCAGCTCTCCGATTCGCTTCATACCTGTATCTATTATCCAAAGCCACCGACATACAATTTTTTTTTCTTTACATTTACATAGGGTTTTCTTCTTTCCCCACATCCTCGCGCCGGTGTTTTCTCTCTCAAGAACCTTAGGGCTAGGGTTTTGTGTTACTGTATATAGTTATATTTATAGAATTCCTACAGTTTGGGGTTTAGGCCCTACACGTTGAGGTTGTTATTGCGCATGCTGACATTAGACCTTAAACCCAGCCCCCCCCGTAAATTACATAGGACCTCCAGGCATATACTACGTGTATCGGCACATACATATATAAGTAGCATCAGTGCATGTAAAGATACTTTTGCGATGGTATTGGATCATGAGGTGTCACTCGGAGAAGTGGTCTTCTTAAGTTTGACTAGCTGTTCTCTGTTGCTGGGCGTGTGTAAGGATGGATTACTGACGTAAAGAGAGGATATCATGTTGTAGAGATTGTTGCTCATGGAATGTGTCGAAGATTTGGTCAGGAGGGAAATAACCGAGTGATAGCATGTGATGCGTACCTCATGAAACCTTTGTATACTTTGCAACTGCGATTGATGGATGTGCGGGTAATAGTGAAAATTATAGGTAGTCAAAGGGGGGTAGATTAAGAGCTTGTGATGTGCGTATACCAATATTGCTTGGATTCAACTAAGGTAACTTCTAGACTCAATACATGTACCGGTATGCCGGCCTGAATAAATTGCGGCATTTTATAAAGGAAAAAACACAAGTAGCTAACGAAAGAAAATACTTACCTCTAGTGTTTCATACATACGAACTTAGTACAAACCTAACTAACTAAAATAAACTGCCGACACCACCCACATATAGCCGTCTTTACTTGGTTTTATGACGCTTTGCACGGTTCCCTATTTCAGGTTCTTTCTCTATCCACTCTAAGAGGAGCTTTGCAATACCCCAACGACCAGCAAGTTTTGCATAACTAAGGGCTTCCAAAGCCTTTTCCGCACTAGCATCGTAGTCTAACAATAGCTTCACAACGTCCGAATGCCCGCTTTCAGCTGCGAAGCTCAGGCTTCCTCGACCCCAAGCAGTTGCGTTCACATCAGCACCGCGGTCCAACAATAGCTTCACAACGACCGCATGCCCGCCTTCAGCTGCATAGCTCAGGCTTCCCCGACCTTCCCAAGTAGCCGCGTTCACATCAGCACCGTAGTCCAACAATAGCCTCACAACGTCCGCATGCCCGCCTTCAGCTGCATAGCTCAGGCTTCCCCGACCTTCCCAAGCAGCCGCGTTCACATCAGCACCGCGGTCCAACAATAGCTTCACAACGTCCGTATGCCCGCCTTTAGCTGCGTAGCTTAGGCTTCCCCAGTTGTCATCATCGCTTGCGTTCTCATCAGCACTGTAGTCTAACAATAGCTTCACAACGTCCGCATGCCCGCCTTCAGCTGCGTAGCTCAGGCTTCCCCGACCCCAATAATTAGTTGCGTTCATATCAGCACCGCGGTCCAGCAATAGCTTCACAACGACCGCATGCCCGCCTTCAGCTGCATAGCTCAGGCTTCCCCGACCTTCCCAAGCAGCCGCGTTCACATCAGCACCGTAGTCCAACAATAGCTTCACAACGTCCGAATGCCCGCTTTCAGCTGCGAAGCTCAGGCTTCCTCGACCCCAAGCAGTTGCGTTCACATCAGCACCGCGGTCCAACAATAGCTTCACAACGACCGAATGCCCGCCTTCAGCTGCATAGCTCAGGCTTCCCCGACCTTCCCAAGCAGCCGCGTTCACATCAGCACCGTAGTCCAACAATAGCTTCACAACGTCCGCATGCCCGCCTTCAGCTGCGAGGCTCAGGATTCCCCGACCCCAAGCAGTTGCGTTCAAATCAGCACCGCAGTCCAACAATAGCTTCACAACGTCCAAATGCCCGCCTTCAGCTGCGTAGCTCAGGCTTTCCCGGTGGTGATCATTACTTGCGTTCACATCAGCACCGCTGATAAACAAGAATTGTGCCACATCGAAGTCGCCGTTCTCAGCTGCCAGTTGCAAAGGCGTTCTACCACGACAATCCACTTGCTGATTGATGTCTGTCCTTCTTATAACTATTTCCAAGATATCAAGGTCTCTTGACCTGATAACAACCGGATATAGTTTCGTCCATAGAAAGATGGTCTTATCATGCTGTAAAATCGTGTCAACCACCTCTACGTGCCTGGCTTCGAAGGCTAAATGAAGAACTTTTTCCTCGTCTTGACCCTCTATAATACGACCATTTCGTAACAATATACCGGCCGCCTCGAATTGTTTATTTTTCATCGCCAGTCGTAATGATTCTCTGATATGAGAATCACTTATCGGCCTAGAATCTAGGAGCCTTTTAATGGCAAGACAATAACCATTTACTGCAGCTTGTTTGAGTAGAGAAAAGACTGATTTCTTTGCCGAATCCGAGAAAAATTGGCCGACGCATTCTTCCTGCGGTTCTTTACCAACACTTAGATCTAGATCCACTCCAAGTAGCCGAAATTCCTCCCTCGAATTATCAACCTGGCAGTTGTACCCATCCAACCATGGTGTTTTTAAAGCGCAAGCCGCGGTTAATCTATCCTCTGGGGCCGCAACGAGGAGGGATTTTAAAAAAGCTATCCCTTCTTTATCTTTACACATGTTTGATGTTTCCAGGAAATCTACCGGAAACTCTGCATGGCTGGAGCAATATTTACGCAGGAGTTCTTCGTCAAATGAACTTGTTATCGAGATCCACGTTGAAACGGTAACGTAGTCAGCGTTCATCTCAGTGTCAGAGTCGGGATCGGTCGGGCGGCTGCAAAACGGCATCTTGCAAGTCGCGATCTCATGCAATAAAATTCCCAGCGACCACATATCCAAAGCATAAGGCATATATCGAGCCTTTCTAGATCTCCCGGGAAGGTATCCTAGTAATTCGGGGGCCATATATCCATATGTTCCAACTCGTGTTCGTATAGAGGAAGAGTTTCTTTCCTCTTTTGAAACCCCAAAATCAGCAATTTTGACCCAAATAGGGTCAAGACGAACCACAAGGATGTTCTAAGATAGTATAGATTTGTTAGCCAGGGCACTTACTAATAGCTGTAATCAATATGAAGTTATAGGAGCTTTTACCTGTGGCTTTAAGTCACGATGATAGATCTTTAATGAGTGGAGAATTTTAAGTCCTTCTAAGATTTGTTTGGCAATATCCTTCACCTCTAATATTGGTTTGGGGCCTCCTTCGGCAATATATTTGCTCAAGTCACCGCCCTCGATATACTCTAACGCGAGAAAAATATTTTCATGGTTTTCGTACCAGCCTAGAAATTCCACAAAAATGCGCGGGTACTTTTTCTGCTAGTTTTATGTTACAAATTAAGGATTTGAGCTTGAATACTCACAATTTTCAGTCTAACTAAAGCCAGAAGCTCCCGCGAATGGCATAGAACCATTTGGGGGTTTTTAACTAGCATTTTAACAGCCCTCAGGTCACCTGTCCCCTCCTTTTCTTGGAGCCAGACAGCTCCAGTAGCCCCTAAACCGATCCTTTGCTTCTTTTCCCACACGCATTCCGAATCCCCTATTTTGTGCACCACTGCACGGTCATCTTGACGCGTAATTTCCAACTTGTGTTCTCTGAAAGCCTTGATCAACTCTTCCGGAATTTTTCGAACCGATCGCACCGCAGGAGGGGCCATACTGTATGTATAGTGGGCAGCACACTAGACTGATGAATATTTAACGTGATCTCGCGGGTATCAGTGATTAAGCGTACGAAGGGATTCTTGCTGCGTTTTCTCGTGGAAACAACGACGAGATGTAGGGATTTGTTTCCCCCAGCCCTCTTTCGAAAGTGGAGTAGAGCACATATGCAAGTGTACGTGTTCTCCTCGCAGCAGGTAACAACGCACGCCCTAATCTGCAATTGCCATTGAAGTAGAAGTCAAAAATACACCAAAACATTGCAGTTGCATTTTCGGGTACTTCAGGCCTGTCGCGAGTACCATGTACTATGGTGTAGCGAAAAGTGATCAGAATCTGATAAGACAAATACATGTATTCACCGCAACATTCACTTATCAGATTCTGATCACTTACCCTCAACACCCGGTACTCTAGAGTATAAGCATGTAGGTGGTTACACACTAATATGATTGGACATGAGTGGTGATTGGCCAACGAACGAACCTAGCTCCTCTCACTTAACTAGAATTAAAATTCACAATTTGTAGCATTGGATGGGTCTTTATAGCTGGCTTATGTTTGCATGGCTATCGTCACTATCTCCGTATTCGAATTAGCCGATTTGTAACACTGGGAATATAATATCGCAATAGCTCGGGCCAAGTCGTTATTTATAAGATGAGATCTGAATCTCTCAACTCTGTGGTCCACGAAGTGCATCGAGGCGAGGAAGACGGGGTGTATCGAGTTGCCTCTCCCTCTGAGGAGATCTGCGTTGGGGCTGCCTCGAGCCATGTACGAGCTGTCTTGATGCTCCTCGAGGTATGTCTTAGCAGTGCATGGGTTTTCGATAGTTCTTATCCAGTTCGATCACCCGGGATGTATATTACACGAGTATCTCTTCTCTGGCAGCTTGAAGAGTATATATTGAGTTGACTTGAGTCGAGGAATACACCATGTATCGAGGGGTACGTTGGCTTCGTTGAAGAGTATATATGCCCCGTCACCTAGGTCGAGGCACGAAGTGCTTCGCCATCGTGGACCACACTGTCTCAACTACTACATGCAAGTACATATGTAAATATGTAGACTCAATTAGTACGTACCTACATAGCTAGTACTTGCCTCAATCCACGTTATTGGCTGCTGCTCTTTGTATTCACGTCTTGATCCTTCTCGGCGAACTAGTGAAATCGGGAAAAACCGTAGAGAGAAGTACTGGAGTAATAGTAGTAGAATCCTGTACATCGCTCAATTCCGGCCACCGGCCGGCTGTTTCCCGCCTTTTGACTACATGTACACCATGGAGGTACGTTTCCTTCCTCCTATCCTAATTAGCCATAGTCACAAATTCTTCAAGTGATATTCCATGAATGTCTCAACCATTGAAACCAGCGCTACGCCTCGGTACCTACCCTACTACATGTAGTCTCGTGCCCAGCCTGTGTTTGCTTAGATCCATGTGGCTGCACGCAGTGCGACAACAAAACCCTACATATACGTACCTCGACGATCAACACCATGCGCAAAACCAAGCCTACCAAGCCCACCAGGAAATAGAGTCAATAAATGAAGTTGGCCCCTGCTCTGATCCATATATGCTTACACACATCACAGCCTCTCATCCGCTATATTATACCAGTATATGCACCAGGCTCTCTAGCTCTACGTACTATTCTCGACTTCTGTCCTGGGGTAATCTAGCATGTAGTCTGCGGCGAGAATACGTACATGCCTGGCTCAAGCATAAAGCGTATATATATACAGCGCCATGCCATAAGTCATGGGAAGGCGCGAGGTCGCAACGCCTGAACACAAAATCTTTCACCACCACCAATGGCGCCCAGAGACCATGTACCCCACCAGACAGCTAGGAGGGAATGACCAGCCTCCCTGCTGTGGCAAAAAACCGGAGTCTTACAACTCTGGTTGGAGGAGAATAGGGTAGATGTTCTGGAGGACTGGCTTGCCTATTCCATCCCATTGAACATGTTTGGGTACACCTCAAGAAGTTTTACCATCAACAGTACCCCCATTTGGCATATGGTACTAGATCGCCTTAAGTATTAAAGCCCCTCGTGGAGGAAGGTCTAATTCATTGCTGGGAACTGTTACCTGATGATTTATTTGGTAGCTAGTTGAGAGCATGCCTAGGAGAATAGAGCTGTTATAAAGGCAAGGGGTTGGTGCACAAGATATTAAATATCAAATTAATTTTATTTAGCTACTATTTAACAACTATACAAAAAACCAGCTCTCCAAAGGATCAATTGTGGTTGCTGGGTGGGTAGTCGTGGTGGCCCGGGAGGTTGCTACGCCGCGCCTTCCCATGATTTATGGCCTAGAACTATACATATATCTAGTTAGTGGACACGCCCCAGATCGAGACGAGCCTGGCCCGGGGCTCGATCGAGCCGGCATGGACTAGTTGTGAGAGTAACTGAAGGCCCCTGCAGGTGTTCGAACCCAGGCAGTTGCAAATAAGCTCGAGCTCACATCATCAAAATAGCCACCTCGATTGAGTTCTCATTTTTAAGGGTCCATTCTGCATGGGGATCTATCTTGATTACATATCTCATTTGCCATTATATTATGGTCTTGCCATCAGCTAGCCCAGAATCGAGTTTTTCCAATCGTGGAACGAGCGTGTGGTAGAATTAAGAATATTTAACTGCTATACATGCCCGCACCGGACGTAATTGCAAGATAGTGGAATAAATAACCAGTGAGACCCCCTAGTCACACACTGGAGCTTGGAGTAGTTTTTGGATTACTATTTACGATGAATGGTATGGGGTGGTTCTTTTTCACATCACTACATCATGTCTATATCTACACCTCTATCTACACCCTCTACTCCCACCCCCCTACTTCCCCACCACAAAATTGACCACCCTCCCCCCTCCCGCCACCACACTCTTCACCACCCTCTCCCGTCCCCCAACCCACTTCCCCCCCTCCCTCGTACCCAGAAACCTCTCCAACACATACTCCGCCGCCCCCTCCGCCGCCATCCTCTCCGCCTCCACCTCCATCACAAGCCTCACCTTCCCGTCCACCTGCACCGCACACCTCACACGCTCCTCCACCACGCCCTCCAGCGCCGCCACATCAACGGCCGGCCACCCCCGCTGCAGCACCGGCGCCGCCCCCGGCCGCAGCACCGCCCAGCACTCGCTCGCAAACGCCGGCGCAACAGGCGCCATCATGTGCACCAGCGTCTCGAGCGCCCTATACCGCACGCCCGCGCCGACGCCCGCACCGGGCTTTAGGCCGTGCAGCGTGTTGGTCAGCTTCGTCAGCGTGCTGATGACCGTGTTCAGCGCGTACGTCTCTGAAAATGAGGACGTCACCTCCTTCAGCGTCACCTGCACCTCCCTCCACAGTCGCTTCTCCGCCGTCGTCTCTGCCACCACTGCTGCATCCGGGTCGCTCGGCACTTCACCAGCAGCAGCAGTGGTGGAGACCAGCCCCCACACCCTCCCAAACCACCGCTGTATGCCCACAATCCTGTGCTCGTCCCACTCCAGCACGTCCTCGACCGCCGCTTGGAACAACACATGCGCCCTCGTCGCATCCGCGCCATACGTTGCAATCGTGGCAGCAGGATCAACGCCGTTGTGCTTGCTCTTGGACATCTTCTCGTACGTGACGGTTGGCTGCACGCCGTCTGTGCCGGCGATGGTGCCGTCGGCGGCTAGGTCGGACGGCGTGAGGAACTTGCCCGTGGACGGGTGCGTGTAGGTGCGGCCGTGGACCATGCCCTGCGTGATGAGCTTGCGGAAGGGTTCGGCGGCGTTGGCGGCGCCGCCGCCGGACGGCCAGTGGCCGGAGGAGTGCAGGAATTTGGCGATGAAGCGGGAGTAGAGGAGGTGCAGGATTGCGTGTTCGACGCCGCCGATGTAGAGGTCGACGGGGAGGAGGGAGGTGGATTCTTTAGAGAAGAGTCTGTGGTGGGGGGTTAATAGGTGGGTATGGAGGAGAGGGGGAGGGGGGGTACTCTTTCTCATTATGCGGGTCCACAAAACGCATATAATACCAACTACTATCCACAAACGTATCCATCGTATCCGTATCCCTCTTCGCCTTCCCACCACAGGTCGGGCACGTCGTATTAACCCATTCCTCCACTGCCGCCAATGGACTCCCTCCCCTCCCCTTGATATCCACCCCCTCCGGTAGCCGCACGGGCAGATCCTCCTCCTTCACCGGCACAACCCCACAAGCATCACAATGCACCATCGGGATCGGCGTCCCCCAATACCGCTGCCGACTCACCAGCCAATCCCTCAGCCGCCACTGTGTCTTCTCATTCGCCCACTTCTCCCCCAGCCGGTCCACAATCGCCTTCTGCGCCTCCGCCGAGGCCATACCAGCAAACTCACCGCAGTCCCCCGACAGGACCCCGTGCGCCGTAAACACCTCCGCGCCAGCAGCACCGGCCGGAGGGAGGATAACGGTCTTGACCCCCTCCCCCGGACAGTTCTGCGCCCAGAACGCTGCATCGCGGACGTCGTGGCCGGGCACACCCATGACCGCGCCTTCGCCATACCCATCGAGCACATACTCGGCCGCAAACACTGGTAGCGGCGGCGCCCCAGGGAGGAGCGGGTTCGTGGCCGTTACGCCCGGGAGACGGAACCCGTGCTTTGCTTTCCCGTCCGGCGAGGCGGCCTTGCTCTCCTCTGCGGCCTTTACGAACCGCGCCAGCGCCGCGTTGGTCGCGGCGAGGCGCTGCACGAGCGGGTGCGAGGTCGACAGCGCGAGGTACTGCGCGCCGTGAAGCGTGTCCACCCGTGTTGTAAACACCTGCACTGTCTGCTCGGCTGCGCCGTCGACCGCGACGGGGAAGCGGACCTCTGCGCCGCGGCTGCGGCCGATCCAGTTTCGCTGCTGCGCGCGGACCCGCTCCGGCCAGAGGTCTTTGAGGACGTCGAGGTCGTCGAGCAGCGACTCTTGGTAGGCTGTGATCTTGAGGAACCACTGCTTGAGCAGTTTCTGCTCGACCAGGGCGCCGGAGCGCCAGGAGTGGCCGGTGGCAGAGACTTGTTCGTTTGCGAGTACGGTCTGGTCGACGGGGTCCCAGTTGACGAGGGACTCGGCGCGGTAGGCGAGGCCTGCGGCGTGGAGTTTGAGGAAGAGGCGCTGCGTGTGCGTGTAGTAGTCGGGGCTGCAGGTCGTGAGTTCCTACCACCCTCAATAACCCCGTCAGCGCTGGTCAGCGGGGAAGAGAGGGAAGAGGGGAAGAGAGGTGGGTAGGCATACATACTCTCCCCCAATCAAACGCCACGCCCATGCCCTCAAACTGCCTCTTCATCGCGGCGATATTCTGCTCCGTCCACAGCCTGGCGTCGACGCCGCGCTCGATGGCCGCGTTCTCGGCGGGCAGGCCGAAGGCGTCCCAGCCCATGGGGTGCAGCACGTGGCGGCCCTGCATGCGGCGGAAGCGCGAGAGCGTGTCGGAGATTGTGTAGACGCGCAGATGGCCCATGTGCAGTGTGCCCGAGGGGTAGGGGAACATGGAGAGGATGTAGAATTTCTTTTTGTCCTCGGAGGTGGAAGGAGGGGGAGGGTGTTGGAGGTGGGACCGCCATTTGGCGTCCAGGGCGGGGAAGTCGAGTTTTGGACTGGGGGTGCGGGTGGAGGTGGTGTTGGGGCGGTGGAGGAGGGGTGTGAGCAGCGCTCGGGGGTGGTGCAGGCAGCGCAGTGCTGGGCGCGGGGCCGCGAGCAGGGTGAAGGGGAGGCGGCCGCCCATCTGTACTCTCTGGCAGTCCTGTATCGCAATTGAGCGCTGTCTGCAAGTGGACGGGCTGTATCTCCACCGGTGGTGAACTTGGGAGGTGAGGTTCAAAATCTGTGTCTGTGGGTTGGGTGATCGACAAGATGCAGCACACCCCGCTGTCTTGGCGTTGCGGCTCTGTGCCTACTGGCCGAGTGATGGTCTGTGATGCCCCAGTCTTCGGTCTTCGGTCTTCGGTCTTCGGTCTACAGCGCACAGAGCAGAGCGTGACACAGACAAGATAGGGGCATATTGATATGATTACGGGTTGAATCCCCCTCTGTCTTCTTCTCATCCCAACATCCAATCCCATCCCATCCCATCCCATCTTGATTGTGCACTGGTTAGGCGCGCGGCATACCGTGGTTCGCATCCCCACCATCAGCCAACCAGGCAGTGACAGTGACAGCTGCTGGGTAATTGCGCAATTCGAGCACCCTGCTCTGGTTTGTGCGTGAGAGTGTGTGAGTGTGAGTGTGAGAGAGAGAGTGTGTGTGCTTGTGCTTGTGCTTGTGAGCGAGGAGATGTGATCTGAGATGGGGCAGAGAGTGACGCAAGCAAAAACTCGCTTATCGTGTGTGACCGGTGCCAAGCTAGCTAGGACGATCTCTCTCTCTCCCTCTCTCTCTCTCTCACTCTCAGCACCCGCACTCACCGCACCGCACCGAGTGACCGAGTGACCGAGTGGCTTTCTGACTAGGCCAAAACACCCCCCCCAAGTAAATACACACCACCCCCCATGCCCCGCCTCCCCCCCCACCTCCTCCACCGCGCCCACGCGCACTCCCCCCTCCTCCCACTGCTCCTCCCCCCCTGCCGCGACGCCCCCTCCGCCCTCTCAGAGCTGCGCTGGCTGCGCGCCCACGCCGCCACCACGTCGCAGCCCCTCCGCCCACTGTGCGAGCGCCGCCGCCGCGGTGAGCCGCTCCAGTACATCCTGGGCACGCAGCCGTTCGGCGACTTGGAGATGCTGTGTCGGAGGGGGGTGTTGATTCCACGGTCTGCTTCTCTCTCTCTCTTCCCCTGGCTAGCGGCGTACTGACAGCGAGTAGACAAGAGACAGAAGACCTAATCCACCGCCTCGCCGCCCTCCTCGCCACCACCAACCCCCCACTACACGCCCACTCCGCATCCTGGACCTCTGCACCGGCACCGGCTGCATCCCCCTCCTCCTGCACTCACTCCTCCCCGCCTCCACCACCACCCTCGCAATCGACATCTCCCCGCGCGCAATCCACCTCGCGCGCCGCAACCTACGCCATAACGTCGGTCGCGGCGCGCTCCCTGCGTCCGCCGCACAGAACGTCACGTTCCAGAGAGGCGACGTGCTGGATGTGCCGAAGCTGCTGGACGCCGTGCGCGCCCACTTCGGCCCGGGGGAAGGGGGGGGGAGGGGAGTGGTGGACGTAGTGGTGTCCAACCCGCCGTACATCTCGGCGCGCGGATTCGACGTGGAGACGGCGGCGTCGGTGAGGCGGTATGAGCCGCGGCTTGCGCTTGTGCCTGGTGGGGAGGGAGGGGATGGGTTTTATCCGGTTGTGGGGAGGGTGGCGGGGGAGCTGGGGGCGGGGGTGGTGGTTGTGGAGGTGGGGGGGTGGGGGCAGGCGGGGAGGGTGAGGAGGAGGTGGAGGGAGGAGGGGATGGGGGGGTGGGAGGGGGTGGAGGTGTGGAAGGATTATGCGGGGAGGGGACGGGGCGTGGTGGCGTGGAGGGGGGTGGGGTGGGAGTGGATGGGAGGGGGATGTGGAGGGGAGGTGAATTGAGGTTTGTTTGACCGAGTGAGTGTAGTTGAGTGAGTGAGTGAGTAGTGTAGCTGCGGACGTGAAGTGTGAATTGTGCACAAAAACCTTTTGAGTGACCTAACATGCATACCCACTACATTGGAACAACACAAACAAAAACAAGCAATACAATACAAGCTGGAAATAGCAATAGAATGGAAAAAGAAAAGAAAACAAAAAAGAAAAATAAAAAACAAAAAGAGCATCATTCCGATCCCCGTCCCCACTACTGTACACCCACCCCATCCATCCCATACAAGCATAAGAACTACAACCACAACTACATGTAGCTACATGTAGCTACCCCCCAAACCCCCGGGCCATGTCATCATATCACCTGCATAATCATAAAAGCTTGTCCTCCCCTCCCCTCCCAGCACCCAGTACCCAGTACCCAGCTCCGCGGTTATTGACCCCCCCCCCCCCCCACAAACCACACTACACGCACTACCTCCGCACCCTAACATCCCCCTCCCCCTCCTCATCGCTATCGTCCCGAAAGCCCTCCTCCAGGTCCGCGTCGTCGGGCAGCATCACACGTCCCGGGCCCGAGAACAGGGTCTGCAGCGGGACGTTCATGCTCTGCAGCATGGGGCGCAGCGCGATGCGGTAGGCGATGAAGAGGATTGTTGCGCAGGTTAGTGTTAGGAGGGAGGTCTGGGGGGTGGTTTGTTAGTGCGGTGTGCGGTGGTGGGGGTGGGGAGTGGACAGCTGGGGGAGAGGGGAGAGGGGGGGGGGGGGAGTACGGTGATGAAGTTGGCGATGGTGCCGGCCATGTTGGTGTGTTTGGGATGGGAGGGTGTGGGTGTGGTGGTTTAGATCACGGTGCGGTGGGACAGCTTGGGATGGCTGGGGCTGGGCTAGGCTAGGTGTCTGGGTCTGCAGCTTGGTATTGTATTGTATTGTATTGTATTGTTTGTTTATGTTCTTCGATTCCACAGCGAGCAGAGCAGAAGAGCTTCGGCGAGCTCGAAACAGGCAGGACGTAAGGTCGGTCGGTAGGTGAGGTCGGTAGGTACAGTAGATAGAATAAAAGTCATGTCACATCATGCAGCACCCAAGCAAACCCAAACCCACGCGTGCCCTGGGCTGAAACCTGAGACATGTGGCGATACCCACTCAGATCAAGTTGCAATTGAATGAAACCCTTGCCTTGCAATGCTTGTGACTCTGGGCAACAGGCCTGACAAAGCAGAGCAGATCCATAAGCGCCCTGGACCCAGGTAGATATACAAAATCTATGTAGTCTAGGGAAGGTGCTCTGCCCTAGGTAAAGAAAGGTACATACAGAAAGGTACAGATACTCTCTCTACATGTAGGCAAGGTGGTCTGTACTCTCTACTCAACTCTCTAAGCGAGCGAGCACGACCTCAATAGCTTGCTTGCTTGCTTGCTAGCTAAGTAGAGTAGCTAGCTGTTTCTGGCGCAGATAGGGGTCACTCTCGGATTTATCATGTATTATTGTATTTATTTTTGGGTCATGACTAGCTTTGAACTAGAGTATATCCGCACGGAAGAAGGGGGGGGGGGGGGGGAGGGAGGGTGAAAGAAAAATTTACACCCTTCATCTTGTGCCTGTTGTCCAATCAGTCAATCAAGGCAGGGAGGTAGGCAGGCAAGCAAAGTAAACAGTGAGTCTTTGGTTGACGGTGGTTGTTGTGGTTGACACTGGCAAACTTGTGGTGCCTGCGGCAACAAACGAGAGACTGGTAGAGGATACATCCACATGTCCACCGCCCCCCTCTACGTACAGCCAGCCAGCCAGCCAGCCAGCCAGCCAGCGGAGGAGAACATAGGATATCGAGAAACAAACGCTCGCTCGCAGTTTTAACGGTTAACTACATACGTATACATACCAGCTTGTTTTCTTTTATCGCCATCCAGCTAGCCAGCCGCCTATAGCCGCCATTGTGAGGTTGTGCACCAATCACCACGCCGCTACCTACGTACCACCGCCGACCGACCGCTGACGTCCGCTAGCGACTTTCTTTAATTCGGAGGGGCTGCTACTTTGTGGACAAGGCGGGGAGGGTCTCAGGGGTAGGAAAAAAAAAAAAAAAAAAAGGAAACTGAGAAATCAAGGTCAAAAACAAAGATCACACAGAGGGACGGTTCGAAATAAAGTGCTTGCAGGAGGGGCAAACTGCTGCTGCTACTGACTGCCAATACAGCCTGAGGCTTGGAGAAAAACCATTAACGAACTAGGGTCGTCCTCAACTCAACTCGGGTCAGGGAGGGGTGGCTTCTTTTGATTCTATCTGGTCTTGTCACCACACAACCCCCCAACATCCACCCACCACCACACACAACCACCTCCTTCACTTCCATTACAACCACAACACTCCTTCATCCCTCTCCCCCCCCCCCCCCCCCCCCCCCCCCCCCCCCCCCCCCCCCCCCGGGCCACTTTTACCATCAATACATCCACGCAACCCACGCAAACAACGAAACAATAAAATAAACAAAACCCGCTCAGGGCGCGGATGTTAGACCACCAACGATCACCACCTCGATCCCACAGCGCGACAGCACCATCGCCAGCATCCCCGGAGTTTTCCCAAACCCCGACCCCGACGTCGACCCCCCCGACGCCCCATGTCTAACCACTCCAATACCGCATCCCGCCCGTCGGGAGGCGGGAAATCATCCATCTTCTCACGGAATAAGCTTCCAAAGGTAGCACCCTTCTCCAGCTCCTCCTCCTCCTCAAAGGGCGGAGACCCCCACCCCCCCACAGATGCGGACAGCTTAAAGAGCTCATCACGAAGCAAGAGCCATCCTTCGCGCCTGTCCATGTCGAGCTCAAAGAGCGACAACAGCAGGCGGGAGAGCCACTATTACACCAGCGATCTGTCGCCCACGCAGACGAACGGCTACTCGGCCGGCATTGTAACCTCGATCCCGTACGACAGCGTGTCGGCGGACCTCAAACGCCAGCCAATACCGCTGGATCATGGCCTGAGGCCAGTGTCGAGGGGCGATGAACAGGTAACCCCCCATGCGCTGGGTAAGTTTGGCGATTTTCATCAGTACCCACAGGTTCACCCGTCGGTCGATCAGCAGCAGCAGTACTTGCATGGTTCAGGGCAGAGGCCCCAGCCTTCTCACTACGGGTCGTCGTCGTCGACGGCTACGCTCAACTCACAGCACCAGCAATATCAGCAGGGATATGTAGCTTACAACAGCAATTATCAGCCGCCGAGCCCTTATTCGAACTCAACGTTTGCCTCTCGCCAACAGGATGCTCACAGTCAACACCAGCACCACCACCACCACCAGCAACCGCAGCAACAGGAACCACAGTACTACGGCTCAAACGCGTCGGACTCTTCATATCAGCGCTCCGACCAGGCTTCAATATACTCCTCCATCTCATCGGCGACTCGGAATTCTATTGTGTCCGTCGCTCCGAGCGTGGCCGATCTTATCCCATCCCCGATGAACTTTAGCTCTGCGGATGGATTTGCACTGGAGCGCCCTCGAGACGACCGGGAGGTGGAGCGGATGTTTCAGGAACTGATGGAGAAGAGAGGCTTTTCGGGACTTCCGAAAGAGGCGCAACGCGGGATCATGGCTTATCCGACGAGCAAAAAGTGGATCTTGATCCACCAGGATAAACTCGCAGACTTCCAGGCGGAACAGAAGAGGCGGGCAGCGGCGCAGGCACAGGAGAGAGATCCGGACGAGGGCGGTCCGGAGTGGTATGTGAAGAAGATTATGGACGGCACGATCAGTGTGAAGCAGCTCGGGAGTTTGAGTGTGTCTCTTCGGACACAACCTATTAGGTACGCCGCCCGCCAAGATTTCATTTTTTTTGTTAGAGAGTGGCTAATATTGCGGTGCTCCCAGTTGGGTCAAGAAATTTATTGAGGCCCAGGGACAGGTCGCTCTGACGACTGTTCTCCGGAGCATAAATAATCACACGGGAAAGAACGCCGCCGGATCAGATGCTATTCTCGACCGAGAATATGATATTGTAAAATGTTTAAAGGCGATTATGAACAGCATGTATGGCGCTGAGGATGCCTTTAAGCACCATCACTGTGTTTCTGCGCTTACGGCATCGCTCACCTCGCCCCGAGTGACAACCCGAAAGCTTGTCTCAGAGGTTTTAACCTTCTTGTGTCATTGGGAACGACCGATCGGTCACACCAGTGTTATTGCAGCGTTAGACCAGCTAAAAACCTATCAAGGAGAACATGGCAGGTTCGACTCCTGGCTCAGGATCGTCGAGGTTACTATCGACGGTCGAGGGAAGCTCGGAAGTCTTGTGGGTGCTAGTGAGGAGGTTCGATCCGGAGGTATTGGAATGGAAAGTTTGCTTATGGAATATGCCCTCGCGACACTATTCTTGATCAATATCATTGCCACCGGCTGCGACGATCTCCATGCTCGTATTCACATCAGGGCACAGCTGAAGGCATGCGGGTTCCAGAGGATCTCGACAAAGATGCAAGGGTTCCAGTACGAACTCATCGACAAGCAGATCCAAAAGTACGAAGATGACGCCGCAGCGGACTACGACGAGCTTATGGAGAGGGATGGGGGTAGTATGGCGGATAGTATAGAGGGGGATCCAAAGGATCTCAACGACCCCACTGCTATCGTAGATGCTATCATGACCAAGGTTCAGGGTTCTCAAGCGCAGGACTACTTTGTGTCGTCGCTGCAGCATCTATTGCTCATGCGGGACAACAACCACGAGGACCGACTGCGCATGTTCCAGCTTGTTGATTCTATATTAGGTTATGTCGTTATGGACCGGCGCCTGCCGGATATGGAGTTGAAGGCGAGTCTGAACTTTTCGGTTCAGGCGCTTATGGACAAGCTGCATACAGATGCAGAGGCCCGTCATGCGCTCGAGCAGGCATCCGAGTCGCGGCAGATTGCAGAGAACGCGATTGCCGAGCGAGATGCCATGAAGGAGCAGATTGCCATGGGCGCGGATGGACTAATTGCAAAACTACAGCAGCAATTGGAGGAACAGACGCAGGTGATTGAGATTGGTAGACGGCAAATCATGGGGCTTACCGGAGAGCTAGAGGAGATCAAGCTCGCACATGCTATGCAGATGCAGAAGAGTGAGCTGGAGACCAGAGAGCTGTATCTCATGCTCCGAGACTCTCAGGATGTGGCAGACGCCGCGCACGCGGAGAAGGTCAAGAAGGCAAAGAAGGAGGGGAAGCCTATTCCGGAGGAGCTGAGCGTTGCCCAGATGAAGGGTATCATGGACAGGCAGAAGCTTATGATGAGGCTCGAGACGCAATTGGAGCGGAAGAAGACTGAGTTCAAGCTCGAGGGTAAGGTGTGGCAACAGGTAGCACCGAGTGATAGGTTGAGGGAGCTCCGGGAACGTATGGACGCCGTTCAACGGGAGGCCAGACAACTTGAACAGGAGCACTTTGAGGAGGCGAAGAGACAACGAATTGTCTCTGAAACTTTCAGAGGAGGTAATAACGATGGTGTTTACCACACATCACTAGGGAGGAGGACTTCATCGGCGCCTAATCTTGCTGAGAGGGAGATAATGAGGAGGAAGGATGCTGAGCGGGAAGATGGAATTCCGGAGGTGAGCGAGGGCGAGTATGAGGAAGGAACCATTGGAATTGAAAGAGCAAGAATTATCACCCTTGGGAAGAGAGCAAAGAGACCTATGAGACCAAGACCTAAGATGCCAGCCGACCAGGCTACTGGATTGTTGGGTGAACTTAAGGGTAAGGTTCCTAGGTTCGATCCCGAAAGTGGTAATGATGGGGAGGGTGAAGATGAAGGTCTGGATGGGGATTCGATTGCTGGAGAGGATGGGGTCACCACCGGACGCTCGCACTCTAGCAGTGAGTCCGATTCTCCGAAGACGCCTGTGGACCTTGGCACTCCTGCAACGGGCGAGGAGGCCAAACTTGATGGGCCTGCGGCGCCTGCTGTACTTATCCCAGGGTTTCTCCCGGTGGCTCCTCCCCCACCGCCCCCACCGCCGCCAGGTACGCCAGGAGCCCCCCCTATTATGGAGGGGTTCAACGCCAATGCTCCTCTGCCACCTGGGGTGGCGTCAGTCGTAGGATGCTTCCCTAGTGAGTTCAAAACCACTGCTCCTCCGGCACCTCCTCCACCTCCGGGCATGGCTGGATTACCTGGGTTCAAAACCGACTCCCCCGCAGCACCCCCGCCACCTTTTGGTATGCCAGGTTTTGGTAATAGCGCCCCACCACCCCCACCACCTAATGGAATGGTTGGCTTCAAGACCGGTGCTCCTCCTCCTCCTCCTCCGCCACCCCCGGGCATGGCTGGATTTATTAATGGTGCCCCCCCTCCTCCACCTCCTCCACTGCCGGGCTTCTCGGGTGTTGGGCCTCCGCCTCCTCCACCTCCGCCACCAGGTCCTGGGGGGTTCAAGATAGGAGGGGCCCCACCACCACCTGGAATGCCTGGCATGCCTCCGCCGCCGCCTATGCCCATGGGTATGATCTATGGCGGAGCTGGTGCGTTGTTCACCGGTATGAGGCCGAAGAAGAAGCTGAAGCCAATGCATTGGGAGAAGCTGGATGGTGTAGAATACACCATTTGGGCGAGCCGATTCGATAAGGACGCAATGTACGACGAGCTGAGCAAGAAGGGTATCTTGGAGGAAATGGAGCGCCTGTTTGCGTTTAAGGAGGCCAAGATATTGAAGAAATCCGCTGGTGCGGCCGAGAAGAAGAAGGAGTTCTTGGACTCCTCGATCGTCAAGGCTTTCCAGATTTCGCTGTCCAAATATGCCAATATTCCTGTTGACCAGCTTGTCAAGAAGATCCTGTCTTGTGACAAGGATATGCTTGATAACTCGGCAATCATGGACTTCTTGCTGAAGGACGAGCTTTGCGTTATCTCTGATAACCTGTCGAAGAACTTGACACCCTATAGCATCGACTGGACAGAACCCGATGCCGAGAAGCAGAAGCGTGAAGCTGATCCCAACGAGTTGCGAAGAGAAGACCATATCTTCCTGGAGACGGCCTTCAATTTGCACCACTACTGGAAGGGTAGGATAAGAGCCTTGGCGTTGACAAGAAGCTTGGATCCGGACTACACAGAGTTGCAAGGAAAGCTGCACCAGATCGTCAAGGTTGCAGACAAAGTCCGAGGTTCGAAGGCGTTCCACGGGGTGCTCAACGTAGGTTACTTTTTGCTAGGTTTAAGGTTTGGCGCTAGTACTAATCCGTGTTTAACTAGGTTATTTTGACGATGGGTAATTTCATGAACGATACCAATAAGCAAGCTTCTGGTTTCAAGCTCGGAACACTCTCCCGATTGGTGAATCTGAAGGATGATAAGAACCAGAGGTCACTCATGGACTATATCGAGATGTCGATCCGTAACAAGTTCCCTGAATGGCAGTCTTTCATCGATGACTTGTACGAATGTATCGCACTAGAAAAAGGTTTGTATACAGTTTCCGAGTCTCCTTATGTGTAAATAAAAACGACTGTGGCTGACGAAGTTGTGGAATAGCCGATGTGGATAACTTGATGCAGCAAGCAAAGAAGTTCATCGACAACATTCATAACATCCAGGCCTCAGTCGACGCCGGAAATCTCAGTGATCCGAAGAAATTCCATCCTCAGGATCGTGTCTTGCAGGTCGTATTACCGATCTTGCCCGAGGCGAGAAAGAAGGCGGGATACCTTAAGGATCATTTGGATGCCATGACGAAGACATACAATGATCTTCTTACGTACTATGGCGAGGACCCGGCGGATGAGCAGTCGAGGAAGAGGTTCTTCAAAATGATTGCGGACTTCTTGAAGAATTACAAGGTAAGTTTCCGCCCCTTTTGTGGAAGACTTTGCGCTAGGTATTGATTTTGTGCTAGGTGTCAAATCGCAAGAATTTGGAGCTCGAGGACGACGAGAAACGACGAGAGAAGATAAGGGTCCAGACCGGCGCTGGGTCCGGGTTGCCGGGGTCCAGCACGGACCGGCTCGCCCCCAACAAATCTGGTGCTATGGATGCGCTACTTGAGAAGCTTAAGCAAGCTGGTCCAGCACATCGAAAAAGACGCCGTGACCAGTACAAGCGCAACGGCCGAACAGCATCAGGTACAAGTGAACGAACAGTATCTGGTCAGAGTACTGCTGGGGAGCCTACATCTGGTGGAGAATCAGCATCACCTGAGATGCTCCTTACGCCAATGACACTCCCGGTTATTGAGGCGACAGATGAAGAGGACTCCTTGACATCCAGGTCGCAGGAGATGTTAATGCGGTTACGTGGAGAGAACAGTGGTGATGGTGCAGCTAGTGGAACGGCTGGAAGTCTTCGTGTGCGAAGGAAAAGGGGTAGCGGAGATGATTCGAGGAGGGAGAGGAGGAGAAGACAAGGGAGCAATGTGTCGGCATCTGGCACTGATGCTGCTCTAGAGGGAGAGGATGCAGAGAATCCGGATGAGATGATCGCAAAGGCGAAGTTGGCGTTGATGAATATGCGAAGAGGATCGGAGGCGGATGTAGAGGAGGATGCTGCGGCTGGAATGCCAACACCCACAACGATTGTATCGCCGCCATCGCCAGAGCCAGAAAAGGCAGAGCCAGCCGTTGCGGCTCCAGAGTAGTGTGCTTTTTGGTCAAGGGGTTTTCTTGCGGTTTGGTTTTCCTTTTTGTTCCCCCCCCCCCCCCCCCCCCACTGGGGTTTATTTCTTTATTAGCCCTCGCCTCAAAGTGGGGGGTAATTAATGGGTTTCTCGTTCTCTACGGGTCTGTGGTTTCTTTATGTTTTTTTCTTCTTTCTGTGGGGGTTTCCTAAAGTTGTTTTTATTATCCCTATTCTTTCTGGTTCTTTGTATATGGAAATTTTTCTTTCCGTTTTGCCTGCCTGATATCTTCCTTCTTTACTGGCATGGCATAGCCTGACACTAGCTGAACATTTTACCCTTTCCTTTGTCTAATATCTTTTTTTCGAGTACTGGACTCCCTATACTTTGTCGGCATGTTCTGGAATGGTCGGTTTAGTCTGGTCCCGGCCTATACATAGTCCTTGTGTCACTTCTGTAATGACATATTTGTTAGTTCCCATTACGGACACACTACATATGCGCTCCTTCACTCCCTCCCTTCCTCCCTCCAATCTCGGGTTTTATTTTTCCTTATTGTTCAATATCCTCTTTTTAGTCTGTTAATTTCCTTACTGCCAGGTGGATGGGTTGTTGGTTGGTCGGCTGGTGGGTTGGTGGGTTGGTGGGGTTGTTTGGTAGCTTTTCCTTTTTACTTTCTTACCTATTCTTCTTCTGTGGATTACGCTGTATTTTAAGGGCCTACCATGGAGGGTGATTTTTTCTATTCCTTATCTAAGTCTATATAACTGTTTAGTTTACTGTTAGCTGTCGATACCGAAATTGAGTACAGTATGTAAAGAGCAAGGGGGTGCGTAGAACTTTAGTTACGTATATGTTTCGGGCAAGTAAAGAAATGGCTTCGGTGGGCGAGTGATCCTCTGTGACGCGGTGGGAGGAACTAATCAGTTATTGGCCATCCTTCATCAGGCGTCACTCGAACCTTTGCAGCGAAACGAGTGATATCAGATGAACGTAGTCTGGGCTAGAAGATTTGGTACCTAGAGGGCTTTAGGTTCAAACTCTATTTTTCCTTTCTTTCAATCACGATACGCGAGTTACTTGGCCAGAGGTCTGTGCAAAAGATAATGCATCGTGCCCAGGAACTTTTTCTTGGCGCTGGTCGACCCATCAAGTATTACTTCCAACGAGTAGAGATTGTGTGGGCGAGTTGATCTAGGGGTACTTCTTGTTTTTCTCATATCATCTTCATGTACTCTTCGCTTAAAGATCTGACGAACACCTCTATTAATACATAATACCCAATCTGATCATGAAAAGGGTTCCACATACTCCAAGATGAGGCCTTATTTTCCTGTTGAATTGAACAAGGTCCTGGCTTGAGCGGTCTCGAGTTTCGTATCCCTCAATCTTGCCCTATTAAGTCCTTCCAGCCTACTCTTTTGCACATATACTCACGTATTGATTAACTCATGAGAATTATTGGTAGCAACGATCTCACAAAGTTTCTCAGAATTTAGTTATCGCTCGAGTAAATATCTTAGTTTGAGTTCTTTCGGAATATTTTTTAAAAAAAAGAACTAAGAGTCACGTCACCCATACCATGTATGCTAAACGAAAGATTCAGTCTGATCCTGGGTTCGTAACACCATAGCGCTCCAGTTTTGCATACTATGTATGCATATTAGAGTCATCAAATTCGTAGTATTTGAACCATTTGAACCGATTTGGAGATTGGATAATATGTGGTGATTGATTTCGTGGGGCGGGGTGGCCTGTTTTTTTTACTCAGACCTGTAGCGGTGGTAGTATCATAGATTTGTCCGCGATAAGGTTCACTAAGCAAATATAACGTCGTTGCTCACTCTTGTGAAGTCAATAGAGGGAGATATCGATGTCTCGTACCTAAAACGCTCCCGGGCGCTCCAAAGGGGCCCTCATGGCTCATAAGACGTATGCACCTAGGCTTAGTATATATGTAGCCTCACCTCGAGTAGACTAGAGGTCCTTGAAAGCAGCCAGAACACTTGGGGCAAGTTTAAAAGCTGGCTCGAATCAATTCCCAACCCCGGCACGGGTGATCTTTATATATTCAGTATTCGTAGTGTTACAAGCTGCTACCTATCTAATTGTTAGGCAACGCTTTAATAGTCATATCACTTTGTTTGTAGGTCGATATTTTGAAATATCCTCATTCAGAGTCAAAGAAAGAGGGAACGTGGAGCGAACTCTAGGCGTATACGTGCCTGACCCGGCACAGCTCGAATAAGAGACTAGGCCCCCCAATCGAAGTAGATACAACTAGACACATTCCCTCCTCTTCGAGTTGCCTTGTGGATCATACTACCAATTCGCCCTCGCTGTACAGTAATTGATTTCCCGGTAGTTAGAACTTGAAACTCATAGATATGATATCGATGAGCTCAAGGCTCCCCTATGTATGTATATACTATCCTTGCAATATCTCGGCAGCAATGCGTTGTTTCTGCTGTTACATACATCCAGTATGATGGTCATCCCAGTAAGAGTGATCAAGGACTCCGTAATGGTTCTAACAACTAACTGGTGGAGTTAAGTGGGGCGACGAATCTCGAGCGAGATCATAAGTCCGATAGTTTGAAAATCTGTCGGCATGTTATCTAGGAGTACTGTGAAGGTTATTCTCCCCAGCTCGAAATGTATGTCCCAATCATTGATGAAAGGATATACAGTGGAGTCCCGATAGTAGCAACCTCGATAATAGCATATCCTCGATAGTAGCATATGTTTGGGCAATCCCAAACGAGTCGGTACGGGCAAAGTTGTTCTCGATACAAGCATATCCCCGATAGTGGCACACGAAAATCCGTTCCCGACCATATGCTATTATCGAGACTCCACTGTATAGGGCTTATAGACTACATACATCGTGATGGGATCCTGAAATGAAGTAAATGTAGTTGAGGTGATAACGTATTGTTTTGAGCTAAGCTTCGAAGTACGTAACTCGAGTGAGATATTATGAAGTGGCCCAAAATAAGGCCAGGTTACTAGCTGCATATAGTGTAGTGTCAATCTAGGTGTCTCAATAAACGCTCTGCCCCTGGTTTACGACATACATACATGCACGATGTAGAGTATGCATATCTTAGTACATACAGGTAACATGGGACTTACTCGGGAGTCGGGACAGGCAATAAAGCTGCAAGCAGGAGCTCGATTTGGTATAGCTTTCCGCTACATCCAGAGGACGCTATATTTACCATCAAAAGTCAATTTCAAGATCTTTCCTACTTTCAACACATACATGTATGCACTTATAACTTTTTAGACCAGTACACATTTCCTACCTGAGTGATAGCGCACAGAACAGTACTACGCTAAGTGTATTTTTGCCCTGATCTTCATGAGTGTTTATTACATGTATTCCTTTACCTTTTTCTTTAAGCAAACGGCCACCATGATTGGATATAATTCACATTCGAGTTATTCCTCAGGAGTTGAGGGGCTACGACTCTCGAAATAGTAACTTGACATTTTTATAAAAAGGCATCTACACAGGGATCACTCACTGGGTATAGAGATAAGCAGACCACGCTATCTGTCTATCAGTGCCATCACAGCCAGACGAAAGGCAATCCTACGCTTCATTGATCGTAATGTTAACAGTTCCCTGCTTGACAAACGGCTAGCTCCCGAAGCCGCATAGATTCTTGGCAGATATAAGCTGCACAGGCACACGCTAAGATCGTACCAAGGTGTATCCTGCATATCAAGATTTACAGAACTGTTGTCATCGGAGTTTGATGGTGGGGATAGGCAATTACGGGGAACTGGAGATGTCTCATGTCATATGATTTGGAGCTTGTTCCTACTAATCAGACTCTAGCCTTACGATTCCGAAGTCCCCGAACACGCCTCCCCCGATAATTGCTCTTCATGGGGGAATTTATCCAACTTAGAGCTACCAATGTAGCTAATAATTCACCAATTATCGCAGGGTGCACTTAGAGCTCGAGTGTTTTATGATTATGGCACATTGTACTTTACGTGTTGCATATTCAGTAGGAACGCCAACGCCGCCGCAAACCCGAAAATCCACCTCCAATGGTGATTCCAAAGTAACGAACAGTCAATTTCAGGTCCAATTGCTATTTATGAGTGACTTGTCATGATCCTGAGCGATTTCTCGGCACATTTCGGTATCGTCGTCACTGTGGGGAAGATTCCCTGGATCCCGCGCCCATATCGGGCGTAGCTTGCCGGAACGGAACAACCACGATTGCGGTACCTGATTCCGAGGCTGCCGACGAAGCTAAAACCACAACCACCGGAACAACTGAGTGGAAGGGCAACTTTCAGTGCAATTTTCTTGAGTCGCGCTACTTGCCTAACTCCCCGACAGCATCGTGAGGTCGATACGCGCGCTGGTGCTAGTGAATTGGAGATAGAAGAAGTGCCTCAATATGTTAGCTAATGTTATTGTTAACGTGTGACGGAAGACTGCCCAAACTGTGTTAATTTTGAAAAGGATAGTAACTGTTCTTTACAAGAGTATGGCGCGAGATGCTGAGGCGATTGGTGTATCCACTATGTAAGGACATTCCTTTTGCTGACGCTACAGAATGTGCTACCGTTGGGCTGCTCAAAGAGAGGTTCCAGCTTGTGCGCATCAATTGGTTGGTTTTCTCAGGTTTCCCCCACCATACATTCGTGTATGGTGTCACTGAACTGGAGAGGAAAAGGACAGATAGTAAATTCAAGGCAAACTCCAAAGAGGGCATCGCCTTGTAGAAGTCCCAGACATTCCTTTAGTGGGGTGAGAGGGGGGTTACCGCCAGATATTTGTCTCCCGACGTGTACCCGGGAGTTTGTCCATCTTGTTCCGCTGGTAAGGGTTTCGTTGCGCCATTGCTGAACGGATAGCCGGTAAGGGGTGCTGCAACTACTTCCGCCAACCCGTGCCAAGGTGTCAGGGCTGATGCACCTTATCGATAAAAAATGCGGGGGAGCCAGGATGCAGTTTCACACCAGAGAGTTCATGAGCGCGCTAGACCATCTTGTGCTGACCCGACGTATCCCCGAGAGATATTTGCCGTACTGATGTAGGTGGTGGGTTACGCTAGCTGAGGGGTCTTGTTAGTGATGATGACCTTGGAATTGCTTACAGAATTGTTCTTGTAAGACGGTGTGAATAGCGGGAACACACTTCTCCGTAGGGTATAGTTGGTGTTTGTACGATATCGACAGGTTTCTTTGGTAAAGTATTTAAACTGCCTACAAGCCTGGATTTTTTTGAAATCACTATTAGCATCACTCATCACTTCCGCACACTCATCTCATCAGCTCATCGATTCGATTTAGAATCGATCCTACTACGCATCAGATCCAGTCTTGAACAACCTGCCGGTCGTTCCCCGTTTCTATTACCGGTACGCATGCAATACTTCTTCTGCCTATTATTCCCGTCACTGGAAATTGGCATATAGCCGAACAGCTCCCCCGCTTCTACCTATAACTGTACTGACATTCCTCTCGCAATTCTCATAGCTACACACAGCTTCAAAGTAGTCAACTACATCCAAATCTTTCAACATGGTATTTGCTGCTCCTCTACGCTCTTCATCCTCTCTTTTGAGACGACAATTCCTCCGTCCTTCAGTCCTTTCAGCGACAACCGCTAGAAAAACAGCTTTTGGAGCTATCTCTGGAGCTCGTACGCTAACAGCAACCTTCAATCCACAGGTCAAAGTTCTCGCAGTTCTCTACGACGTAAGTTATTCACCAGAGTTTGTGTTCTGGTTCAGAAACTGATTGTAGTGCAGGGTGGTCAACACGCCAAGGACGTCCCTGAGCTTCTCGGAGCCAGTGAGAACGAGCTCGGTTTGAGGAAATGGCTTGAGGACCAGGGTCACACTCTCATTACCACTTCTGATAAGGAGGGTCCCAACTCTGTCTTCGAGCGCGAGTTGGTTGATGCTGAGATCATCATCACTACTCCGTGAGTTTCCTTATGGCTAAGTTTGAGGTGAATAGCAACTGATATATTTTGTAGTTTCCACCCTGGATACTTGACCGCCGACCGTCTTGCTAAGGCTAAGAACCTCAAGCTTGCCGTCACCGCTGGGATCGGATCTGACCACGTTGACCTCAATGTTGCCAACAAGACCAACGGCGGTATCACCGTCGCTGAGGTTACTGGATCCAACGTTGTCTCCGTTGCTGAGCACGTTGTCATGACCATCCTCGCTCTTGTCCGCAACTTTGTTCCTGCACACGAGCAGATCCAAGCCGGTGAATGGGATGTTGCCGCTGTCGCCAAGGATGAGTATGACCTTGAGGACAAGGTTGTCGGAACTGTCGGTGTTGGCAGAATTGGAGAGCGTGTCTTGAGACGTCTTCAAGGATTTGAGTGCAAGGAGCTCTTGTACTACGATTACCAGGTTTGTGCTTCTAGCTGATGTATAAAAGCCTAGCTAACAATTTGATAGCCTCTGTCTCCTGAGCTCGAGAAGGCTCTTGGTGCCCGCCGTGTGGACACCCTTGAGGAGCTCGTTGCCCAGTGCGACGTTGTCACCATCAACTGCCCTCTCCACGAGAGCACCAAGGGTCTCTTCAACAAGGAGCTCATCTCCAAGATGAAGAAGGGCTCATGGCTCGTCAACACCGCCCGTGGTGCTATCGTCGTCAAGGAGGACGTCGCTGAGGCTCTCACCAGCGGACATCTCCGCGGATACGGTGGTGACGTTTGGTTCCCTCAGCCCGCCCCCAAGGACCACCCCCTGCGCTACGCCAAGAACCCCTTCGGCGGTGGAAACGCTATGGTTCCCCACATGTCTGGTACCTCCATCGATGCTCAGAAGAGATACGCTGCTGGTACCAAGGCCATCATCCAGAGCTACCTTTCTGGAAAGCATGATTACCGTCCCGAGGACTTGATCGTCTACAATGGTGACTACGCCACTAGGTCTTACGGACTGAGGGACAAGAAATAAATCTTCGGTCTGTATCAGGGAGCATGAAATTATATCATTGATGTTTATGTTCTGTTTCATATTGTTGAATTTTGTATGAAAGCTCAAGCCGGTGTTTTATTTTGTTTATTTTATGCTGGATTTGTTGGGATTTATATGGGAAATTTTATGGGTGTATATTAAGGTTGAATTGAGCCAAGCTATATCTGATAAAAATTTAACCGGGGATGAATCATAAGCAATCACTCGAGTGGGCTTTGAGCTGCGAAACAAACTGTGAATAGTTGGACCCATGCAAATAATTCGGTTACAACTCTCACTTTCTAATCTGAAAGTGCAAAAAATTGCACAGAGTCAAGTTGTAGTTGCGAGGTTAGCCAGTTCAGGTAATTGATTTAGCTTCTCGACAGACCCAGAAATCGGAGCCTGAAGTCTTTCTTTTTATACCGGTACATACAAAGGGCAGCACTAAGGCTTTGGACATTTAAGTGAATCCTTTCACATAAAACGGAAATCTGCACCCCCAAGCTAGCTTGCCAAGAACGAGTGATATATATGACGCGAACGACGCAGCAGCAACATGGTGCGAATCGTTCACGGTTAATCTTTCTGTAAGCTCGTGGGCATTGTAGATATAGACGAAAGTTACAGATGCGACAGAGCGGTTAGAAGTGCAGGCCTCACTGTATAGGCAGTAATATATGTCTCGATTGGTAGACCGATTGATGAGATAATACCTTGTGATAGTGGGTGGTATCGAGTTTTTCAATACCACCAGGAAAGGTTATGCATTTTTAGATAGAACTCAGAGCTCCTACTATATGCTTCTTTGTATAACTACATACATGTAGTTTGGCTAAACAATGTTCCTTTAGTAAATAGGAGCCTCCAGACCTCCAGGAACTGAAGTTGCTCGCTCTATAAGGAAGCCAACTGAGCAACGCATTACCAGTCGTAGTACATGTAGTCTTTCCTACTACACTGGAACAACCTTACTATGGGCAGGTTGAATTCTTGGTTGCGTTGGCCTGTCTATCAAATTCTGAGTCTGGCCCGACCTGCAGAGCCGGATTCAGGGCGAGGGTTGTATCCTGCCAATAACTGCAATTGAGTAATTAAAAAAGCAGACAATGCACTTGTCATTTGAAATTACTCTTGACAAAATCTTCCTCCAGCTATATATACAGCTCAAACTCCACCTCTCTCTCCCTCTCCCCTTTACAAAGTATGCATGCATGCTTTCGTTCTTACGCTGGCAAACGGGGGGGATTTTTTTTTCTCCTCTTTGCTAGGCAGGAGAAGTCTTTTTGTCTTCTCCTGCCTAGTAAATAGGAGAATTACTTCACCTGTTTTGCCAGCGTAAGAACAGCTGCAGCTTCAGTTTCGTGGCCCCCTGTCTGCCCAGTTCTCCTTTGAACTGGGAACATGGCGGGCCTCTTACCGGTTTCCCCGTTTAAAAACTTTTTTAAACGGGGAACCGCGAAGCTACGGTTGCAGCATTCTTTGGTGGGTTAGGGTTTTTTATTTTTATTTTTTTTCTTTTGTATATAGATCATTTGTTTTCTTGTAAATTAATATCTTTTTTAGATGATTGATTTTTTTTTATTATTAATTTATTTACCAACAAACTACATGTTTCGACCTCTCGTGATATTACATGAGTGTAAAAGAAGTTCGTGAATCGTTATGTAAGTACGGAGAACGTTTTGGTGCAGACTAAGCCTAACTGTATTTTGACACGGCCCAGCAGTTACGTGGCTGAGTTGGGTCAAGTCGATCTGTCTTATTCTCTGAACAGTATAAAACTAGGCCGCGGCGCCGTAATCAATCACTCGTGCCTGAGCATCACTGATCACGGACAGCCTGAAAGCTTCCCTATATATATAACCTACATGACGTGACCCGGCACTCTCGCAATCAAATAAAAATCCAATTACATGATATGAATCTCTTAAGCTTGGCTCATAAGTAAAAAGACCACTCAACCAAGTAGGCTCGGAAGTCCATGAGCTCATCTTACCCATGCAAGGGCTCGGTGCCTGCGCTCAGGGTACTATCAGAAATTAACGATGGGCATTAAAGGGTGGAAATCGACCGTGGGTACTTAGGACACCTCATACCCTTCCCACTCCCAAGAAGAGCCTCCAATAACACCCAATAAATATATGCGAGCAGTGCCTACACCGACTGCACTAAACTCCCCCCCCCCCCCCCCCCCCACAATCAGCGTTTAGCATCCTGGGTTGATACTTGGGGAGACTAGTGCATATCCAAACGTCGCCAAGATGCACACCAGCCCTAACCCTCCACACGAAAAAATATGAGAAACAATCATTTTCACTGTGAATTCGAACAGGACCACGTAAACACGTGTATTTTGGCTCTCCCCACTTGAGCTATATGTACGTACTTTTATCTCCAGTAGAGAATATTTATACCGCCATAGATCAGATTCTTATATATAAAAAAAAGAACTCCTTACTACTGTAATAGCTATTCACTACTCGCAGCTGCGTCTATACTAAAACAACCCCCCCCCCCCCAAACCCTTCCCCGCGGGCCCACTCCAAACTCAGTCCGGGTGTTTATCCTAACATCACCGGATCTCCCTTTGCATACTACTATAGTATCCACGGTACCCCTTAATCGTAAGCAAGCACACGTTCCAAAGAGAAATCCTCCATAGACCCTCAGCCCGCCCTCCATCTTTTTTCGGTCTGCCCCCCCACGATAATTCATCACCTAGTTAATCAAGCTTAGCAGCTAAAGTAATTGTACTTGCAATAAATGTATATAATTCATTCGTTCATTCCAGCTAGCTAGTCAATCGTATCATGCTACATAATGTACCCCAAAAGACAATAAACAAACCACCCATCCAGTCCACCCATCCCACCGACCCAACCCCCAACGCACCCCTGCCCCCCCCAAAAAAAAGCCACAACCAGTAAGAAGAAAGGAAAAAAAAGATAGGAAAAAAAGATATAAAAGAGAAGAGAATAAAAATAAGAAACGATAAGCTACTCTACTACTAGTACTCTACTACTGCTACACGCACTAATTTGCGGTTGCCGGCGCCGCTTGAACATCAGGCCTAATCACCTCTCTGCTCAACAGCGCCCTCAACTCAGGACTAATGACCACCGCCGGCCCCTCCTTCTTCACCTCCTTCCCCTTACCCACCACCTGCGCCCCACTCCCGCTCCCACTCCCACTCGCCGCACCAGCACTCGAGCTCCCCACACTCCCCGCAGTCCTCCTCCTCACCGCCGTCCCCGGCGCCGGCACCACTCCCGCCTTTCTATCCACAGCCTCCACCGTCCGCTGAAACCTCCTAAACAGGCTCTCCGCCCTCGCCCTCACCACATCCAACTCAATGGTCCCACTCAACTCATTCACATACTTCAGCACCTCATCAAAGTGCTTCAAATGCTCCATAATCACCCCGCGATGCTTCTGCAGCACGGCCAGCGCCACAAACAGGTGGAACTGGCTGCTCAGATAGCTCGTCCACAGCGTCTCCCACAGCCGCAGCACGTCGTCCCACGCAAACTCGCGCTTGTACCACACGAGCAGCATGCGGAAGAAGAAGAAGAAGTTTGTCGAGTCGGCGCTCTGCAGGTGCGCGTACAGCGGCGGGTCCATCAGCTGCACCAGGTGGTCGAGCGTCACGAGCTGCGCGCGCATGCCGCTTTGGTCCCGAAGGAAGTTGCGCTCCATGCGCGTCATGAAGCCGACGAAGGCCCAGAAGGCGGCGGCGTCGTCTTGGAGCACGGCGTAGATGGGTGCGAGAAGGTCGGACATGCCTTGCACGTAGCCGAGGGTGGTGTTGTACTCGTTGTAGGTGAGGAGCATGTCTTTCATCTGCTCCATGTGCACGTTTGTGCCGACCTCTGCGAAGGGCGAGTCCGGGTCTGGGTGCGGGATGTCCTCGCCGGCAAAGATGGGGGCGTTGCGGTCGGTGCGGTGGACGTCTTTTTCTACGCGGGTTGTCAGTGCCAATGATCGCTAGGACGTAAATGGCCGAGGCGGAGGGAAAAGGGTTTACCAATACGATTCTTCTGGTCGCGCCAGTACTCGTCGCCGTTGCGGCGGTCAATGTCGTCCCACCACTTACCTTTAAGACGAACATACTCGTCGCGCTTGCTATTCATGATAGCGGTCCTCTCATCCCGCGTGCTGTCCCACGGATACACATCCAGCAGCCACAGCCAGATCTCCTTCCTGGCCGCACCGGGCTCAATCCCGCCATGGAAGATACGCTCCTTCACCTCCATCTCCGTGACCACGAGTCTCCCCGTGCTATCCAGCCAGCGGTTCCACTCCTGCATCGTGACCGGCTTCGCGTCCTGCCCCGACTCGATATCGAGGATCTCAAACTCACCGACCGCCGAGTCCTCGAGCTCCATGATGTCCCGATTCGTCCACACGACCCGTCCCTGGTCGCGCTCGCTCTGCTCCGCAATGCCCATGGCCCACCTCGCGAGATACAGCCGGGCAGAGTCAAACTCATCCTGCAGATTAACGACATCTGGGTTCTTTAGCAGCCTCTTCACCACCGGCGGCACCGCCCCACTGTCCAGAATCTCCTCCGCCGTCCGCCGCGTGAACCTCGTCACCCTCGTGAACCTTTCCAAGAAGCTCCACCTCGCCTCCTTCCACGCCTTCGTCAGCGGGTCCATCCCCGCACCAGCGCTGCTGCTGCCCCCCTCATCCGCACGCTCCACGCCAATCGTGCCAATCGGCTTATGGATGAAGCTCGTCAGGTCCTCCTTGCTCGGATCCACCAGATACAAGCTCTTCTCCACCTCGCTCCGCTCCACCCTCACAAACCGCCTCAGCCATCTCAGCACCTCGTCGCCGCCCCAGAACAGCCCGCCATCCTCTCCAAACGGGTCAAAGTTCGCCTTTGCGCGCTTCTTGCTCTGCGCAATGGTGCTCGCGCACTCGCTGTCGTGGAAGAAGAGCGCGGGGAACGAGTCCCCGCCGCGCGTGTTGACCACCACGCTGCCCCACCACCACCCCAGGTTCGGCGGCCGGATGAGCAGGCTGTAGATCTGCGACACGGGCACGGCGAAGGCGTAGTTGGAGAGCGAGGTGCCGGTGGGCGGCGGCGGGACCAGGTAGGACGTGCGCGGTGGGTGCTCGTCGCCGATGAGGTCGACCTTGACATATGTGTCGTAGGCGTCGCCGAGCGCGGACTCGGGCAGCCAGGTTAGGAGTAGGGAGGAGGGCGTGGATTCGGGGCTGCTCTCGGAGTGGAGGGAGGGCGGCGGCTTTTGTTGTAGGAGGGCTATGAAGCCGGGGATGTTGTCGCGCTGGGAGGGGGTGGGGTGAACGTAGACCTAGGGTGGTTGGTTAGTATATAGCCCTAGCTAAATAGTGGTAGTGATATAGTAGATAGTGTGGTTGCAGATATGGCTAACTGACCTTTGACTTGCTATACAGAAGCTTCACACCCCTGCCCGAGCTCGTATGCGTGATCGTGCTATAGTCCTCCTCGTCATTATCGCTCAGGTCGTAGTAGCTCCCGCTGGGGCTCTCGGGCGGCGTGTACTCAGGCATCTTCTTCCTGCTGGAACTCATACTGTCCTTTCCCTGAGCTTGTGAGTGTAAGGAAAGGGAGAGAAGGAAGGAAGGGATGAGATGGGTTTCGTGTTGAGTATGGGTCGTATATGGAGGAGGGGTGATGGCCGCCTTAGCTGGGGGTGAGTGGAGGAGAGGAGAGGAGAGAGGTAGTCAAGGTGGGTGGCGGTACTAGATCATCGGGTGTGGGATGACGACGCAGCGTGGCACGTGAGTGTGGCTGGGCGGGGTGGTGCTGCGTGCAGGGATGCGCGTCAAGTGTGGGGGATCTGGAAGTGAGTCGGGGTGCAGATTTTCTAAGGGCGGGGGATTAGAACAACTGACGGGTTTCATGACTGCGATACGTACTCTCGTGAGGCGGAGGGGTAATGATAATGGTTATAACTTATGAGTATTATTCCTGCACTAGGACTTGGTGGTAGGCCCGGTATTTCCTATTCGGTTTAATAGTAGCCAGCCAGCCAGCCCGTAAGCTTACAACTACATGTATAGCTACTGCACTATTGCATTATTTACTGCCACTACTATCATTACCGCTTGGTCTCGGCCGCCTGTCAAGCGGGGCTGACAAGACCGATAACGGGAGGCACCTACACCCTATATAGTCACTCACATATATATATCCCGCCTTACTACTCTCCATGTAGGTAATACTTACATGTAGGTACCGTCCTCAACCCAGCACCTACACCCTACATCAACTAGGATCTTCCCCATCATAGGTACACTAAACAAGGCAACTCCCAGCACCACCATACCTGCCGCATCCCTCAAACGCGGGGTCTACTGCAAAACACCCCTCCAAGCACGTCCTTAATCTCATCGTCATCAATTGAGCTCCGGCCGCACACACGTTCTAATGCACAGATATTTATTCGTAAATACACCAACCAACGGCCCATTGTTATTAGAACACCGTATCGACCCCACCCCCTCCCCAGCAAAGATGAACAGTTACAGATATGAAGAATAAGAAAAATGAAAAGAAGAAAGAAAAATACACAACAATAAAATAAGTCGCTCGAAGATGCAAACTTTTCCTCATAACCATCGTGGAGCCCTATCATGAATAGAACGCAAAAACAAACAATAAGAAAGAAGTAACAAAGAAGAAAGGAGGGAAGGAAGAAAAATAAGAAGAAAATCATCAATCAATATGCATATTTAAAAGAGAAAAAAATCTATAGTAGTGGCAGTAGTAAAAGAAGTAGTAGTAGTAACAATCGTGGACAGAAGTAAAGAAGAAATGAGAGGTAGGATACCATGACTCAACCTAATATCCTCCGCCCCTCTGTCCCCTCAGAAACCCAGAACCACTGGGCATTCCTACTTTACCACCGCTACTACCTCCCTGCTGCGGCCTCCTCAAGTTGCCACCGCTCCCGCTGCTGCCACCGCCATAATACCCCGGCACCCCCGGTGCACCGTTGTACGACTCATTGCTCTCCCATGGCATTCCTCCTCCTCCTCCCTGTCTCCTCGGTGGCGGCGCGCCCCCACCAAACATATGCTCACCCGGCATCTGTACACTCTGCGGCGGAGGCGGCGGCGTGAACTGTCCCTGCGGCGGGGGGCTCGCCGTCCTACCGCCCCACAATCTCTCCTTAATCCTCTGCTGGGCACTCGTCAACGCCTTCCCGGTCCCACCGGGCCCGTCCTGCACCGGCGTTGACGCCTTCCTCTCGTCGGGGAACAGGCTCGGCTGCTGTGGCTGTCTCAGTGGGCCGCCGGGAGGCTGCTGCTGGAACCGTTGCGGCTGAGGGTTGTCCCAGATGTCGGAAAGGGACGCGTTCACGCCCTGCCGATTGTGGCCGGGAGGCGGCATCTTGTTGGTCTGGCGGAGGGATTGTGCGGGCGGGGGGCCACCGCCGAGCCAGTCGGGGATGGGCCTGTCGTTCTCCTGGTAGTAGGTACGAAGGCAGCGGGCAAGGTGGGAGTCGTCCTCCGTGTCGCCGTCATCGGTGTCGCCGCGGATGGACTGGTAGCGGGACTTTGTCGCGGTGAGGATGCCGGAGAAGTAATTAGCCATTGCTGTTGGGGGCCTAGCTAGGTTTTGTTTGTTGTTGGTGTTTATTTAGGGGGTTGTGAGGGAGAGAGGGTGGGAGGGAGGTATGTATGTGTGTGTACCTTCCCGTGCGTGCTGCTGTTGCTTTCTATGGGAGGTGAGGAGGGGGGACACTAGCTCTGTCTTTATGTTGTCTTTTTTTTTTTATTCCCGGTCCTCGCGGCTGATAAGATGTATGTATGTATGTATGTATGTATGTATGTATGTATGTAGGTACCTACAGTACGAGATCTATTACGGGAGACGGAGACGGGGGAATATTATTCTATTACACGTCTCTCGCGGTACGTACTCCTGTGTAAACACAGAAGCTGAGAAGAAGAGAGAAAAAGCGAGCGAGAGGAGGAGAGCTCCGATGGCTGGATGGAGGATGAACTGGATTGGATGGATGTGGATGGATGTGGATGGGGGGAGGGAGGGATGGTGGATCGATGCGAGTGGGCCGTGGTGAGTTCTGAGTTCTGGCCTTGCTTATGCTGCAGCCACGGCGTCTGTTTATTTTTGGCTAAACTTTGCGGGGGTCACGTGATGCCAGGCAAGGGCGCTGTTTATGCACAACAACAAAGGGAACGAGTGGATGAGTAATCGTCACGGCCTATCACTCGGCGCATCTCTCAGGACGGTTTAGGATTGGGTTCTGCGGGATGGGCTGGAAACCAGGGTATATTTGGCACTATTCGTCCTGTCAGGATTAAGCTTGATGGGGCTGGGAAGTTCTATGCTATTTCTGGTAACATAGACACTGTCGTAAGTCATTACGAGAGGATAAGGTTGAGTATATCATGCATTCGTCAATACAATAGCTAGCTGGGCTGGGTTGACTTTACTGATAGGTTCTCTTAGAATTCGAAGGGCGCAAGTATTCACTCAAAGCGTGCCCATTCAATAGAGCTAATAGTATCTTTTGAGGTCTAAATCTTGCTGCCCCACAGAACCCCTCCGTGTTGTTACTTATAAGCTACACAGATCATACATGTACTTATTGTACTTCAGTTGATCCAGGCATACCGGCTCTCAGGCTCACCTTAAGTACATGTAGCCAGCCCACAGAGAAAGTATCAATCACCAAACAACCACCGCCTATACTACCTGGCTACCAACCCTGGCCACGCGCACCATAAGGACTCCCACTAACACCCCCTCCCTAGACCGCCGAAGACTGAGGCCTAGTGGCCGAGAGAAAAAGACTCGGACCTCACGCAGCACCCCACGCAATGACGATACCAAGCTTTTTGACCCTATCCCTACATCAAACACCTCCAAGGGACTTCCCAAAATTGGCTCAAGTAGAACCACGAGATCCAACTACAGAGGCAGAGCTAAACCCAGGACACGGTTGCAGGTATGCTTATAGGACACTGGCCGGGCCCGACTCCGTCCCCAGTTCAGAGTCCTAGAAGTACGTACCCATGCCGCGCGGCCGGGCTGCTTCCGCCTGCAACCCAAGCCCGCGCACCGGCGGCCGGGCCCGCGGACACTGGGCGAAACACGCACCTCAAGCCGACGGCCGCGAATCGAAACGGTTTAATCTAGTACTACAAATTTCCGGGGGCCGCTCACGCACAGTCAGGGCCACGGAGCAACAACTGTAAACCTGAAGCCTCGATATTTCCAATTATAGGTATAAATAGTTAAGGCTTTTATAGCACTCAAACTGCGGCGGCCTGGGATGTAGGGGAAAAAAAAAACTACTTGGACAGTCAAGGCGCGAAATGAAGGATGTTGCTAGCGCTAGCTCCAAAAAGAATGGGACTTGATAAATATATTCCAGGTACCCGTACCTCAAGTGCTATCTACAGCTACAGACGTCGACAGCAGAGCTGATATCCCCCCTCGAGGCCTCCATGGAAGAGACACCGCAGAAGGCCGTCAGCCAGTCACCCAAGTAACAATAAATAAGCCAATTCTACTACACCAAAAAGCAGATTTCCAAAGCCCCCTAGACCACGCATTGCCGACTAGCTAGTCAGCCCGCACAGTACCTCTGATCCACATGGTACAACCAGAACCAGAACCAGAAACAACTGCGAATGAGCCCAAACCCGACAGCTCCAGCACGTCGATATACAGCTAGCTATACCGCCATTCCTTTTGCGTACTAGAACCACAACTATCCGCCTACATAGCTCCTACCTACATGTAGTCCGAGTAGAACCTTAGCGTACCCAGCCCCCATACCGCAAAATGGGCAAACCGCAAAAAGACCCTTTGGCCTAGCTAGCTGGCCGGTCCAGGTTATCGACCGCGGATATGGCTAGGCCGGCGATAACTACGATGCTATATACATGCATGACCAATCACTCGGTCATGGTTCATGACCCGTCACTCGCGGGGGCAATGTATCAATCATGCAAGGGAAACTATATCTAGAGTCAGGTTTTTTTTCTATAGCGTATGGATACCACACACCAAGAAAAAGTTTCGATTAACCCAGCGGGTTTAAAGACCCGGCTTACAGGTCGGAGGAGTCAGGACCATTAGTACCCAGCGCCGGACTAGCCTATCGCGGTCCCGCGGCCTGGGATTCGTATGTATAGCCATGCACATTTCAATTGTAAAAAGGGCGGGCGGGTCTGGGTATATCACAACCGCGATTTAGGCGCAATGCGGGTTGTTCATGGTGGTATGGTGGGTTAGGTGCGTCATGGTTGGTCACTCGGCCTTGATAACTATTCGCATAACTATTCCACAATCAAATTTCAAATAAAGGACAGGCGATGATGGTTCTTTATTTGATACTAGCCAGCTACATGCTTGCTCTTTCTTAGACTATGCCCGTTATACACCACGTTAGCCAGTCATTAGGGAAGAACACGCCCTACTCCACGACCGTCCATCCCCCATACTCCTCCACTTCTGGCGCCTCCTCCAAATACACCAACGCCGCCAGCCCCTTCATCAGCACCCTCCAAGCCTTCTTGCTCCTCCAACACATCCACGGCACCCCCTCCACCCACGGCACAACCCTACACCTCCCCTCAGCACACCCCTGCATCCCCGCAGCCCCCCGATCCGCACTCACCGCCCCCACCACCACATCCTCCATATACTCCACATCCCTTGCCCTCCCCCCCGCAACCAACTCCCACTCCTTCCCCTCCACCCCACCCACACTCAACCCACCCCTCATCGCCGCCCCCATCCCCTCCAAAAACACCCACAGCACCCCCTGCCCCCCACCCGCCGCATACGCCAGCGCCAGCCCCAAATCCTCCGTCGTATACACCCCCCTCCCCAGATCCGTCGGCTCGACAGCCGCCGGCCCAAACACCCCCACCGCCACATCCACGTCTCGCCGTGTGGTCCCTCGGAACTGGCATTCCCCGTGCACCCCCACGCGGTCCAGGAACGCCTCGACGAGCCTTGTGGTGTCCGCAAAGCTACGCCCGGGCGTGAGACGGGTGGTCCAGACCTTGCGCGGCTGGAGGACGATGGGGTCGGGGTGCTTGTGTGGGTAGAGCCAGGGGAGGGGCATGCGGATGTCCCAGTGCCTGATGCGCTCGGGCATGGGTGTGGCCGGCGTGTGCAGGCGGGTCAGGAAGGTGGGGAAGGGGAGGCCGAGGGGGATGTCGAGGCGTGCGGGGAGGACGGGGGGGATGGGGAGGGAGAAGAGCATGAGGAATTCGGTGATGGAGGAGCGTCCGAGGAGTGTGGTTTGTAGGAAGAGGGGGCGCGCGTTGTTGAGGCCGTGGGCGGTCATGTCGGCGGGGGAGTCGGGGGAGTCGGGGTCGGGGAGGGGGCCCATTATGGCCGTTGGGTGAGTGTTAGTTGTTTTTTGATGTCTCTAGGTGTATGTGGGTATAGTGTTGTCTATCTGGTGATAGTCGTTGATGTAGAGCGGGTGTTGTGGAGCTGAGATGGTGGGAGTGGAAAGAGGTGAGTGTGAACTAGTGGTCGAGTGACGTCTTATGACCGTAAATAGCAACTAGCGAAGGCCAACCTGTCGGGCTAGTATACGGGTATTATTGTCACGACCTGTCCTAAAGAGGTTTGATGGAGAAGACATAACTCTTAAATGTTCCTAGGATCCTACCACGATGAGACAAATAGACATAGGAAACGTGCACTAAATCTCAACCCCGGGGTCCACTACTATCGTAAAAGTAGCAGCATCGAGTATACTCTTCCCAAAATTTCCCCGTATCACTCGATCCTGAGAGATACGACAAAAATCATCCCATTCGAACCGCCATTACATGAACCAAAAAACATGACCTAACTCTATAAACAACCCTAGCCCTGACAGCTTTGATGCGGGAATGCTGCTTTTCTTTTTCTTTTTGGTCAACCCATTAATTGTATGCAGCTTTACGTTTATGACAGTACGTATTGCATGAGACTTTAGAATTTTCTTATTAACTTCCTCCACCTCTCGCTAACATAAGAAGCAGAAATAAAACGGAAATATAATAAAGCATAGTGAATACATAGCTTCTGAAGATATTTCCCACAAACAATTTTGTCTTTACTGCGCGCCTGCGCTTATCCCTATTTAAACCGGAAAGAGCTATACACTATCTCGCAATCCGCCCCACCCCGCCTCATTTTCCTCCCTTCCTCTTCCTCAGTTTTACCTCCCCCTCCCCCCGTGCCGCCATTTGAGGAACCGTTTCCATAGGAACCAGAGGAGGCAAGAAGAATCTGAAAGTTCAGGCTACAATTAGGGGCTCAATTTGATGTTCTTCTTGCCTGTCCCGAGAGTGTGTCTACCTACATGCATGTAGTAGCTCAATGACAGGACGGATATGACTAGCGCTAAACTGAGCACAACTTCCGGGTTGCATTTCGGCTTTTGATTTAGGCCGACAGCCTAACAAAGCATAGGGGAATGGTGGCTCTGATCAGAGAACTGAAGTAGGTAAATCCCTTCCTCAGATCCCTGTTTCCAATCTCCAAGAGAAAAAAAGAAATTCCCGCGGCCAAGAACCGGCCCCGAACGCATTGGGCCAGACCAAGAAATACTCAAGGACTGAATCTTCGGCATTGAGTATATGTCAGAAAGTGATACATCAACTGCAGCTGGACAGAATGCATGACTTTTCCCCTCCGATTTTGGAAATCGAAAATATGAGTCAACTGTACATGTATGTAAGGCCTCGTACTCCTAGACCGGACCCCCTAAGTTAAGCTTTTAGGCTCCGTGCCGAGTCGCCTATTTCTTGGCTTAGGCCCCTGCATATGCACATTGACCGATCGAGTGACGGCCCATGAACTTGGCTCACCCTCACCAGCCACAGTTGCTTGACCAGGGTGCTGAACCGACCCCCCTGCCAGTGTCTGTGTTGTCTATGAGATGCGTTATGTACTGTTCGTAGATGTAGAACACATGCATAACCGGAAGGCGCAGCATACAATGCTTTCTGCCGTGGAGGGGGAGAGGGAGACTGTCTCCGCGAGGCAGTGCAAAAGGCTATGTAACTATCGTGATGTGAAAACTTCTAGGTAGCTATGGTCATGAGGGAAGCTGGTCTTTGCATACAGCCTTTTGAATGTGATATGGCTTACGACTAGTGGGCAATTGCTAATTGCCCGAGAACGGGCGCTTTCGCCGCGGGGGAGCGTTTCGTGATAGTGGGGGAGCTAGAATTTTTGATGAGGGGGGGTACTGCTGATCAGTGTGTGTTTAAGATGGTTGACATTGTGATTGTGAGTAGGTATGTCCAGTTACAGGAGGTACATGTGGTTCAAGTCAGGATGCAGTAGTAGGACGCGCATTGGGAGCCTCAATCCGCTTCTAGGACAGTTCAAGTGTTGAACTACACGTGACATCAGAAACGGATCAGCGAGCGAGTGATACGCCATGTATGTTTCTAGTCAGCCGTTTTAAAGGGCCGATTCGGTATTCAGTTCTAGGCTATGCTCAAGCTGGACGTGAAAACTATAGAAAAGCGCTGACAAAGGCGGCTTAGTTTGAACAATATAATTTCGACCATGGTGATGAAATGAAACACGGAATTTCCATGGTTTCCCATCCCCTCAACTCTCTTTTTTGGAGTTTCTCTTTCTATCGTAAAGAAAACTAATGTTTTTATCGTCCGTTGAAATGACTAATTTAAGTTAGTTATAGCCTCGGACCCAGGCTGGTCCTGGATCCTGTAAATTAGTATATAAAGCGGCGAAAGGAATGTACGACAATCTACAATTTTCAAACACATGAGAATTGAGTGGTGTTGCAAAAATTTCTTCTTTCCTAAAGATGTAATTCCACCCTTAAACCCTAGATGCCGTGGAAGTGCGCAAGATATTTAACTTTTGGTTGGTGTTCTTCCGGGCCAAACGGCTATCACGGCTATTCCGGGCACGTGTAATTTTGAAGTTTCCTTTCGCCTATTTGATAGGATTGAAGTTACCGTAGGTGATCAAGATCTGTAGGTTATTCCCACCTGATAAACCCTATCGCTCATTATCTACCATTTAAGGTTTTCTAGCGGGGGCGGGAACTCGGCATGCAGCTTAGTGGCTTGGAAGGTGGGTTGATGACGCGTTTCGTCTGAAAGGTATTCTTAGCCTCTAATTTTTCTTCTTCTTTTCTTCTCTTCCCTTTCCCCTCCCATCCTTTTCATCGATATACTTCATCATCACCACGAATGGCCAACCTCCAGCGACTAGCGTTTCAACACCCATCAACCCCCTACGAACGTTTCATCAAACTGATAGTATCAATAGTCTTAGCTCTAAAAATTAATTTAGCGCATCGTAATCGTGAATAAAATTTCTACTAATCCTTTCTTCAGTCATCGACGTTTCAAACGACACATATGTAGATCTTTCCCCTGATTTTGATACTAATATAAATTCTCCCCAGGAACTGTGTCATCTTCTTTTGTTACTGACCATTAGGACTAAAGAACTGCAACGGAGTACCACCTCAAGCCTCCCCGGATTGATTCACCGGCTGGATACTGAGTTCATTAAACGAGGTAGATAGAAAGCTTTTGAACCCAACGTCATACATGTTCGAAGGCTTACAAGACTCGCGAAATAAACCTTGAGGCTAACGGCTCCCAATGGGCTTCGGTTTACTTATTACCTGGACCCTGCATGATTCTTTACCTGGGGCTCACCAATATTTATGACAATGTCTCAAACAAATCTGTCTTGCTAAAATTCCGTCGCAGTACAGGCCAAACGTGTTTGCTTCAGTTGTGGAATGTCCAACCCGGCCCAATTTTTAAGGTCAGATCAGTGCCAACTGCACTACCAGGGGCCCATGGGTAATTTCACACCAGTGCACACTTGCAAGGAAGATTGTCTTAGAACCTGGACCCATGTCATGGAAGGCTTAATCCGTCATATATATTACACGGCCAAATAAGGTTCCTCACTAGACATTTTAAGCCACCTTTGTTGCAACAAAAAAAGATCGGCGAAAAAAAGATAATCCTCCTCTAGCCATACGAGGTTGGTGTGATCAGGGAAACGCAGTTGATAGCCGTGCTCTTATCCCATAAACCGTCGATGCTGACACCCCTCATGCGAGACAAAAAGCCACAGCACAATTGGGTAATAGATCAACAAAATCACAAAATCCATTGGCTCTAGCCACCTCTTGGAATTTTCGAAAGGGTGTCAGCATTGTCTCGACGGTTTATGGGATACTCTTGATACCATTACAGTAGCCTCTGTGAGCGGCGTAGGAAATATCATACCTACTACCTCCAGCTAGTAAACGCTGATCCTTTTATTTGCCGATCTTTTTTCTGTTGGCTTAAAAGGTCTACTATTCCATTCCCTGAAATTCAACCTCGCCGAGAATCCAAGTTTTTAAGATCACTCTGGATCCAGCGGTTCGATATCAGATCGACAACTCTGTTTGATTACCTAGGGAAATGCCCGAATCGATGTATGACTCTGAGGGAGGCGTTGCATCCCCTGAGCCCTATATATGAGATCATGATATCTCTTGAGAACTTGGCAGTAGTACATACTAGGTTTTTCTGGAACAACCATGACACAAATTTAAGTACAATGTGGCTTGAGAGACTTTCGGAGACTTTCGGGAATTTAATTTCAGGCCCAGCAGACTATTACTTAAGTACCACTCTCCGAGGTTCATATCTTAGTCACAGGAGTCAATCTCTAAGATTGAATTCATCTTGAGCGTTGTGTAGGAAACAACATAGAGAAGCCACAGTAAGTAAAAGAAAAAAGTCTATTATATGTTCATTATATGTATCTTATGTTGCAAAATTACAAAAGAAGGACATTAACCATGATAGATAGGAAATAAATACAATTCAAGCCGAAACCAAAGACAAAGATAAAATAGACAAAACATGCATCTCAATTAAATAAGTCCCAGCCCGAGCGCGTTAAGTTACCACTTATTTAGAAAACAACGACGGCACCCGCTATCAAGGCCGCGGCACCAGCACCAGCAAGATTGATCACGTTGTTGGGCGCGAAGTTTGGGGTCCCTGATGCACTTGCAGACTCCGTTGCAGTGGCTTTTGAGAAATAGACATGTCAGTACTTATTAGATTTATTACATATCATGATAACATACCATCGTCATCATCGGAAGAGCTACCACCTCTCCTGCGTGCAGGAGTAGGTGTACGACGTTCAAGTTCACCAAACCTTTGGTCGTAGCCACGACGCTCGACGTAGTCGCCGAGGATTGGTGTCGCGAGAAGGGCGACGAGGAGGAGGAAGAAGGTAGTCATAGTGAAGGAGTGCATTTTTAAGGTTATGAGGTTATGAATCTTCGTTGGCTGGTCGAGAATTGGGGTGGAAAACCAAGAAATCTTATTTGGTGTCGATGGATAACTATAGAGAAGTGTTGAAGGCGTGATGTCCAAGAATTCAACGGGCGAGGGGATCCAGTTTATATGGAGGGAGATGTGGTGCAACAAAATATGGCCCAATAGCTGCAATCAGTCGAATTAAGCCAACTCCCGCGGGAGGGGAAACTCTTTGAGGCTTGGAACCCTCTCATAGGGCTACGCTCTAGACAAGGCGCATACACCATCCTAGGGGAGGTTGGTAAGAATATCCCTGCTCGTAGCGGGCTCAAGCTCCGCACTAGCCACATATTTATCCATATACAAGGGACAATTGGCCCGCAGCTAATTTCAAGCTTATTCTGCATCATGTTTCTGAGGTCACTCTATCATCACACCATAGAGTTAGCGAGTCGCTTCAAGAAATTACAGAAACCTCAGAATTTGAATACGAGCTCAGATACGAACAGGTTTTTACTTTTTCCTTGTCATTTAAACTTAAGCTTAACTGCATCTAGCTCGACATAAGAACATCAATACAGCCATTTCGGGGGCACAGATCATGTATGTAGTTAGGTTCCTGTTTCTCCTGTGTAAGTTCCATAAATCGACTATATGCAGCTATCTCTTGGCATTTCCTCGTGTCACCAGCCTATTCCAAATCGATGCCAGGGCATGTGACTCTTACCCTGTCTCAAACGCTTGGGGCCATGTCCTGTGTGGCGAAGCTGACCCTAACCTAATAGCATGTGGCTCTGCAGTTAGAATAAGCTTTCAGGAATGTATTTATACTGCAGGCCAAGTCACTACCAAGGAAATTACACACTAGGGCTAGGTATCGGTGAAGACGACCCCGGATATTGTAAATACAATATTGCCTTTCAGCTGAATCACTAAATATATCATCGGCTGTACAAACATCGGATGAGTAATTGCGCAGTAGTACTCGTTGGCTGGGCTTACGCTTATCGGTAATACCTATTCGAGAATTTCGCGGCAGAATTTTCAGATTGATTAGGTGGGCTGATCTTAGGTCTACCTAGGCATACAGAGTTCAAGGATTGAGGCCGTTAGGTATTCTAGAGACATTACTCAGAATGGAATAACTCATCAAAGACTCCTTTCAGCTAAATTTTTCACCAAAATATCATCATAATCGGTTTTTGATCGTCCAAATTTCTGTAAATCGCAAGACTTACATGGAAGAATATGTTGGATCTAATTGTCTTGTGGTTGGATTTTTATTAGCTAATATTTTCAGTCATCAGAGTGATAGTCCATGACGCGAGCGAATCGTCCCTGAGAAAATATTGATTAGCCCGCAGCAATTCGCTTTATAGCCTCGCGAAACATATCAGATATGGAAAGACAGGTATATTTTCAGTCAACTGAATTTGCATCCAACACCCCAATATCCAATGGGGTTCCAGTTTGAAGTCATACCAGTCCATACGGTATAAAAGGACTCACCTGGTGCTTTGTGGGGGGGGGGATTAGCGAACAATCAGTGATCACTCGAGGAAATTCAGTTGTAGGCTTTGATAATCCAGCGGTACAATACACCTGTACATATAAGAGACACAGATGTTATCAGAAGCTAATGGACGGCCATAAACATAAAAGCGGACAATTCCCAACGGCGATCGCAATCCAGGTATGGCAAATAGAAAAAGACTTCAATTATTCGAAATAAATTTCCTAGGGATCATTGCAATGCCCGGCTGGATTTATCTTCTATTAAATGCAGGGCTATAATGGGGTTTGAAGCCAATACAAAGAGCTGCAAAGCGGATTCCCTCAGAGCTCCTGCACAAGATCAATCGGATTCAGCGCCTCCTGTGGCTAAAATATCATCGGTGAAGAAGGTTAACCGGCGATTCTATTAGAAAATGTCTCATGTTGGATGCAGACATCATGAGTTGATGAGCGTAGTCATCTTTGAAATTTAACACCTGCTGCTTTTGAGTTATCTGCATCCACCCGAAACCCCACTCTAACAGGAACCTTTAAAGTGCCGTTTGGGATTTGGCGCGTCGCTTTCAGGGGTGCGCAAAGGTACCTGCGTGAATTATTTATCGACTAACGCGGCTTGACTTTTCCTCAAATACCTGCATAATATCGAACAAGTCAGGTGGAATGCTCTAATTATGTTACCGTGGCTACATATCTACATATCCTATAACATCAACGGAAATATTCACCATCTTATAAGGCCTACTTCTTGGGCCTTCTGGGGTAGGACATTGATGATGGTCATCTTCTATAGGTATTCATTACATAAAACTGTCACTTGATCGACTACATGACGAGATCTCTTCAACAGCCAAGGTTTTTTTTTAAAAGATATTTGAGACCCACACGCATGCATTCCCGCCGGAGTGTTCCGGGAGCGAACCCTTGTTTTATGTTCATTCACTTACTATTCGGATGAACCACACTCAATATGCATCGATTTGGACCTGTCTTTGCTTTCGGAAATATTGTGCATGTCATTCATGTCAGACTTGAGTACACACATGAACCGAAGAAGTGCGATTTGAAACCAGAGTATGACGTGTTTACTGATCACGATCTCTCCACCTACTAAGCTTCGTGTGCGACTTTTCATGTCAGAGCCCACTGCTAGCATAGCTACATGTCCTGTATACCTGTACCTACAGCATATGAAGACAACGAACATCGAGAAATACAAGGCACCAATCGTCAATTCCACACCTGCCCGATAGTGTGGCTTTTATAAATCAGCTTTATCTTCTATATCACTGGTTAAGAAGTAGCCAAGGCGATTACCGATAGCAAACATTACTAACTCATCTGCCCTGCATGAACGGTTTCTGACCCCTTCAATGACGAACTAGGCTATTTCCAAAGGCTTGTTGTAGATATAGTATAACCACGAGTAATCTATCAAAACTGGACACGTTGTTAAAATCCTAACTTTAACTGAAACTGATATAAAAGATTCTCGCAAATTACAAGCAACAAGGCGTGCGCAATTATCTGGCTATTTCGTTCCGTAACTTACAAAAAGAGCAAAATCAAAGCAGGCTTCCATGGCTACATGTATGTAAGTTTAACAACGTATAACCTAACAAAGAATTTTGCGTCGTCATATAGAAAAAAAATTATGCGTTACTTCCTTGGAAGTACTGACGTGTCGATCCGCTATAGTTATCCGTAAGAGCCCAGTTGTATGGAAGAAAATCCAGTTTTCATCTGATGACCTCTCTTTATTCATCCAGCCACTCAGAGCATTGTCTTGGCCATGTACCCAAGATCCGGAAGAAGCATGTACCAGGTACATACTGCAGTTCAGGTGACCCTGAATATTGTTGACCAATAGTTGAACATGGTCGATGTTCGATTATGTGGGGAAACGCAGCTACAATGCTTCGGATACAACGAGGCCTCGAGGGATACAATGGAATAGATGCTTACTTACGTGTCGAATTAAACTATCTCTTAGACCTAGGTGTTAGAAAGCCATCGATGGAATATGATGAGTATCCCATTTTAAATATTCCAATAGAGCAAAAATAGAGAAAGTGTGTGTACTATTGTCTTGCACTTGGACATTTTCCATAGGTTTAATGCAGCTCCTTAAACATCTGTTAATATTATTGGCGGAAAATGTGCAGCTAGCAGTATTCCCTGAGAACACCACTAATGACTAAATCCAATACCAGATACATAGATTTACAAAACAGTGACACACAAGGTACATGAGATAATACGCCTTGAGAGGCGGTTTAAGTAGAAGTTTCTGCAGTTGTTCCATACTTGCTTTACCTAACACAGGAGGTGTTACACAACATCTCAATATGCCAGGGGCTACAACACACTGTGAGCCTTCAGACTCTAAACAACCGTACCACTTGGAGTTTCCTCTGCCTTTCGGAGATGCATAGAACGGACCTAAAAAATCTGCGACACTTTGAGCCGCTCATACGTCACGTGATACTCCACCTATCCCTATACAAATAGGTAGAACCTATCGCAACCAGGCATTGATCAAATTACAATCATGACTACTGATAAAGACTCGCTGTTATCTTATCGAATCAAGCACCAGAGAATCTCCATGTGCACATCCCGATTCAAGGCCAGCAGCAGCCTTGATGTACGCATATGTATTCATCCTTTTCAGATATTAGCATGGGCCATGTCTCTACGCACATATCCTTCCGTGTGGGTAATACGGATCGTACGATCGAAATCGTTCTGTAGTATCTCCATCTATCGACAGTCTGTCTCAATTGAAGCCCCTTGTGTTCCCGTCCCGTTTTTTTCTCGGGGAAAAAATTATATCAACACTTTTCGCGATTATGCCGCACTGTGCGCTAACCAATGTGACTCCGAGCATTGCAACTACCTGACTTACGAAGAGATGAGTTTGCAGCATATGGAGAGATCCATCGACTTTGGGTATCCCCAAACAATTTGCAGATTTATATTTCATTTTTCTTGCAGGAACACAGCTCCCATGATCAAAGAGTAAAGCCGTCAACATATTATATGTAACTCTTCACTCTGGGGTTTAGGATATGCATCATGAAACCTCACTCGATCCTGGTTGTCGTTTACCCAAATTCAGCTAGCGCTGTCAACTCTCACCGCACCTTGACTTGGGTTATGCTTCAGTGTTTTAAGAAAACTATTAAATAAATACAGCCTAATTTATTCGCCCAGATGGTTTCCTCGATTATCGAAGCTAACCTCTAAATTACACGTAGTAACTGCCTTTCGAATTTTTCTAGTTTTATCAAACACTAGAGTGTAGTTTCATGTACATAGATACATATGCAAGTAAGTACAATTAAGATACATGTAGTTGGTCTCTGATGTGGTATAATTCACATGTGAAACTTTAGCTATATTATACCCTTGCTAATTATTGAGGTGCAAACCAAGTAACCAGGGTTTAACAATCCTACCGGCACGGCTCCTCGGTAATCGAATCCAATAAGGAACCAACTACATGTTAATACTAGGAATTCATACGGCAACGCGGAAGATTTATCGGCGATGCTCCTATCCACAAAGGCTTCGATTCCGAGAGTACAGCCTGCTAGCTCGGTACTCGGTCTGCTTTAGTATCTAGCTTCGAGGTGAGTGCGTTGAAACTAAATAGCTCTATCCCAATATTAAACGTCTTAAAAACTTTAATCGATCGTGGAATCCTCGTTGCGTTAATTCGAACCGGTAGGGATATATATCCTAAGCTTGAAAATCACAGTGACATACATCAAAAACGGAGTTTTAGTTCCATTTTTCACGGGGGCGAGGATCCAGCTCCGATTAGAGAGGAGAGAGAAACTCTGCAAATTGATTTCTTAACCTGTAACCTGCATATTGCAGTCCTGCTGCATCTCAACAAGGCTTCTTTTTCTTTCAATTTTCCCGCAAAACTGTACCTTTAGTAGAATATAGTACAAACTACGCAACTATTCTATCTCGAGCGACTCCATCACCTATTTCTCGCGAATTAAAAGCAATACCGTCTACCGTCTACCGTCGCCCCCTCACCATAACCATTTAGGCGATTAGCTAGAGGAGCAAGTGGCTTGCTTCTTAGGAGTCTGTTGCTTGTATTAATCATTAACCTTCTACCCACATAACTTACCTTTCTACTCTAAAATAAAATTGAAATGCACAATGCACATGCACGAGAAAGTTCCTTCCCTTGACAGGCGTTGGAAAGAAATATCCAGGTTACCGCAACCGACTTCTCCGGTACCGGATGGTTTTATCCGACAAAACAGGCAAAAAAGGCGATAAACGAACGGCTTGCCTTGTCGACCCCCCAATATTGTTAATATGCGAGACGGTTTCTCGCTTGGGAAGCCCACGTTACTTGTGCTGCGGGATATTATGCACGTTGAGTAAATGATTTACTCCACATGCACAGAGAAATGATCTCCTTTCTGGCCCTGTTTCTGTTTTTTGTTCTGCGCATTGGCCACCAGATATATTTCGATCATATGTTTCACTACTTATGTGGGCCTGATTAAGATCAACATACGGTCGTGATTCACATCACCGCATATAACTACCTGAACGTCTTTCTTTCTAGCTCATAAAGTATTGTATTGATGATCGTGACCGTGATCATGATGAAAAGCTATATATATGGCTATCTATTGAGGGGGTAGCCTAGTATACCCTCTTTCTATAGTACAAGTGAAATAATTCTAAAGCCAACGAAGAAAGATCCCGTCCCAAACAAATGAAAGTATGGAAGCATACGTGTTAGTAACAAGTATCGGTCGATTAACGCCAAGCCTATACCCCCAAATCCTCTAATAATATAGTAGAAAAAAGTCCCAAATAAGAAAACTAAAGAAAAACGTTTCCCAAATACATGTCTACCAAGTTCATTATCTCAAAGGATTGGCCAGCTCTTCCTTTGGTGTTGAAATGGGTGTGGGCGGAAGTTCGATGTTATCAAACTTCTCGTCGCTTTCCCTGCCGGCCGCCAAACTCTTCCTCGGGATAACAGGACCCCCGGTCAGCTCGGCTGCAACGCTGCCCCACATCCTCCTGACGAATCTCTCGCTGTCGTGTTTAATCAGCCAATCCTCCCGAGGCATCCTGATGCTCTCAGGATTTAAATGGACAGTTTTGTAATCGCACTTGTGCCATTTGTCCCGAAGATCCTCGCCAGTCTTTTGTGCAGATTTCACACGCTCATATCTGAGTCGTTCATAAGCACGAAGGGCTCTGGGAATCTTCTCAGATGCGGGAATAGTGGAATCTTGATGCGATAGGGAGAGACATGTAGCAAGCACAGAGCCATCTTCGATTGCTTGAGAACAGCCCTGTACTGAGGTTGGAAGGAAAGGATGCGCTGCGTCCCCGAGGAGACAGGTATGGCCAGTGGGAGAAACCCATGTTGGTAGAGGATCTCTGCATACAAGTTTCCAGTCCATACATGAAGGCGATTTTGATACCTGCAATTATGTATTAGACAGATCCAATGATTGAAAGCTAAGGACTTAGTGGGGGGTTATATTTACAATTGCGCGGCATTTTGGATCCCAGTCCTTGATGCGGTTGAGAACATCCTCTACTTTTCCTTTGCTTGACCAAGACTCTTCGAGATTCGAATCATCCTGTAAGATTTGTTAGTGTTGTATTTCTCAAAAGAAATACCTGGAATGCACTACTTACTTTTCTTGTACAAACCCAGGAAATCTCCTTTCCGCCTTTGCAGCTCGCTACTAGCAAATGCATATCGTCCCCTAGCCATCCAGTGTGTGTATCTCCATTCTCCACGAACTCTTTAGTCAAAGGATCTGTCGTGACACCGTTCTCCTCTGCATTGAACCAAGCTCTCCAGACAGAATATCCGCTACTCCTCGGTTTATCTTCGTATCCAAGAATCAGTTTTCTTGCCCTACTTCGAACTCCATCGGCACCGACTACAACATCGCCCTTGAAGATCTCGCCAGACTCGGTTTCAATCCAGGCTTTGCCGCTAGCTGCATCTTCTTTATATCCAGTGACCTTTTGACCCATATTGAACTCGACGCCGAGCGACTTGGCGTATTCGTAGAACACCTTGTGAATGTCTGCTCGATGTCCGTTGTACATCGGTCTCTCACGGTTTGGGGGCATGGCTGCCTGGAAAAATATTTGTTGGCCATCTTTGTTCTGGATCTTGAAACCGGAATGGCGCATGCATACGGGGCGCAGCTTCTCCTCTATGAGTGCTGGATCCCATCGTGACATGATTCGGCCTGCATTTGTACCTTTAAGATTGAGAAGATAAGTTGTTAGCATAAATCTTTCTTTTGGGGGATGTGAAAAGGTTGTTGCAAGGTTGGTGAATATAGTAGTAACAACCAATTCTAAAGTGATAATACTCACTAATTGAGATAATATCACCAAGCTGTTCAAATGTTGGAGTTTTCTCGACTATGATAGCAGTGTGGCCTTTAAGTGTGCATTCGATTGCAGCTGTAAGACCCCCAAAGCCAGCACCGACTATGATAACTCGTATTCCAGTTTTGGGATATTGCGCTATAGGAGATGCCATTGTTTCTGATGTTATGAGGTTTTTCTTGAATGTGTGATATTGCTGGTTTGACAATGCACTGGAGCTGGATTGTTCTTATAAGAAATATGGGTAATGGGTGGGTTGGAAAAAAAGAATTGTAGTACTAAGGACGCTCTAGCTGTCGAATCGTACGTCTGGATAATTGTTGTGTTCGAATAAAAAAGCATCGGGGAAGTGAAAATCTTATATACACGTTTGCTGGCCGTGTGAGGTTCAATGGGGGGACATTAAAAAGTAGTAATTGGCTCTGTAATGAAAGAGTATGTTAGTGGTTCTGAGAGTTTGGGGGGGGGGGGGGGGGGGTGGGCATTCAATTCCAGTATTAGTTCTGTTGCATGCTACGTGAAGTCAGACATAACCCATAACCCATAACCCCCCACCCCTCCTAATTCTCTGCTACTCCCTGAGTACTTTCAGTTCTATCAATTATTTGATTAACTTGTTCGTTTAGGGTATGGTGGTGTAGGAATATCTATAGCGGCCCTTGATTGATGATCCTTCCTTACAAATGGGAAACAGCGTATACAGAATGGAACAGATATCGCTGTCAGCCCGGGGGATTGAGGGGGCAGGGGGGGGTGAAGATGGGCACGTACCATACCTACATGTATCCACAATAAAGTAGTTAGCTACTAACCTTGCTACTCAGAGAAAAAGATATATGGGTATGCTGCACGGCGCCTTTGCCCATGCACTCGACTGACGGAACAATTTTGTTAGCCCCCCTCCTGCATGGCACGCGAGCACCATACCCTGGCTCCGGGCCGTTTTGTTCACTGATTCATATGAAGGAAGGGGTCGATTCGGGGAATTCTTTTTTGTGGTAGGCGGTTAATTATATCAAATGGGTTATAGCGCCCCACTGAGGAAAGTGGCATGGAAATCGTGGATGGATTGCGTGTATGTACAGTACATATGTACCTACGGTGCGCAGCGCGAGGTAGCACTTATGTAACCTGCCCTCCTGCCTTACCTGTATGCAATTGCAAGCGGAGATAGGTTATGTGTACTGTACCTCTAGAGTACATTATATTGTAATTCCATCGGTGCAATATAGAGATGTGTGTATATACAGGCTGCACTGGCAATGTAGCTAAGGTACTCCAATATGGGCCGTGGGGCGTTGAGCGAGAGAGATACAAACCCAGTAAGAAATAGGAAAGAAAGAAAAAATCTGAAAAGTCAGCACAAATCACCTGCCCGGAGATTCCTCGTTCTGCAAGTACATGTGTATGATGGAGATGATGTTGGCCATTGGAAGGGCATAATCGAAGCAGAGCTGCAAGCAATGCAGTGCACGTCCACACACACCTACCCACATTCGTACAATCACCAATAACCGTTGGATGCATGGTCTCGACCTGGAAAGTCCCAGGACCGTCGAAACTTCGACATTTTCGACTTGAGGAGAGACCCTGCTACACTAGAATCAAATAAGTAGACATCCAGAAACCGAAACAACCAAGATAAAATTGTCGCGGGATTCCCAATCCACTCTCCCCGACAAACCTCATGTGGTTAGTTAGAGGCTCTATTACAACTAAGATCCCTGCAACAGCAATTTCTTTAGATCCAAAAATTGATTTTTTTTTCTCCCGCAGCTTCATGGCTGCCCTTCGTTCTTTCCCTCCCCCGGAGCTCCCGAGTGCAGGTGGAAACTTGAACGAAGCTAACTCAAGGAACATAAAACAAAAAAGAAATAGATTGTTTTGATATCTGGCCCGAGTCGAGACGTCGTCGTTCGGCCATTGTGTGAAATTAAGGCGGTGACTAGGCCAGCTGCGTAACAACCGCGTGATTGAGTGCGACACTCCCTTACTATCTCGGACTATGCACAATATCTAATGGGTATCTACATGTACCTACTCCAGATTTCGTACGGTACGCTACGCCTCGGGCTCGAACCGGGCCTTTTTCTTTTTCTTTCTCGCTCTTCTTGAATTGAGTAAAAAGCTGCTGTATTCTAGGCAATCAAACCGCAGCGCCAGTCGCTCGCTAGTTTCCGATATGTCTGGTCCTAAAGAGCATTGACACGTCGTGTCGGATCTGCGAACCCGGTACCCACCATTCATGAGTTCGTTACCTGAAATTATTATGGAACACCGACTTCAATCATTACTACATTACTATCAGAAGAACTTTTTGGCTACCTATTACATACATGTTTCATTCTATTAAAGCATTCAGACCTCGAGAGATCACTTGTTCTTTTGTCCAGTATTCAAGTCACGGGTTCCTACCCCCCCCCCCCTCTTTTCTCTGCCTCCTGCGCTGTCGCCATACTGGTTGGTTTGCAACTCACGACAGCTCCGCGCGGGGAATCACAGAGCTTCGCTATTTAAAGTCGATGGTCAAGCCACACACACGTGGTCAAGTGTGAATTGCTACTCCGTTTATTACGGGATGAATGCTTTCAGAGGAGCGCAACGTTCGAGCTCCTTCGAAGTGCTCGGACTGATACGTTATTCCCTTGTGAGCATGCTCAGATGTTCCCGGCGCGATACAAGGGAACTCTAGTACAAATGTGTCTACGTACTACATGATGGTATATTGAGCAAAATAAAAAAATCGTGTTTAGGGCTCCGGCCGGCAGAGGCGCAATAAATCAATGCACTGCCTGTGTTACGTAACAAAGAATTAGGAGGAAAAAAACAATTAAGGTACATGTAGGCACTGGCTTGAAGACCTTCCATACAGCATCAGCCCGAGTCATAATAGAAATGACTGTTTTGAGAGTCCACCAATTGAACAGCCAGGCGATCTCGCTCTGATGGTGGGAGGGACCTGCGCTACAGCTACAACATACAATATCAGATGCCTCTCTCATCGAACCACTAACATCCCACTGGTTAATTTGTGTAGGTATTTCTTTAGCGGGCATTGAGATTCAAGCTGCGTCATAGCTCCGCTCCTAGTAAATACTCTAGGTGAATTTTTCTGCTCGCTTTCTATGCGTAGTCTGGATTGAAACACTGAGCATGAGAATGTTTTGTTAAACCCTGGCTGGAAATTGCGTGTAGTATTCAAATGTTCATTTCCATAGTGCTCTGTTTATTAAACAGTTCTTTACTGCGGATAACTTCCAGAATAAGTAAAGAACATGGGGTACGGGGTAGTTCGAGTATCCTTCCCTCCCACTTCCACCCCACCACACACCACAGTCTTTTTAACCGTTGCCAAGAGGATGAGCATCCAGGGTTGATTAACGAGAGGGTACAGGTGAAACTTGAGCTTGGTCAGAATCTTATAACAACGCCTACCGAGAGTATTGATATATGCAGTGTGATACGTGAAGGAATTCGGTATACCGGCACCCTGTGCGTACGCATTCCACCGGGTGAATGGAATGGCGTGGAGATATAGAACTCGGGTTTGATCTGGTCTGTGCGCGGCCATAAATCAGATTTTTGAGAGTTTTTTGTAATCGCGGATTGTAAATTGCTAGTACTATATATACTATACTTATGCAAAGAGGTGGGTTCTTTGCAATTATTAGGTTATAGATGAGTAGACCCCAGGAAAAGTAGCTTGCTAGGATCGGAAGCGACGATGGTCATTTTAAGGAACGTTTAAAACGGAGGGTCCCGGAAACAACCCTTTAATGGGCCCGTATCAGAAGGTTTTTTAGTTGGGAATCTGCGATAATAATGGTTAGTTTGGCCGGGCCTGATATCCAACAGTTTGGCAAGGATTGGTGATTCTAAAGTATTCTACTATACTATTATACTACTATGAGTTGTCAAGAGTGATATGTGACTGAGCCAGACATATTAGTTGCCCATACAAATTTTAAAATTTCTAGCGATGAGCACGATTCGTATCCCAATTTAAGATAACAAAAAAAAATAGCGTTGCCAACTGAGCCCTTAACTCCTAGGGACGGTGAGATAGGTTTGCTTTCCGAGATAACTGCTACCAGGGGTGTTCTTGGTCTGATTCAACGGCGAGTCACTTAGAGCACGGTCCCGAGGACAGCCTCTTTCGGATGGGATAAACCTGGATTTGTGATGCATGTGCTGTCTCGTCCTTCTTTCTAGATGGTGCCAAGATGACTTTAGTTGCGCGCACATTCCTTCCACGATCTTGCCGATGCATGCCTAGAAAATGTAGGAGCATATCAGAAACTTCAATACATCCCGCCTCGGATGCCCGCCTTCGCCTGGATATTTCGTATAATTAAACTTACCTGTCACATCGTATATCTGCTCAAAATCCGATTTATCGACGTAGAGCTGCCCGAGTAGCTTTTTAATTTTCCAGCACCCGGTGAGCACTCCCGATATCCCGCTAGCTATCCAGTAACGCAAGTAGATCATTATGACCGCCTTTCCGGGTTTGCCCTGAAGGAATAACCGTTACCGGGTTATGCCTGACAGTGATGTTGTACATATCTGTGCCCCTTGAAACATGTAGAGTGCACCCCACCTACAAGCAACCCTCGATTAGAAACCATTGAATGTGAGAGTGAAACCTTTCTAGAAGGTTTCAAGAGTACGCATAGAACGGTATGTAAAACATAACATCGCGTCCCTAACCTATGATGTAGTTAACACTATAGTTGACGGAAATTATATGATGGATATATCGGCCATAAGTGCACATCGACGATTCCAAACGCTGCGGTTGTATGATCGCTCGCCAACCGGGCCATTTTGAGCTGAGGACCCTGGCTTGGCCCGTGCCCTTGCATAGTGTACCAACACTTTGTGAGGAGATGGATATCGATATCGCCCAGATTCCCTTCGCTTTTTTTCTTTTTTCCCGGCCTGCCGAGGAATGTATAGAAAGCTAGGCCTTATCTCTTAGAGTAGTCTGATGGTCGAATGGAAACCCGGATAGGATACTCTCCCGCTGCCCTGCATTTCCAGGGGCTCGACGTACTTGAGGTACTTTCGAGGATAGAGGGTCGGTTTTGGAGCCGTTGGTGCGATTTCAAACGTCAGCCACAGTGGTACAAGTGAAAGTGGAGGTCTATGTTAGTGGCTAGGCCGCGGTATACATCATAGAGTAAGCAGATACACACAGGACGGTCTCCGGTGTCTTTGACCGTATCCCGCTCGGTTGTATCTCTCAAACCGGCCCGGCCCCGGCCCCTTCACTCAAAGCCTTCGGCGAAGGTTTCTACCGATGTAGCGGAAGGGTATATCCCTGATTCTCAACAGCCCTGACCGAAATCATCCCTACGGAATCTTTTCCGTACTTCGGCCGAGCCCCGGAAGCAGCTACGGTGTTAGGCCCGCACCACGGCATTGGTGGAGAGGTAGGGAAACAGCCTGTGAACATAATGGTAACAGCGCTATTGGTGGGGGACCCTGAGTTATTTTGCCAGGGCGGTGGTTTATGCAAGGGCTGATCAGCAGCGGGACGGTACGTACGGTTGTTGACCTTGGAATCACGCCTGATCACTCGTGCATTAGGACATCTCCGCGCATCGCTGTTGTGATTGTCGCGATTGTTGCAATTGAGAAACACAAAATGCGTCTAGATCCAGCTACGCTAGCCTGGGACTTCGGTTTCTGCTAACACGTACTGTTTCGGGGAGTGGAAGTAGTATCTGTTTGTAAATTGCATACAGTTCCAGTAGAATTGTACCTGCGTGTACGTAAATTAAAGTGACCCCCCGAGCCTTACGAGAAAGCCTTTGTGTGCGAAACCAGGCACAGAACATCATGACCACGACGTATTTTCTTTTCTCGTACCTGAAAGGAGGGGGTCGTGACGTTATTTGACAGCTTTACTTTTTCTTTTCCCTGACGGAGAGATCTGGTGTATCGCGCGTAACCTAGCAGGAGTCATCTACATGTAGCTAGGTGCTTTTTCTTTTCTGCCCTTTTTCATTTTTTATGGTACCACAAGACACATCTAAAAAAGCAGATGAGGAACTTCTTTACGCAACCTCGCTGACGATGATGATGGTGATGATGTCCCTGTTTCAACATCCGTATGTACAATGTCATCTGTGGCTCCCATATGTAATTATTTCTTTTTCACTGAGGTTGAACCTAGGATGAATGTGATTACGTAATCAACCATGTCACTGCCCTGCCCTCGCTCGTGAGATGTAGAGTACGAACACAATGGTCGATACTTTTTACTTACACACTTTTTTCTGACTGTGACTACTATGAATCATTCCACGTACCTGCACGGAGAGCGGGAGAAAAAATTGAATCTTCTCTCAGCCGCTACATACTCTATTCCAAACTATATCACAAAATGTGTAGAGTACCTACTTGATAGCATACATGACATGCAAAACCAAGCTACGTGGAACCCAGAATTTGGGATAATCTATTTCTGCATTTTCTTTTTCCAACAACTTCTCTGGTGACCTTACCAGAGGGGTAGCTCCTCCCCCTAGATTCGCATTTTTTATTTTTTTTCCCTGCATACAGCACTTTGAGCTGAATGGAAAAAAAATAGATGGAAAAAAAAATACACTGTATAACTGAAACAAGGTATATTCCAAATGTGGACATGAATGGGCAGAAAAGGAGGGTTGCAGTGCAGGATATCTGATAGATCTACACGGCGGCAATCTGGCAGCGTGGGCAGGCGGCCAATAAATCGTGCAGGTTTGAATTCGGGCTGGTCTGGTTGTGTTGTGAATTTGCGAGAGGGGGGGGGGGGGCAAGGCTATGTGGTCTGTGGAGGAGGAGGGTCAGGGCGGGAGGAGGAGGAGGGGAAGGCTATGACGAGTGATGGGGTGTGATCTAGGAACAACCGTGATTGGAGGCGCGCAGGGATGGAGATGGCTGGGATGCATGGGGATGCGATATAAATACAATTGAATTGGGCTAGAGCTGCCTATTTAGAGTGGGACGTGCACTCCATATTCTAATGAAGACTATATAGCTTGATAGTCTGTCTGGCGGGTCGATTTGTTGTTCTACATGGCCAAAAGGTTAATGTTAGTTGAGGATACATGTATAGAATTGCGGAACTACATGTACTTGTTTATCGTAAGATAAACCTTCGCTAACGAGCGACATGTATGCAGTTACTCAGTCAAGGATACATGTTGTATGTATGTACTTTACTACAAGGATTTTTTTGTTTACTCAGCGGTACGTCGAAACGATGTGTTTTCGTTCTATCGAATACAATTCGGCCAACGTATCAATGTGTAAGAGCCACAAGTTGGTTGAGGAATGTCTGAGCATCCCGTCAATGCCGCGCACACGTACGGCCAGACGGGCATATTGAATAACACTGATCTTCAAGGACAGCGTATACAAGTGTGTACTATCTACAAGCATAAATAACTATTCGCTTATTCGTACATATCATACAAGGTTTCCTTGACTACCCCAACCCACGAACGGTGAAGAAACAAAACCGAGTGATCATCAATGATCGTCTCCCCCGCGCGCTGATCATGGCGGTAAGTGCGCAAAACAATCAAGCAAATTAGCGACGACGTTAACGTGAAACGGTCGAATCAGCGTCCCTAGACGATTATACCTTCTCCGGACGTGGCGTTTGCTACCGGGGAGAGATATATAGGTCACTCATAAGTGGTCATATGAATCCTTATCAGAGCACTATATGGCTATAGACACATGTCACTAATATTTGCACTCTATCTGGGCTCTTGGCACATCAGTGATACTATAGTGGCACACCGGCATTGGTAATGATTGGAGGTGTTGGAACGAGAATCGTACAGAATTAAATGATACTTCTAGAATCACTAGAACTTTGTCGGTCTCGGGTATGAATCTGGCAATATAGAGTATACATGTAGTAAATGTAGCTCAAAGAATCATATTACGATTGAAATTTAACACATCATACCGAGCTTCGATCAAATTCTGATTGCAAGCCTTGAATCATATTAATTGCTAGATTTTAACGTTAACGGAGATAGCACCGTAACTAGGCTGTAGATCGGAAATTTAAATGCATATTGGTGTTGTATTAGTAGAACTTTAATTACGAAGTAACACACTCTAACTACATGTATATGTACGTGGAGCACTTTCGAGGACACCGTGGAGGGTAGCGGGCCGTCTACTGCATATATACTATCCACTCAGTGAACCGAAAGACCATCATCGCGCGTTCAGCTTGAACATTATTCCCTAAGAACGCAAGATAGAGCCTAGTGTGACGTTTCTCGGAAGATCAATCATTTTCATCAAATGACCATTCTCCTTCCCTCCTTAATCTGGAGAGACCTCGCTTGTATTACTCAGTTAAGAGGCTAGATCTTTTTTCTTGGGGAGTATCATACGTGAGTTTGGCGAACCCCAATATCGAAATCCGAAATACTAATCAGACTTCATTGGCGGACCATAGCTCAGAGTTTCAGTCCTTAGCCATCATTCTCAAATACAGGACAACCTACCACTCTTTATATCACTTTCGGGTTGCAGCTTTCCAGAACCGCCGAGACCAACGAAATAGACCGAGGGTTAGGGTTACTGCTCACCCTCCCTTGCTATCCAGGTACTCACGATCGAGAATTCAGGAACCAAAAGGCTTACTTTAGGGTGCCGAGACCCGCAAATATAAATGGCGCAAGCGCTATGTCTTTCATTCGGGACAATTATTCCGAATTTTCCGAAGCCTAGGGGGGGGCTAGATGAGTCTGATGGATGATACTTCATGCTCACCGATGGGAGGCAGGCTGCCTTTTTTTTTTTACCTCATCTCATCGCATCGTAGCTACCCGTTGCCTAACAAACCTCTCTAGAATCGGTTGTATTGTAGGCACTGTGTGGAGAGGCCTGCGAGTAACCGAATACTTAGGCTAAAGTGTAGGGTGGTTTGCTCGCAAGCTGGTTGTTCCTGAATGCTCATTCCTCCGAAGCTCTACCGACCCGCGGGGTATGCGATGACCCCGCATTAGGTAGTGAAGCTATAAAAATACAACCCCATTTACTTGAAGTTGTCGCGGTAGTCATCGATAGCTTTTCTTACAATTGAGGGTTTATATTCTATACAACAAACGTCGCAGAATCAAACATAAGTCAGACAGTATGGTCAAGATTGTAGCTTTCGAATCACGGGATGTTCGGTTCCCAGTATGTCTTGCCTTCCCAACTCGGATGAGAATATGATATAAGATACTGATGGGATGGAAACAGACATCACTCGATAAAACCGGATCAGATGCCATGAACGATGCTGGGGACTACTCCGCAGCTTACTGTATCCTAAAAACTGATGGTCCATTCGAAGGCCACGGTATGGTGCGTTGTTTACCCTTTGAAGCTAGCGTTAGCTATATAGCTGATATTTATTGTAAAAGACCTTTACCATTGGCCGCGGAAACGACGTAGTTTGCTCTGCGATCCACCACGTCGCTCAGCGCCTCGTCGGGCACGACCTGTCGGCGCTCACTGCCAACATGGGTCGTACATGGCGTCATCTGGTTGCCGACTCGCAATTGCGGTGGATTGGCCCTGAGAAGGGAGTTATCCACCTGGCTCTCGGAGCTGTGGTAAATGCGTTGTGGGATCTATGGGCTAAGACTGAGGATAAGCCGTTGTGGAAGCTGGTGGCCGATTTCACACCCGAAGAGTTTGTGAGGTGTATTGATTTCAGATATATTACGGATGCGATCACGCCAGAGGAGGCGGTGAAGATGTTAACAGAAACACTGGAAGGCAAAGACAGGAGAGTAGAAGAGGCGAGTGTGGATAGAGCCGTGCCCGCCTATACCACTAGTGCTGGTAAGTGCTATTTCCGCCTTGTATATTCGCAAGGAAGTTGAGATCTAACGATCGTGTGTGGGTGAAATAGGCTGGCTAGGCTACGGCGAAGACAAAATGCGTAGCCTCCTTCAAGAAACTCTTGAACAGGGCTACAAGCACTTCAAGATAAAAGTTGGTGGCTCCGTCGAGGAAGATCGCAGACGCCTCCGCATTGCCCGTGACATCATTGGCTACGACAGCGGAAACATCCTCATGGTGGATGCAAACCAAGTCTGGTCAGTGCCAGAGGCAATTGAGTACATGAAACAACTCGCTGAGTTCCGTCCCTGGTTCATTGAGGAACCAACCTCACCCGATGACATCCTTGGGCACGCAGCGATCCGCAAGGCCTTGAAGCCTTTGGGCGTTGGCGTTGCGACAGGAGAGATGTGCCAGAACCGGGTCGTCTTTAAGCAGTTGCTGCAGGCACAGGCGATCGATGTGTGTCAGATTGATGCATGCAGGATGGGCGGTGTGAATGAGGTGTTGGCAGTGCTCTTGATGGCGAAGAAGTAAGAAATCTACCCCCCTCGCCTTCTTGAGATATTAAGAAGGGTAAATTAACATAACTGAAGGTTCGGCGTACCAATTGTACCCCACTCCGGTGGTGTCGGGCTACCAGAGTACACCCAGCATCTGTCAACGATTGACTATGTGTGCGTATCAGGGAAACTGTCGCTGCTGGAGTATGTTGACCATCTCCATGAGCACTTCTTGCACCCGTCTGTCATTAAGGACGGATACTACACTACACCCAAGGATCCGGGTTATTCGGTGGAGATGAAGAAGGAAAGTATGGAGGAGTTTGGATTCCCGAACGGGACATTCTGGAAGAGTGAGCAAGCAAAGGGTATCTTGAATCATTTGGATGGTGTTAAGATCTAAATCAGAATGTTATTGTAGTTGTAGTAGGGTTAGGGTATGGGTTTTGGGCGAATAATTTCACAACTTCTTGGGTTCAATGATAGTTTTGAGTTTTTTTGAAACAATGTTTTTGATTGTTAAATTAACGCTTTTGAACGCCACAATACCATCAGCCCATCGAAAATGCAACTATTTCTATAGAATCAGCGCAAGTGGTTGCTAATCTGAATCACTATCACTGCCGCTATCCTGATCCTTCATTTTCACATCTTTACCACTATCACCACCGCCTTCTGCAGCGGCTTTTAGTGCTAGTTTCTTAAGTCTTTCCCTGGCCTTCTTCTTCGCCTTTTTCTCCCTATTCTTCCGGCTCTTGTCCTCTCTCTCCAGCCTTGCTCTTTCCTCGGGCGGAAAACCTGCGAACTTCTTCGTCGCATCAATCTTCCGCTGCCGCTCCTCTTCCGTAGCCTTGATCTTCTGCTGCGCTTTCCTTGTCGCGATCCGGGACTTCTTACTGGGCTTCGCGTGCTTCACATCCGCCCTCGGTTCTGGCGGTTGCGTGTGCATAGTGATGGTTATGACCTTGTGCGGGACCTTACAAGCTGGCTATTATTTCCCGCTCGCGCATTAGCAGACCGCCCACAACCACCACCACGTATCCCAAAAACATACCCAAACAACCTTCGCGCCGAGCAGCACCTCATCGGCCTCAACAATCATACCACCGGCCAGCAGCGCTTGCCGCCGCAGCGCCATGTCGGCTTCACTGAGAACATAATGCGCAACGGCACGCTTCTGCGATTTCGCTAGCGCCTCCCAGAGGTCTTCTTCGCAAGGGGGCGTGGCCTCTTTGAGGGTTACGGTCTGGCACGGACCTGAGAAGAGACTGAATTCGAGGTCTGTGTCGGCGGGGTCGTCGGCGGCGGATGGGAGGGGCGCGACAGTGACAAAGTCGAGGTCGAGGTCAAGATCGAGGGTATGCGTGTCTGAGGTAGTGGGGGAGTCGGCGGCGGGAGTGAAGTCGTCGAAGAGCTCCGCGCGGCGGACGCTGAGGTCAATTCGTTAGTAGGAGTGCGTGGGGTGGGCGGGGGTGGGGGCGCGGGGGGGAGAAGGATAGGCAGCAGTACCGTTTAGTTTCTGGGAAGTCAAACATTGCGCGCAGTGCTGTCGATGGCTGGAGGGAGGACCTGGGGTGAGGTGCGCCGCAAGTGTCTTGGGTTGTCTTGGCGCATGAAGCGTCACTCGAGTTTGGGTTGAGGTCTAGACTGCTATGTAGAGTATAATGGTGAGAGTTATTACTGCACAAGTTAATTCCGGGGAGCTCCACGGAGGAAGTTGAAGGATGCCTTCCCCCCACCTCCTCGTTCAACCCCGGATGCCCGCAAGGGGGATCTCACCCCGCGTATACGTTATGTACGGCTCGGGGGTGGCAGATCTGGGGACAGGCTGGTCGGGCTCGGGATAGATGCGTGCATATGGTGGGAGCGAATTAAAAGCTGGAGAAAAGGCACTATACATGAGTAGGTTATGCGCTCTACTGTAGTGGAGTGGCGACCGGTGTGCATGGTAGGTGGAGTGGAGCAGGCACTCCTTACTATTAATTACTCTAATGTATGTGTTCTACCAAAGAAACCCAATTCCGCTCCGCTGTACTACAGCAGGGGAAATAACATGCAGAATATGTACGCTATCTTTTCCCATGGCTTCAAACTGTTCCAACGTTAGAACCTTTCTTGGGCGGTGGGATTGCATTGCATACATACGAAACACATGTATAATTCGCCCTTGCTGCATGCAGCGGATGTGTGTGTATCGAGTACTGCTGGTGGGCTGGCCTACTCTACATAAATTATTCTGATGTTGGTACTGTGCCTAATGAAGTATTGTCAGTTAGTACCTACATAAGTCTCCATCACCATTTGGTACCAGTATACTACACCCAGCTGAACTCACCTCGTATACCCCACTGATGTACTTCAATTGCTCTAGAGCGGGTACAGTAGTATTCGGCGACCCTGCTAGATCGAGGCTTTAGCGGGGAGAGAAAAAAATGATAGACGAGATGGAAGTAGTTTAATTGGCCACGGAGCTAGATGTCTAGGGTAGGTAGAGTAGAGTACATACATGTACTTCTCTAGTCTTCTTGAATAAATTCAGCTACATAAATAAGTCTCCGGTTTCTCTAGCGTCTTTCTCGGATTCAGTTATGGCGCAGGTCGACCCTATACTAACTTATTTTCTGTCAAAAACCTGGTTTTTCCCACTCCTCGCTCTAGCTCACCAATCAAAACGCGGCCTCTACCTCTTCTCGAGAACAGAATGATGGTGCATAAAAAGCTGTGGAGGTTGCTATATGATGTGGTGTATATGCAAGCGTCTACTCTAAGAAGGCGTTGACACCGTTGAGATAAACCACCCGTACCTAGAGTGATGAATCATGGAACAAGCCAAAACATATGCAACAGCAAGGCAGAAAAAGGCAAAGAAAGTTAAATAACTTGTGTGTATCTAACTATCCCCAGAGTAGATATTCCTTGTGTGTGTGTGCATCTAACTATCTCCAGAGTAGATATTCCGACCTACTCTACTCGGGGCAGGCAATAAGAACCTGAAAATGCAAGCTGCAAGCAGGTGCTCAATTTGGTGTAGCTTTTCGCCAGCCGCGAATCAGAGGTTGTTACCATCAAAGGCCATTTTCAGGTTCTTCTTACCTGCCCCGAGTACATACATCCGCAACCACACCCGAAAGATAATTCTGCACGCGAGGCTACGTGTTGAAAGTATGTAGGTCTCAGTCTCAGTCTCAGTCTCGGCCAGGTCTCAGTCAATCTAACACCCCACGTGTTGAGGAAAAAGCAATCTGGGTGGGAGTGGGAAATCCGTCGCTCTGGATGCGGAAAGTGAGAGAAGTCAATTGATCAACAGATGTCAAGGAACCAACCCCCACACGACGGTGAGATATCGCCGAAGGAGTACTAGATGATGTGATGTGACCCCCAAATATGTTGGATTTTTTGTGTACTTCTATGTATGCAGTTTTTCGCCCAGAACACAATTGCAAAGCAAGGAGAGAAATAAATATAATGCAATCAACAAAAGGAAAAAAAAACTGAGAATAAAACCCGCAAGAGAAAGAAAAAAAAGATCCCAAAATCGCTCAAAGATTGCTCCTGAAACCATGTATAGATAGGAAAGAAAAAAATCCCATGAACAAGAAAAGAAATAAAACACCCTTAATAAACACCACCGTATTAACTATAACCAATATGCAAAAAAACAAAAAACAAAAAAAGATACAAGTTCTATATTGTCCAAATCAAGTCTTCTTCGGAAACACTCTCCTCGTTCCCCCCTGCTTCCCCAAATCTCCCATCTCCAACCTAGGGGACCCAAACTGCTGCACCTCAATTAGCTCTCCCGGAATAGCAAAGGGCTCATCTCCCAACCCCATATCGCCGCTGACGCTGCCGCCCGTCAACCTGCGTTTTCGCGCGCTCACTTTTCGGACCTCGCCGATCATCCCGTCAACCCACGCTTGGTCCTGTGGGGAAATAACAGTGTTCTTGCCCTTAGGCCCAGCCAGACCCAACGGTTTGGGTGGTGGTGCCTCCGTTGAACTGCCAGCTTCGGACGGGTCAAACGCTGACTCGCTAAATGACAAGCGGGACGCAGATCGCCGGAGAGCACCGTGTGAAGATCCTGGCCGACTCACTGGCGGTGGTGCGCCCTGCCGACTGGGCGGTCGGATTGCTCCTTGCCCCCTGCTCGGTGGCCGAACTGCAGATTGCCCTCTACTGGGCGGTCGGACTGCGGATTGCCCTCTGCTGGGCGGCCGGATTCCACTGGGCGGTGACATGCCGTTTTGGGGACTAAATGCACTCTGTCTTTGGTATGCTAGGGGCTGGAATGGCGTCAAAGCTGGGCGGTCCTTGGTTCCGTCATGACCACCTCGCATGGTAGGCGGGCTATTGACAGCTGTTGGTTGGACGAGAGATGAACTTCGTTCCCGTCCTCGAACACCCATTGATGACCCTGGACTGTTGTTGCCCATTGATGAACTCGGTCGGTTGCCTAATGATGAACCAGGGCGATTGCCCAATGACGAGCCAGGCCTGACACCGAGTGCCGAGTTTGAGCGGGATCTAAGACCCACCGCTGAAACGGAACGGGAGCGGCCTCCTGGCGGTGAGCCCGACCTGCTTTGGCCTGGAGCGGGGCTGTTGCTTCGCAGGGATGATCTGGATCTGACTGCGTGCAGTGAGTGATGTTGTGCACCACCGCCGAGGTCTTGAATCTCAATACCACCCCCGGAAACAGTTCGTCTCTTTGATCCGTGGTGTGTGGCGTACTCTTTGAGGTACTCAGCCAGGTCGGCCCATCCGCCACCAACACGGACCATAACCCTCTCGCCTCTCTCTCCTACAAGACGAATGTAGAGCTTGATAGGTGCCTGACCGTTATCACGGTGGAGATGGTAAAGTTCGATACCAGCTGAAGCATTAGACACGTGTCTTCTACCACCACGGGGGGCAAATCCGGTAGCATCAGAGACCACGGAACTGCCGGCGACAGATTTTGGTGCTGGTATACTAGAAGGAGGGAGCTCAAACGGCCTCAAAGGGCCTGATCGTTTCGACGTCTCTGTAAGCTTCTGGAGGTTCGAAGCCGTAAGACGAATCGGGGATTTAAGTGAGGTCAAAATATCATTGACCTTATCGTCCAGACTTGGCTGTGGGAACTCCAATTTTGGGGTCATGGTAAACGACTGAGAACCATCTTCACCATCTTGTGGATTCTTCTGGTACAATTTCCTGTTCCTTTCTGGTGTGACAGTGTCGATTTTCGCTGGCCGAGGAATTTGTCTCTTCTGAACGTTTAGCCTTGGAACGCCAGTACCCGTAGGGGGAGATGAGTTGCGGTCGGGGGTGAGTTCGTTTGACCGTGGCCATCGCTGCTCACTAATGACAGACCCCTCATCGTCACTGTCAATCTCCTTGTGTGGACGGCGAATGGCCTTAAGTGCAGGGCCTGTCTTTGTTGGAGTTTTTGTCGGGGATCTGGATCCCGTCCTCACTGTGGAACCCGGGGAAATGTAGTGTCCAGTCGAAGAAAGAGACCTTGGCTTTGCCATGTCAAGTGGGGCCTTTCTGATCAACTTTTGTGATTTTTCGACCTTTATAGGAGCTTTCGGTTCGGGGGTGGTGCTCCGCTTGGCAAACTTATTTGTGTCAATATAATTCTGTAAACTAGCACTTAGGTTACATACCCTATTTTGCGTAGAAGCTTCCCTGTTTCCAAGGCCCAAATCCAAACTGATAGGTCCCACTTTGAATTTGTCATTGAAGGAACGTCTCCTAGCGCTTGGGCTATCTTGTACACTCAGTCCTCCTTTTAACATTAGATTGCTTGATTTCCCTGACTTCTTTGAAGGTGTACCAAATGCATGAGTGTCTGACGGAAAACTTCCATCACGGGGCGAGTAAGGCGTCTGGACTTCCGTAATACTATCAAGTCCACCTAACGCCCCTGGCCGCCTCTTGGACTTTGGTGTAGACTTTGCAACAGGCACCACTTCAAGATCTGAGATGTCTTCTGCATCGTCATCCTCCATGGGATAGCCGTTCGCGTCGATTCTCAAATTGGAGGGGGGAGACCCGCCGGCGTACGAACCTGATGGGCTGTCATCTTCGAAAACGGGAGAATTTACGACATTATCCCATGCCCCATTGGTGGTTTTGGGCGTGCCTGTATCTTCAAAATCAGACCTATCCCCAGGTGTTGAGGGAGCTATAAGGATACAAGGCAGGCCGTCAAAAGAACTATCTGACAGTTCTTGATCGGAGCTTTGCCTAGTCTGAGGAAGTTCATATTCTCCCGAATTATCTTCGAAAAGTCAGTATACTGCCAATAAAAGGGTAAAACAACACTTACCATTGCCATTGAGTGCTTTTTGCAAAGAGAGATGGGCGGCTAGGTTCTCGACTGCTACTAGATCTTCCTCCAGATCCGAGTACGATTCAGAGACGTTTCCCTGTGATTTTGACATATCCGGGGAGATTTCTGGACTTGTTGATTCTTGTGACCATGGTGTAGGTGGGACTTCCTGATTCGTTTCGGGAGTTTTATATTTAGCCTGGTGTAGAACAGATGATGATCGTGAAGATATAGGTGTCAAGGTTATAGATGGAGGAACAGATGGCTGGTTTTTCCGTGCTTCCGCATAAGCCATGTTCTCACTTCCAAAACTCCCGGAGTCCTCATCGGATTCTTTGAAAGGAATTTTAGTGAGCGAAAGATCTTGGTAATCCTCGGTAATATCATCTCCCGAGAGGAAATCTCCCTCTGAGTTCGAACCATGGTGATTCGAGAACTGTGCCCGCCCCCGCCTTTCTTCCTCCTCCTCCCTCAACCGCTCCACCTCAAGCCTATCATTTTCAATTCGCTGCTCCATTGCAAGCCTTTCTGCTTCTTGGGCTGCCAATCGCTCCTGCTCCCGCTTCACCAAAGCCAAGTCTTCTAATCTTTGCCGCTCATCCTCAGCGAGACGTCTTCGGAGATCCATCTCTTCAAAAGTGAGATCCGATTCATTTTCGGCATGTGCGAAACGCTTCTTTTCTATCTCTTCCTCGTGGGCCCATCTCTTCTCTTGAGCGGCGATCTGCCGGTGGATCTTCTCTTCCTCTTGTATGGCCTGCTTGTATGCTGCTTCCTCGTTAATCTCCCAACACCGCTCTTGCTCAAGGGCATGGAGGCGCTCTCGTTCTAGTTCTGAGGCGAGCTTTTTCTCCTGCATCTCCTTCTCAGCCTTGAATCTTGCTTCAAACTCAGAAATTATTTTCCTCTGTTCTTTCTCGTCAATGGCTTGTTGTCTTTGGTATTTAGCTTCTGCCTCAAGGGCTGCCCGTTTGATCTCAGAAATCGGCTGAGGTTGCATTTCATCACCTGAGTCCATTGAATCGTTGAAAGCAGATTCTTTGTCTTCCTTCTCCTTCTCCCTTTCTGCTTCAGAAATTGCCTCCTGAGCTTCAATCTGTAACTGGGCGATAAGCTGGCGTTCTGTTTCTGCTTCGGCTTCAATTATTGCTTGCTGCTCAGCCATTTGTCGTTGAATCTGTTCGTTGATCCTTCGCTCCTCCTCCTCTATGCGCTCCATATCTTTTTGTTCCTGCTCTCTGACCATTCTTTGAATTTCTTCGTCGCCTATGGCACGCTGCAATTGCCTCTCGAGTTCGGCTTGGATTTCAGTCTCTACTTCAGCCTCAGCAGCTAAGCGGACGTCGTCCAGGTCTGCGAGTCGTTTGTTCTCGGATCTCTGAGCCTCGGCAATTATCTGTGCTTCTGATTTAGCTAATTTACTCTGCTTAGTTTCAGCGGCAAGTCTTACCTCATCTTCCTGTTGACGCTCAGCCTCCTCGGCAGCTGCAATAGCGGCAATTTGTTCAGATTCAAGCTCAAGACGGGACGCTTCTAGAGCAGCGAGACGTTGAATCTCAGCTTCCTGTGCGACCTTCAATCCCTCAAGCTCCAAATTTATGAGTCGCTCGTTCTCGGCTTCCTGTACAACGGCCCTGAGTCGGTCAACTTCAAGCTGTACTATACGTTGAAGTTCTTCCTCCTCTCGCTCGGCATGTTCAGCTTTGATCTTTGCTAGTCGCTCAAGTTCAATTATGCGCTGATGCGCAACATCTTCCTCGGCAAGTCTAACTGCATCAGCGTGAAACTCGGCGTTCCGTCGAGCGTCCTCCTCAATAGCCTTACGACGTTCATCTTCAAGCTTGAACACGCGTTGACGTTCTGCCTCCTCCCGTGCAGCCTTTTCGGCCTCAATAACGGCAAGGAGTTCAAGTTCGGCCATACGTTGACGCGCAGCTTCTTCCTCGGCCCGTCTTATTGCTTCGGCGTGAAGTTCAGCATTAATCCGAGCCTCTTCTTGTATGGCTCTCCGGCGGTCCTCTTCGAGTTTGCGGTCTTCTTGAATCAGGGCGTAGGCAGCTGCCTCTGCATGTCTAGCCTCCTCTGCGGCTTCAGCCTCTAGCACAGCAAAACGTTCGGTCTCAGCTTGTCGCTCGAGCTCCTGGCGCTGTTTCTCTGTTTCCTCTTCAGCCTTGAGGCGGGCAGATTCTTCTTCAAGGACCCGTAGACGCTCGGCCTTTTCCTCGGCTTCAGCCTCTAACCTAGCAATCTCAAGGGCTGCAGCTCTTTCCTCTTCTTGACGTTGACGTTCTGTTTCCTCTTCAGCCTTGATGCGCTCGGCCTCAATCGCAGCGAGTCTCTCAGCCTCTGCTTGTCTCTCTCGTTCGGCTTCCTCGGCCTGTCGTCGCTGCTCTTCTTCGGCTGCCAGACGGGCCATTGCAACAGCCGCAACTCTCTGAACTTCTATTTGACGTTTTGCCTCTAATTCCTCCTTAGCGAGTCTCAGACGCTCTGCTGCGATATCGGCCTCGGCTTGACGTTTTCGCTCCTCTTCCTCGAAGTAGAGTCTTTGGCGCTCTTCTTCGGCAGCGAGTCTTTCGGCCTCTACCTGTCGTTCGCTCTCCTCCTCCTCAGAGATTAGCCGTAGGCGTTCAGCCTCGGCTTCTTCTTCTGCTTTGACATGGGCGGCTTCAATGGCGGCGAGTCTTTCGTCTTCTTCTTCAATGAGTCGTAGACGTTCAGCCTCAGCTTCCTCTTCAGCTTCAAGACGAGCAGCCTCAATGGAAGCGAGTCTTTCACGTTCCTCTTCCTCTTGAATCATTCTGGAGCATTCGGCTTCTTCATCGGCCTCGATACGTGCCGCTTCAAGAGCAGCAAGTCTCTCAGCTTCTGCTTCCTCTTGAATCATTCTAAAGCGTTCAGCTTCTTCTTCGGCTTGCTCTTCAGCTTCGACGCGAGCAGCTTCTTCAGCGGCCAGTCTATCACGTTCTTCTTCTTCTGCAATCAATCGCAGGCTCTCGGCTTCAGCGTCCTTCTCAGCCTGTAGTCGTGCAGCTTCTTCCACGGCAGCGAGTCTTTTAGACTCAGCTTGCCGTTCCAGCGCTGCCTCCTCTTCAGCGAGTCTTTGACGCTCGGCTTCGGCTTCGGCTTCGGCTGCGAGTCTATCCATCTCCGCTCGGCGTTCACGTTCTGCCTCCGCTTCGGCTTTAACTCGCGCAGCTTCAGCGACAGCACGCCTTTCAACCTCTGCTATACGTTCCTGCTCAAGCAGCGCTTGCTTTTCGGCTTCAAATAGTCTGCTTCGTTCCTCCTCTTCTTCCGCCATTTGTTGACGAGCTTGTTCTGCAATGATCGATGCCTCCTGAGCGAGGAGTCTCTGGTGCTCTGCCTCGGTAGCGAGGTTAACAGCCTCAAGTACAGAAACCCGTTCAATCGACGCTCGTCTTAGACGCTCTGCCTCCTCTTCCTCCTCAATCTTAAGACGGAGTTCTTCCTGTGCCAATCGCTCCTCTTCTTCTTCGCGTGCCTTCCTCTCCCGCGCTTCCTCTTCTATCATTCGCTTGCGCTCGGCTTCCGCAACCTTTTTCCTTTCCTCTACTTCTCTGGCCGCCCGCTCTACTTCTCTGAGTCGTTCCGCCTCTGCTAGCTTCATCTTGACCGCATTTATCTTCTCGGTGCGTTCCCTCTCTGCCTCTTCCAACTTCGACAATCGTTCGGTTTCTGCGTTGACCGCCTCGATCATTTCCCGCTCTTCCTCCTCCTTCTTTCGCGCCTCCTCCTTCTTGGCCTCCTCCTCCTTCTTTGCACGACTTTTCTTGCTTTCTGCCTTTGGAGATTTGAAGAATGAGCGTGCAGCGGCAAGGATATTGACTTTAGGCTTGGGAGTGGTCTTTTTGACCTCCTTTGCCTCCTCCTGTGTATTCTCGGCTTCCGGGCGTTTTGGTGTTTCGGGAGACGGTGGTTCGCGGCGGGCGGTGGCTGCAAAAACTTGTGCTGTTGGCGGAAGTTTCGGGACCGGCATACATGGCATTGAGGGCTGTCTCCGGAGGAGTGGCGGGCCGTGTTGGAATGCGGCCATGAGGGCTGGTGTGGTCATTGGGGTATGGAAAGGAGTCGAGGATTGGCGCCGGAGTGGCGGTTGGTCTCCGAACATGAGAGATGCCGGGAACTGGATTGTAGGAGTTGCGGATCCCCGGCGCGAAGAGGAGGCCTCTGAATCCGGTTGTGGGGAGAATGGAACTCTCGGCGTCGGCATAGGTGTGTGGAATTGTGTGGGTGTTATGGAGCCATCGGAGTCTGAGGTTGTTGCCTGGTTTAGTGCGGTGGTAATTCCAGGTGTGGGCATGGGAGTGTAGTAGTCTGTTGCTGTGGAGTCCTTTCGGAGCTGATCGTGATCTTGCACTTGCATAATTCCCGGTGTGGGCATGGGTGTATGGAAAGCTGTTGATGCCTCAGGCTGGGCGTTGTTTCCGAGTGATAGCTCGTGGTCTAGCGCTGGGAACGCATCGATAGAGCTACTTCCACCCCCACCTATCCGAAGGCCTCTCCTTGATCTCTCAAACACGTCGGCATGACGCATATCTTCCGCCTCACTATCAGAATTATCCCTGGAGAACAATCTATCTTTCTCTACACCCTCGAGTCTCATTAATAACTCATCCATCTCTCTAGGCTCATAGTCGTTCTCGTCACCACTTGCGTCCTCATCGTAATTATCTCCGACAAGTTCGATATTCTCCGTGACCTCCTCATTTGCCTCCATTGTTTCCCGGAGACCTCGCTCTGTCTCTTCGGCACGCTCCATGACGCTCTCTGCCACACACTCGGCGCCCCTTGCTTCCTCCGCATACCTCTGCTGCTCTTCAACGAGTCTATTTCTTTCCATCTCTCGTAACAGCTCCTCCCTCTTTGTTTCCTTCTGTCGCAGCTCTTCCAGCCTTAACTTTCCGGCAATGACGACCCGTTCACCGTCCATCTCCCATGCGCCCACCCGTTCCTCAACATCCTCTAACTCCGTGATCCACAGGTCCGGCAAGACGTCTTCGCGGCCCTCCAGTGCATCCAGCATAGTATCCATCAGTCTGCCGGCTGTCGCGACCTTCGCTGTAATGGTTTCCTGCATTAGTCCGAATGTCGATTCTTCCAGCCCGCGCCACTCGTCATCGGATGTGTCCTGAGATGGCGCTATGCTAGGGTGGTTGATCGCCGCGTATCCGGCGTCGAGAGAATCTTTTGCAATCTGGAGCCATCGCAAGAAAACAGGTACAAGTCGGAGGACCGCAAGTCGGACCGCCCAGACGGACAGCAATTTTGTGAGACGATGTAGAGGCGGGAGGAGTTGTAATGTTATGGCTGTGATGATGGCCGAGGAATCGGTAAGCGGGTTGGATATTCCGGTGCGATATGCTGACGCGATGGGTTAATTAATTGGATCAAGAGCGATATATGAGGATTTACAGGGATAATTTACCAAGGACTTTGCTCTTGAGGGCTTCAACATCAAGCTCTTCGATCTCGGATTTGATTTGCTCAATCCTTTCGAGATACTGCTCGATCGTAATTTTTTTCAGCGAGCCGCAGTACTCACTCTCGTCAATTTCCTCCTCATCCTCCTCATCCGTGGACTCTCCGTCGTATTCGTCGTAAAGCGGCCTGTTACCCTTTGAGGGTGTCACAGCTGTACCCGTCCGTTGCTTCTGCAGATTCAACTGATATGGTGTGGGCGGTTTTGAGTTCCTCTTTTTTATCAACAGGTTCCTCGCTTCCTCCTCTTCTGAATTCTCGCCTTCCTCATCCTCCTCCGCAATAGATCCCATCTCGGTGCCGACACTTATTATACTGACTTTCCTTCGTTTCTTGGGCCGCGGCGGTAGATATCCATCACCGGCGTCCCGACCCTTTGATCGCCTCCATTGCACATTCCAGCCCTCGACCTCGCGCAGCCATTCCCCGACTCTCACGATACCCTCCGCGGCGCGGATACTCCATTCTTTTTCTGCGGGTGTGAAGCCGAATTCTGGGTCGTTTGAGAGCCGAGCGATCGTGGCCGGGGTTAGGCGAGATAGTAGCGGGTCGTTGGCGAGGAGGCTTTGTATCCGTGTCTGCCGGGATGTGCGGGTCGGCGATCCGGCGGGACTAGAGATGTTGCTACGGGCCGGCGATGTCAGGGTTGACCGAGGCGGGCGATAGTAGTGGCTTTGGATGGGGAGAGTTTGAAGGATTGGGGTTTCCGGGGGCGACATAAGGGTCTGTGAAGTGAGCGGAGAGGGTTTGGAGGGGCGAAAGAGAGACGTCATTATGGAGGTAAGTGATAGTGAGACCGATAGTGATAGTGATAGGGACGAGCTGTGCACAGGTAGGGGATTGTTATCTCTCTCGGAGGTGACGGACGTTACGATGAAGACTGGTCCGGTCTGGGGGGGGAAGATTCAGATTATTGTAGAGTACACGGGCCTCTCAAGGAATGCTCAGTAGCACAATTCGTATTGTATAACTTGATTGAAAGACTGATTGGGCTGGACTGACTGACTGACTGACTGAATGCTTGATGATGTATGTCTGTCTGCCTGTCCGCCTGCCTGTATGTATGTCCGTGATATGTCTGCCAGTGTATATATGCAGCGGCTCTTTGATCTCGGACAAGGCAATAAAAATAAAATAAAAACTATCGCAAATAGATAAATGAAAGAAAAAAAGACAGCCCTCCTTACTCCTGAAATAAAACACACGAACTTAACAAGTCAAGCAAGCAGGAAAGAAAGAAAGAGAGAGAAAGGAAGCCTACAACCCTCCCTCCCCCCCCACAAGCAAGCACAAGGGCAATCAGTTCGCGTGTCCGCCAGCGTGTGGGCTACCCGGTTCCCTCGATGACGACTGGCCGATCACCGGGCGAATCAGAGGAAATATGCGCGTTGTGGGTGTAGGTGTAGGGATCCTTAGTTGTGCTGATGGGTTTTGGGAAAGGACTGCATCATCATCGTACATGGCGGCTACAGGTGTGGAGAGGAGGTGCGAGTTGAGATGTATATAAAGAACGAAACAGAGGCAGATGAGACGAACGAGAGACAGAGCGACACGACCGACGAGTCGAGGGAAATCGGGAGAGATTCGTTTATCCCAGCTTACCCGTCCGTATCCGGAGCGAGGCCGTGTAGATCGCTCATTTATTTCGCGCCCATAACCACCACCACCAGAAGCTCTACCTACAACTCGATCTTTCTACCAGTGCTCCGCGCCGAGAGAGAGCTAGTAGGCGCACTAGTAAGTGTAATGTAAATGTCATATCGGTATGGTTGTATGTAGGGGGAATTAAACAACCGTTTCTGCCTGTCGTGTCCCCGTATCCAATCTGCCAGCAATTGTTTCCCCCACCCTCCTCCGCCCACTTGATGAGCTGGAGCTGAGACCCCTCTCAGCTTCCACCATTCGTTGGCCACGGCTCACGACAGCGTTGTCATTGACAGGGGGTTGGTTACCAGGGGTGCGGTGTGGTGTCTTGGTGTCTTGGCTCGATATGAGGTCTGGAGTCTAGACAAAATAACCCATCCCAAATTTAGGCGAATGAGAAGGTCCTCGCTAATATGGAGGTTCAGGCGATGGGGGATAAAGGTCATTCAGTTCATATGGAAACCGGTGCACCAGGGCCGGGAGCTTCGTCTCCAAATCTCCGGCATTTGTTTGTTTTTGGGGGCGCACAGACGGATCGAATTGACTGATTGACCTGATGTGCTCGAGTTGGGGGGTTTCAGCCGAGAGCTCACTCACGTGTGTGCGCTGGAATGCTCGAGTGAGGTTTCGTGATTGTAGTGAATGAGGCTGGGATAGTATAAATAACAAGACTGGTGGTTAGTAGAGTATCAAAAGTGTAGGCAGTATTTTTGAGATACGAGGCTGTGTGGCGCGAAAGCACGGGAATCTCGTTGGATGAGATGAGACATTTTGTCTCGCCTAGTTTTTGGTATTCTGGAAGATGCCATATCGATCGTTTGCCTCATCCCGCACTCTGAAAGCGGATGTACTCGTCATAGAGATATTCTTATGCAAGGCAACACCATAGAATTCCTTGAGCGTACGTATCCCAAGCTAGCGGTATCAGCATAAATTCCGATAGGTTATAAATCGATAGCTGGCTCAGATCATTGCGCTGTGTGAAGATCCTGGGTGATCTGATATTTGACCTTAAAACAGTATCTTCACTAAAAACTGGTGCACTATTGTGTAGCACTGAGCTCTGGTTCATAATGGAATCAAGATTAAAAGCCCCGGTTTGCGAGCTCTGGTCTGATTGGGTTCATCCTTCTTGATTATAAAATCTTGACAACGCCAACGTCTCTGTGCCAGTATGTCATCGCAATTGCGCAATGAGCTTCAGAGGGCTTTCTGAGTAAGGCTGTTTAAGACAAAATCGGTCTGGCCAATAATAAACGATCAATCCAAAAGAAAACAAATGGCCTATGAATTGAATTCCTTCAAGTTCCTGGATGAGGTTAGTCTAGCTCTATTATCCAAACTGTTAGTTCCTGTGTGCTGAGGTAGGGTTGTCGTTCAGCGCTGTCACTCAGTGCTAAACCTTTGCTAAGTACTGCCATGAACAAATATTTATCGGTCTAATTATTTAAAACGGACCCGTTCAAAACAGTGCTTAACCTTGTACGACCCCTAAAAGAAATATAAAAGAGTGGCTATAGTCCACCCGCAAACATATATAAACCAGGAAGATGAACATCGAGTGCTATTGAGTTAGCTCCAGTCCATATGGGAGGATTGACGGTTGAGGCATATTCTCAACGGACGAAAAATTCCAGAGAGGTCTTTCTGTTGTGGATGCTAAGAATTCAGGCCCTGATATCCACCATCCAGTATATAGCCTCAGAGCTCCAACTGATCAGTCGCTATCCATTTAGTATATTTTTGTTGAAATTTGAAACTTAATCACTATGTTTTGAAAGATTAGTATGCTCTGTTGTGTATGTAATACTCGACATGGCCCAATATTATGCAAAGAGGTATAAATATACCCCCTGCCTAAAGGAATATTTCCCGGTAGTGTTTTCTTTTGATTTACTCTATTCCTTCTTCTCTTTCTTTCTTGATTCATCAGGAAGGGGATTATTTCTACGTACACACCGAGATCTCGGAGACGATAGTTGATACCTGGTTGATATATCCAAAGCCTCGAAGGAAGCATAGGGAGCCTGTTCCGCGAGGAATTTGATAGAATATCTAGCAATTGCTACGTTAATGGTGCGGGGTGTGCGCTAACTACCCCGTCCAGGAAGACAGGAAGACTACCTGGGGTTGAAGCTAGATAGCGGCGCTTTTTAGCTGAGCCTATCTATTACTCACACCGTAGATATATGGAGTAATTCTCCAGTAAATCGTAGCTACCCTTGACTCATTAACTAATTAGCGAATATATCCTTGTAGTTGATACTGAAGCCATCTGCCGTGCTTTTGTATCTGTTTCTACGCCAGGGTAGTGTGTGCGAGTGTAACCAGCTGGCTATCGAAAGCTCTGGATCCTTCCAGTCAAGACTGTCTAGGTGAAAAGCCCCAAAATTATATCTGAGGTCTAAGCTATGAAATCAACCGAGTATTGGAAGTCCTAAAGGTGGCCGAGTCTAGTTCACCGCCATTAACTTTAAACCTGCTTAAACAATCGTATTCACTAGTTATATCTTGGAGAAAGCGTAATATACCTACCAGCGGGCCAAAAGCTCCTTCCGGAAATTTCTATACATCAACTATAGGTGCTAATTGGTAGGGAGCCTGATCAAGTCAAACTGAACATCTGAATTAGTCCGTGCGGATAGCCCCTTCATGATTTCTGCCCAGGGGACCATCGGCTCTTCCCTTTGAAGCTGTAGTAAGTTTCATGTCCGAGTTTTTAAAGACCATAGAAGACAAATATCCTTGGCTAACCGGCCATTATGTATAGTTATGGCCCATCCAACAGTTTGGTTGGACGGAAAACTTCAATTCCCACGGCATGGAAGGTGAGCCGTCTTAGATACTCCACTGGCACACTAGGAGTGGTGCGTACCCCACCATCTCGAACGAACATATTTCGCCCGGTAATGTTAGAGTAGCTAAACGTACATGCATTTTTAAGGCCACGGGGAACTGTACCCGCCCCGCTCCTTGGCGCAGTAGCGTTTGCTGCTCCGAGGTTTTATCTGTCGGTTAACCGCTTAATTTCGTTCCTGAAGGAGCTCGAGAACAGGACCGTGCATGCGTTGACCTTCCTTTATATGAGGCCATTGATACCTGGGATAAGAATTTAGACGCTAGTGGCGGTTTTGACGAAGACGATGACTGCGCTGATGCGAACGGAGGAGAGGGCGATGAAGGGGCGATAGGCAGTTCCGGTAATTGTGGTAGTGGAGGTGTTTTTGGGGGAACGGGGTGGCGGGGTAGCGGGGTGGTGGTGGTGGTGGTGGTGGTAGTGGGAAGACAGGTGACGTTATAAACACCAAGTCACCCAACCCTTTCATCATGATAAGACAAGACAACCACACCAGGGCCAAATCTCACCAGCCCTAAGATGTCCTGCCTAATCAGGTATTTTCTATCTTTGATGTTTCGCCCTGTTACCCAGACGATGCAAACGTGCGCCCCGGCCGTGTTGAAGGGGGCTCCCTTTCTATTGACTCCTACTTCATCCACCTACCACTTGGTACCGCGGTTCGAGATTGAAGATACCGGCGTTATAACGTATGTTGGTACCCTTCCACCAAGTTTACCGTCTTTTTTTCAGCCGCTGACCAACACAGAACAATGCCAAACCCGGCACCGGCGCAGACCGAGCTCACGGTACCCCGAGCGGGATGGTAGACCCATACTCGGCCCCAGAGACCCTACTCCATGTTACGTACGGGATAGGCCTAGAGGAGCTGACTTTTACGAGCCTTCTGCCATCTTGGTTGCTGCTCGGCGAAACTGTCAGTGTCTTTCTGGCTCAACTATTCCGGTAACATCTGGAGGCAGTCGCTGGAACTATAGTGTACTGGTGGGATTGATGGCCTGCATGGTGACCATCTCGCCGTCTCGGGGGTTTCCCACACCCGTTGCAATGCATTATGCTCCGCTAGACGCGCACAAGGGTTGTATAGTCAAGAGTTCAAGCCGGCTTAAGTAGCCTTGAAACCCTTCTCGACCAGGATGCGACACTATTTGTTTCAAAGACACCATCTATCACTAAATAGAGCATGGCCCACAGACCGAGCCAGGTCAATATTTTAGCAAGCCAAGCTCCCAAGTCGAGTCAATATGTGGAATGAATGCTAGAGTGCTGCGGAGTATGAAAAATAAACAAAACGTTACTTGAATACTAATCCAAGGATTTCAGGTGATTCGCTGATGGAGAAGCTTCAAAACTAGAAACGTTCGATGGGTCAGCTTAGAAAATACTAGAGCCAGCGTAGCCCTAGAGATTGATAATCTGTACTGCGCTAGAATGTAAATATCGAGGATCCAAAATTTCAGGAAAGCCCAAAACTCTCAGAGCTGACTGGCGTCGGCATCCGAGTACAGTGAACATACTCGGGTCCTTTTTAGGCAGCAGGCGACCTATAAGACAAAGTTTCGGGCCGTTAATACTATCCTGAGTAAGTTAGACGAGGATTCTAACGATGGTGGCATATATGGGTTGAGACGGCCTTGCATTCGTTAGGTCTCGAAACGTGCTGATCCTTTTTCGGGCCGGGGGTGAGGCTTTACTAATAAATTATTTGACTAAAGACATTCGCTACGTCCGACCACTGGCTTCAGTTTACGAAAAATGGGTCAGTATCCACAGCTTAAGCCTTAAGGGACAGAGCTGTCTACTGGGACAGAACGTGCCGGGCTAAAGTAGGAATAAGGACGGCTCTGACCGGCCAATTGTAGTACAGAGTGTTCTCAACCCTAACCAATCAACCGCTAGCCCCAGCCAAAAACCAATCAACCGCTGACCGTAGCCCTAACCCTAACCAACCAGAAAAAAAGTGCAAAAGCTTCTCTTAAACGCCTGAGATTTTCAAACAGAATAACACATCTAACCATACTCTTGTTAAGAGTACAATATACATGGACTAATTACGACTACCTTCGTGTGGGAATAAATATTTACCTGGAAGTGGCCGGCTCTCTCCGTCATAACAATAGGAAATAAGCTTGAGTAAAACCAACTTACGGTGTGTAAAGCTGCTCTAGGCTCAGCTGGACGGAGCGGACTCGTCAAATAATCAGCCTGAGTAAAGATCTGAGAACAACTCCCCTTTCACTGAATAAAGATATAAGGACCGTACTATATATGGAAAACCGTTCGATATGATTGACTAGATTAGAGATGTTCCAGCTCACTACCAAAGCTGGGCCACTGGATGGAGAGTCACTGAGTAAAGGGCATATATATTCTGATCGAACTACCTACTCGTCAACGCCCCATTCCTTAACGCTGATATCTACGGCGCTCTTCACATCAACGGGGACAGATTTTGGACTAATTTGGCGGATTAATTTCTCTATCATTGTTGTAAGATGGTTCTTGTGCACAGTACTCGAAGATCAATTCAGAGATTCTATATCGTCTCGACGTCAGCTTCGTGTAGTAAGGTTTAATCTTGTAATCTGGTTTTTTTTTCCTTCTCTTTCACACGCCCTCCGCTACACGTAGAGTATATCATCTATTCCCCGTCGGCTTCATCCATTAATTCGATCTTTGAGTTAAAAACGTGAAATTATATAATTATTAGCCTCCAGCATACCCCCCCCCCCCCCCGGCTTTGACGTTACCCACCTCGCGCTACAGACCCGGTAAATATCAGTGGTGGGACAAGACAGTCTAGTTGTGGCACCATCCCGTTGCTCAATGGGCCGCCCCAGTTAAAAAAAAATAATTGACGATTAGGGCGCGTTAACCAGTAGGCTAGAACAGTGTAACCTGATGCCCACTACTTGGCTGGAAATGATATTTACGACGCCAAGACTAACTTGGTGGAACCTAACCCTGTTGGGCGCACTAGGATTCGGTTCCTTAAACCCTGGCCATGGGGCCGAATTGGGATCGGCTCTCCATAGGTACTGAAGTCTCCAACTCTCTGAGTTATAATGTAGGAAACGAGTGTAATAAAGGGTTTGAGTGCTGCTGGTTACATGGAGGTACAATTCGGCATGACAGTTTGAGGGTTGTGGCGGTACCGGTCAGTCCAAATCGAAATCGTGACTGAACCAGATATAGTGTGTAGCCGTACTCTGCTAAACGTAGTTGCTGTTTACCCCGCCCTCGAGTTCCTTATAACGCGGCAGAGAGCTCCGCTTTTTCCGCTAGAGGCAAGTAGAGAATGAACGGCAACTGCGTTCAACTGAGCACACATCACCATATCTGATTCGGCCACGATTTCCATTTGGACTGACCAGTACCGGGTAAGGGGTAAAAGGAACAATATATCTCATAATCCGGTGCTTAGATGCTGTCTATTTGACAGAATATTATAATCACTAAAAGAGGAAGGGTGGCAGCCGAATATGTGTGTGATCCAGACACAAGCCACAGCTGAAAATACGCCGCCCGAATCAATAGGCAGCTTTAACGGACTATGGGATATCTCCACTGATCTTGAGTACAACTGGAAACGCTATACGCGTACTCTATCATGACTGACGAGGTGGCGGTTGAGAGGGTTTTGGTGCATATAAAAGAGGACCAATCGTGAGTTGTCATAAAACAGCGAAATGAAATGTGGCCTTCAAAACGAAATGTGGCCAAAACCTCGCCATGCTGTTACCCTGAGTCGAAGATGTATTCCACTCGTTTCTTCTCTCTGTCCTTCTCTTCTTTCTCTCCTTGCGAGTGACGGCGGTGAGGAGGATATCGTGTGTTTTCGTTTCTTTTGTATTTTCCTTTTTTTTTTATTGGTTGTTTCTTCAGTTGGGTCGTTTGGTTATTTTTCTATTTTTTTTCTTTTCTTTACTTATCTAGCTTTCTTTTCTGTCATTTCTCTTTTGGTGTCTCCGTGTACTGTTTGGTCTCAGCTCACTTCTTACATTTCTTTTGTTTCTCTTGCGCCTTGTTTTATTTCATTTAATTCTTTTATTTGTTTTATTTCTGTACTACCAAGTCGTCTATATTTCCTCACCCATCAAGATCCCTCCGTCCCCCACCTGTTTTGCTTTCTTCTATTTCCATCTCTCCACTATATCATGTTGTGTGGATCGCTCATGTCACTGAGGTTAATAAAGTTAGTCATGTAGTACTCGTGAGGTCTTTCGAGTGCAACATCCCTAAGGCTAGAAACGGGTGTGTCTCATGGCATGCTACGTGTAGCTAGTGATGACTTTGGCAATTCCTTTAAGTTGGCACGCGTACGTTCGTTCTCACTTCATATGAGGCTTGTGCAGTCTTAAATACCGGTGTTTTGGGCTAGACCAACGAGCGAGTCCCTGTCAAGACCACAAAATAGCAGGTTTGCAAAATCATTGACACCTTGTGTTCCGAGTTGCACAAAGCCAGGGTTAGGTGTGCCTCTGGGGTTAGGGTTCCTGTCGATCAATAGATTTCCAAACAAGCCATTTCCAAGCCCTTCTCGATCCTCGGCGGTCAGTATCGCAGAGATCGGGGATTGTGTTCCGCTGCCACCAATGGCCAACTATATGTAATCATTACCGCACCTAGCCAGCCTGTATGCACAGCCAGCTGTGGGTGCTGTGGGGGTTGTAGATGGAGAGATCCCTCGTCTTCAGATACTCGGTTGGAGAGATACCTACTTTACTTACCTTCCTTCCCTTCCTTCCTTGCCTGGAGAGCTGCCGTTGCACAGCGCTTGTGTTCGCCCCAAAGCAGCTAGGCCAGCCAGCCCCTTGCTGTTTCGCGTGCCCTTGAACTTGAACTTGAACTTGAACGGGAGCAGAGCAGCTTTAAACTCAGAAGAGAGAGAGAGAGAGAGAGAGAGAGACACAACAACCCCAGATGGCACACACCTGAACAATCATTCACCCACACCCACACCCCCCCCCCCCCGAATACACACATTATATAGATACACAAACATCCCCCCCAAACCCACTCCCCCACACACTCCCCAATGGCGCACACCTACTCCGCCGCGCCCACCCGCGACTCCCTCGAGCTCGCCTCCCTCGCCTCCTCCTCCCCCGCTGACACCTCCCCGCGCTCCTCAACCTCCTCGCGCTCCGGCGCCGCCTCCTCCCGCCGCCTCTCCACCTCCTCCTCCACAAACCCAAACTCCCCCACCGCTGAGCACCGCCCCCGCAACTTCCGCACATACAGCGTCTCCTCCGCATTCGACTTCAACGCGCACCTCGTCCCCCTCACCACATCGTCCGACGCCCGAGGCCTCGCATCGTCGTCCGCCGCCGCCGTGCCGGGGTCCCTCGAGAAGCAGAAGACGCTGTCGTATCTTAATGGCTTATCGCTGCTGATTGGGCTGCAGATTGGATCGGGTATCTTCTCGTCGCCCAGCCAGGTAAACAACCATGTGCCCTCCCCGGGCGTCGCGCTCATCGTGTGGGCCGTGGCAGGAGTGCTGGCGTGGACGGGCGCCGCGAGCTATGCCGAGCTCGGCGGCGCGATCCCGCTGAATGGTGGAAGCGGCGTGTATCTGCGGCATTGCTTTGGCGAGCTCGCGGGGTTCCTGTACAGCTGGACGGCGGTGATTGTGCTGAAGCCGGGCAGCGCGGCGATTATTGCAATCATCTCGGGGGAGTATTTCAACAGTGTTGTGTTTGGACTGCTACCTGGCGGAGGAGGAGGAGGAGGAGGCGGTGGGGAAGGGGAGGGAGAGGGAAGGGGGCAGCCGAGTGAGGTGGCGAATAAGGTCACGGCGGGGCTGCTGCTGCTGCTGGTGACGGCGCTGAATATGTTTTCGACGAGACTGACGACGCGGATTTCGGACTCGCTGCTGTTTCTGAAGGTGGGGAGTTTGCTGGCGATTACGGTGATTGGGATTGTGGTGGCGGCGACGGGGTTGAATGGCGATGGGAAGGGCGCGAGTCGGGAGTGGAGGGAGATGGGCTGGTTTGAGAGCCGGGAGAGCGCCGGGGGTGCGGTGGAGGGCGCAGGGGACACGGCGGTGGGCGGGCTGGGCGAGTATGCGATTGCGCTGTATGCCGGGCTGTGGGCGTTTGATGGGTGGGATAATGTGAGTTTTCTGTTCTGGGTGGGGAAATGATATGATGTGAGGATATTAACAGGGAGCGCCAATGATCACAGGTCAACTTTGTCACCGGCGAGATGAAGAACGCAAAGCGCGACCTCCCCCGCGTCATCCACAGCGCAATGCCCATCGTCATCGCCTCGTACCTGCTCGCAAACGTCGCCTACTACCTCGTTCTCCCCGCCTCCACAATCAGCCAGTCCAACACCATCGCCGTCGTTTGTCCCCCCCCCCCTCCCTCCCCTCTCCCTCTTCGCCTTTTAACAGCATCTAACTAACACACCCCGGGCAGGCATTCGGAACCAAAGTCTTCGGCCGCATCGGCGGCCTCGTCTTCGCCCTCACCGTCTCCCTCTCCTGCTTCGGCGCCCTCAACGCCACAACCTTCACCTCCGGCCGCCTCATCTACGCCGCCGGCAAAGAGGGCTACCTCCCCCCCATCTTCGGTACCCTCGGCCTGCGCCCACCACCCACCGACATCCCGCGCCCCACACGGCTCCCCCCCTCCTCCACTTCCACACCATCCCTCTGGTCCCGCACGCTCTCGCGTATCCGCCCCCGCTCCGCCTCCTCCGCCTCAGCACACCACCACCCGCAGCAGGCCCCGCCGTGGAGCAAAACACCCATCTACGCAATGCTGCTCAACGCCACAATCACATGCCTGTACATTGCCGTGGGCGAGTTTGGCACGCTGCTGACGTTCTATGGCGTCGCCGGGTACACGTTTTATTTCTTGACGGTGCTGGGGCTGGTGGTGCTGCGGGTGAAGGAGCCGGCGCTGGAGAGGAGTTATAGGACGTGGGTGAGTACGCCGATTGTGTTTTGCTGCGTGAGTCTGTTTTTGGTGAGTCGGAGTGTGTTTGGGCGGCCGGTGCAGACGCTGGTGGTGTGTGCGTTTGTGGCGGCGGGGGTGCCGGTGTATTGGTGGAGGGTGGGCGGGGGGGTGGAGGGGGGCATGGGGTGGTGGAAGGGGAAGGGTTGGGGGAGGGGGTGGTGGGGGAGGGGACGGGGATAGTGGGTGGTGGGGTTTTTGTTCGCTGTTGTGGGTTTGTTTTCGTTTGTTTTCTTTGTTTTTTTTACTGTGTGTTTATCATTTCCCTCCCCCCCCCAACCCATATCGTACCCCTATCACTTCATTTATATACCCCCAGCCAGGACACCAAGCCGGCCGGTGGCACCTTCGATTCAGCTTTTATGCGACACGCATACACATACCAGAGAAACGTGGAGAAACGTGGAGAAACGTGGTGGTTAGTTAGTTATTCCAGCCCTTCTCGTCTTATATTATCCCTTCTTGTTTTAAGCCTGTCTTTTCCAACTAGTCTAGTCTTGTCTTTTCCAGTCTTGTCACGTCATGATAGAAACGCACGCAACGGAGAAAATTTGTATGTTGGTGGTTTTTAGTAGTAGTTAGTTAGTTAGTTGGTGGTTGGTGGTGGTTGGTGGTGGGTAGTTGTAGAGTAGAGTAGAGTGGATAATGAATGATAGAATTGACGGCATGTTTCATGGCTTTTAGTCTCGTGAGCCCCTGGGGGGGGGGGGGGGGGGGGCGTTTCCAGACTGGAAAATGATTTGTTTGACACATATCACCTGTCTTGGTCGGTATATACTAAGGACTCATTTACACGGAGGTACATCTATACCCGGATTTATGTTTTTAAAGCTATTTAACAGCACTTACCTCAATACATACAACCACCCGTTCACCAAAGCCACGAGAGGAAACTAACAGCAAACAGACAACCCAGACACCACAGTCCTCAAGACTACCAAAACCACACTCTCGAGTTCAATCTTTCGCACTTCCGGTGGGGAGTTGTAATTAGATGAGGGCAGGTTTGTGGCGGAGCTAGTGTGGTGGCGCGTCATGGGATGTCACTCGATCATTTTCCGCGACGGTGTGAAGGGTTTTCTTGTAGATGTGCTCGGAAGACCCCTCTCTTCTTTTCTGGGGGGGTGGGAGGTTGCGTATTGTGCTCTTGTTGTGTGCTTTGATAGCTGTGGGCGGAATGGAGCGGGGGAGGTCGCACGTTGGGATGTAAATATATTTGGAAATCTTGAAATCTGTGGATGCCAAGGGTTGGGACTGTCTTGACTGTTGGTGTGGCCTGGGTGGTTTTTAACCCGGGGGGGGGGGGGGGGTGCTGCTTGAGTGGAGGAGCTTGATGGGTGGAGGTGGCTATGGCGCAGAACTGTACATGTGCCTTACCGTCTACAGCGATTGCTACAGTCGGCCATCCTTTCAACACCACATCCTACAAACACCACTTCAACTACAACACAAACACAAACACAACCACAACCACAACCACCATCCATCTCCCACACCACACTACATAACATAAAGGAACGTATCCCCCCTCCCCCCCCTCCCCTCCCCTCCTCATCTCCCTCCGCAACCACAAGCACGCCGTCCGCCGGACCCACGCTTGCCGCCACAGCGGGACCGAACGGACGGGCCGGCTCGGCCCTCCGACCTCATCCTCGTACACGTGGTGCCCATCTGCTCCAGCGGCCCGCTGGGTCCTCGTCTGGCTAGCAATGGGATCTGGTTCATTCTCCACCACCCTGTCCTCTGGTGGGAGCGGTGTGGTGGGGAAGGTGGAGAGGTGTTGAGTGAGTGAGTGAGTGCTAATGATATGGGGGTGGGATAGGATTGTGGTATTGCGGTAGGTCCTGGTTTAGTTACGGTAGGTGCTGGTTTGAGCATGGGTGCAGAGGCGGTGGAGTGTCGGGGGTGCTAGACGGCGACATTGATAGCCGGATGGGCTGGATGGGTGGTGGGTTTGCCCTCATCGGATGTGAATGGGAGGCTGGTGGGTAGAGGCCTGTAAAGTATTTCCTGCTCCCCTTCTCCCCCTCGCTTTGCTATAACTAAGACAAGCTGACGAGGTGGTCTAGATAGTCCGCACGCAAGCTAAAAGGTGTAGCCATACCATGGGGAACAACAAAGCTCTATCTAGCTGTCTAAATAGCTGGGTAGCATCATAACACGATCAGTCAGCTATGGCTGATGGGTGTAGCTACGTTCCTCCAGTTGTGCCTGAGCTGCTAGCTACTGCCGGTTGGGGGGCTTCTGTAGGTCGATCTTTCCGTACGCTACAAAATCCCTTTGACAACTGCTGGGAGCTATGTGGGTTGTTGCTTAAGGCTATCTTGTCTCTGTGTGTATGGACATGGATATGGAAATGGTCGGAGCACGTCTGTGTGGTTACGTTACTGAGGGGTGTATACAGCTGTTGGTTGACTACCCACCTTTTTCTTTCGGGGGGTTGACTGTGCTGGTGGATGAGGCTTGCTTGAGGAGATATGGTAAGCTGGGTAGGTCGGAAAGTGGGGGGAAATACCGTGTGGTTGGGATGGATTCTCGTTGCTTAGCTGGATAGGCTGGGAGGAATGGGTGAGGCGTGGTGATTCTGCCGTAACTTCTCTCATTACAGAGTCGCAGTATGTACGTCTGGATGTGTACCTTTGCTTACAATGAAGATCTTATTGTTAAAGGTTGAGATTGCGATGTCTGGCCCCTTCAATGTACCACATACACAGTTCTCTCCCGCCGGTAGCAACATACCACGCATAACATCTTGAAATATAGAAACAACCCTTAACAACAAACTCATCCACCACAGAAACAAAATCATGTCCAAAGAAACCTTTCCAAACAGAGCCAGCCTACAGAAATACAACCCAATCCTCCACCGCCTTCGAATGAGTCATGAACTATCACTCGCCCCACCGAAGTCCGAAGTCCCAATCCCGCCGCCCCGAACGTATCCATGTCGAAAGAGTGAGTTGCAGGTGGTCTCATATGCTGGGAGAATACCTTTCTAGTGCAGTTAGTTACGGATTGACGTGATATTTCCCGGGGCGAGTGTAATGTGCAGAGGGCTATCCATCTCCGCGCACTCACGTTATTTTTCACTCCTAGGGCTTCTCCAAGGCACCTTTCTCTTTAAGGAGTTTTACGATGTGGAGTTGGTTCCCACTCCTGGCTGCCTGCAAAGCGTTTCCGTACCTCCTTCCCTGGGCGTTGACGTCGGCACCACGTTCAATAAGAAGCTGCACGATCTTCTCGCGGCCCCTATAAGCTGCTGCCTGCAAAGCGTTTCCGTACTCCCCTCCCTGGGCGTTGACGTCGGCACCACGTTCAATAAGAAGCTGCACGATCTTCTCGTTGTCCATATAAACTGCTGCCTGCAAAGCGTTTCCGTACTCCCCTCCCTCGGCGTTGACGTCGGCACCACGTTCAATAAGAAGCTGCACGATCTTCTCGTGGCCCATACAAGCTGCTGCCTGCAAAGCGTTTCCGTGCTCCCCTCCCTGGGCGTTGACGTCGGCACCACGTTCAATAAGAAGCTGCACGATCTTCTCGCGGCCCCTATAAACTGCTGCCTGCAAAGCGTTTCCGAACTCCCCTCCTTGGGCGTTGACGTCGGCACCACGTTCAATAAGAAGCTGCACGATCTTCTCGCGGCCCATACAAGCTGCTGCCTGCAAAGTGTTTCCGTACACCCCTCCCTGGGCGTTGACGTCGGCACCACGTTCAATAAGAAGCTGCACGATCTTCTCGCGGCCCATATAAGCTGCTGCCTGCAAAGCGTTTCCGTACACCCCTCCCTGGGCGTTGACGTCGGCACCACGTTCAATAAGAAGCTGCACAGTCTTTTCGTTGGGCTCAGTAGCTGCTGCCTGCAAAGCGTTTCCGTACTCCCCTCCCTGGGCGTTGACGTCGGCACCACGTTCAATAAGAAGCTGCACGATCTTCTCGTGGTCCATACAAGCTGCTGCCTGCAAAGTGTTTCCGTAGTACCCTCCCTGGGCGTTGACGTCGGCTCCTATCTCAACGAGCATCTCCACCAGTTTTTCGTATCCATTTTCGGCTGCTGATATCAACACCTGATCGTAATCATTTGGTTCTGTCAACTTCGAGCTTAAATTAACATTTCCCATCTCTTGTATTATATGCGCCTTAAGCTCTTGCGCCCTACTCGAAGTCTCGAGGTACAGCGGCTTCGTATTATCAATAGCGTTTTCGACTTGCTGTACAGGGCGGGATCTCGACTGCCTGGAATATATTGCCCAGAATTTATGTGATGCTCCATCATTCTGTTCCTTCTCCTCGCCTACGGCGGAAACAACCCACTTGAAGTTCTTCACATCCTTCTCACTCTTGTTTAGTTTGTCCTCTTGTTTTCTCAGATGTCTGAGTTGGTATTTCCCAAGCTTAGATATACAAGTGTCAATATCCCTCCCGGGTTCATCATGCTTCTTGATATGTTTTTCTGTTTCCTCTGGGGAAATGCTCATAGTTATAGGATCGCAAGTCTCCCATTCGTTTTTCCATGGGAGAGCACTGGATCTTTTCTGAAAGCAAACATAACGAGTGATCGGTGATGGAGCATCTTGGACAATCGCCGGGTTTTTGTTTTTGTTTAATTCATTAATTGCATGGACAATCGCCGGGTCAGATTCCAATGTCTCAGCTATTTCTTCGGTAATCTCGTCCCCGGCATCAAGAATATTGTCGGCGCTTCCCTGAGATGGGTCTGAGTCAAAATCTAGTTCGACCTCGTTCAAATCATCCTCCATTCCCTCTTCATCTGACCTTGAAGCTTGAGCCCCTAAAGATTCTCCATGGCCATCTGTTTCCTCGACCGTTTTTGGGAGCGTGAATAATGCCAATTGCTGCATATGACGTGCTAGGTGACTCTTCAAACGATGAGAAGTATGATTTTCCCCGCACAAAGGGCAAATTTGTTCCAGATCGATAGCTCTTTCGCATCTCTCGGCCATGGCAGGCATTTGTGCCTCGGTAAACAATTTGGGATGGCTTTGTCTCAGGTGGTTTTCGAAAATTGTTTTATTGCTCAAAGACTGGCGGCAAGTATTGCAGAACCATTCTCTTCTATGTACTTCAACCTCATGATTATACCAATCGTGCCGAGTATCAAATAGTCGATCGGGTTTAAGGCAATCCTCGAACGTACAAACATAAGGTCGCAGATCCCGATATACATGTTTTCTCAACGTCAGATTTTAGTATATGAGGCATCATGTTCAAGACATTATGATCTTACATCCAAAGGTTCCTACTGCTCACACTGATGATGGAGTAACAATACGGACACTCGAAAGGTTTGCCGTCAAGGGTTTCTGCGGCATTGGGGGGAAGAGGTACATGAATAGTACTCCTTGCCCCTCCTGTGGAGGTTGCATATGAGGTCTGTGATAGGGCATCATCAAGGGTAATTACTTCGACCGTCTGATCTGATGGGCCCTGTACATATGTTGAAATAGTTGTTTGCGTGTTTTCTGTTTCGGCAATAGTGCCGGGGCCTTTCTCAATCTGAGAACGACGTTCTGATAAGTCTTCTTCGTCATCTTTTGTGATTTTTAATTCATTATCTCCACTATTCTCATCCTTCTGGTCGTAGTGAATGGTTGGAAATCTCTTCGGCAGTGAAAAGTCGATATATTGAGCTAATTTACCATGATGCCTTTCATGGTACTTTAAGAGTTGTCGACGCTTAGTATTCGCTTTTCCAAGGCGAGCTTGTAGAAAATCTTGTGCCCCGGGAAATTTTTCACGGGCGTGTTGAATATCAAAAAACTCAAAATGTGATATTTTGATAGATGCGCATTTTTGGAGTCTGTCGCGCGGGGCTGGATTACGTATGGTTATGGATAACTTGTATAAACAAGTGATAACATGACAGACTTCGCCGAAGCGTTCTTGGAGCTCAGTAAGTTCGGTGGTCGGATTTGGTTGCTCTTCGGGATCCTCTGTGGGGGCATCCTCCAGTGAATATATAGAAGAGCCCGGAGAAAATGATTGCTCATCGAAGGGTTTTCTCTCATGAGAAACAATTGAGATAGCTAGATGTTTGTTAGTCATATAATTTATCTAGGATCTCGTCGAATATAGGATCTGAATCATATTTTACCTTCTTTCAGAGCGTCGTCAAGGTCTCCCAGCAGGTCTCTTACGGTTTGGTGGACATGATATGCCTCCCTTAGTTTATGATCCAGAGAGACCTGTCCATTCCGGTGAGCCCCAGAATTTCCAGCCCAAACCCTAAAGCGTCCAAGTTCTTCTTCGAGGGCTGTTTTAGATAGCTGACTTGAAAAGTCGCAGTTGGGCTCTTGTAAGAGATTAAAGAGCTGGTTGAATGAGCCTACGCACACATCATATAAGGAAGCAATAGATAGAGTGCCAGTGCTGGATATCATACTGAAACGCTGGGTTTTATCGTGGTAGTAAAGGTTTGGAAAACCCAAAATACGCATAGATATGCGCACATTCCAAAATAGTAATTATTAGTCAGGTTTAGGGTTTCTAAGCTACCCCACTTCGGAATAACCCGGACAACAAGCGTTATCCTACAAATCTATCCAAAAGTTACGCTTTCGAATCTCAACCATGGTTACAGGCATCGAGACTGCTAGTCTTGCGCTAGCAATATTCCCGCTCGTCATAGAAGGCCTCAAATCTTATTCAAACGGTGCCAGAACGATCAAGGATATGTGGCGCTCTCAAGTGACCTTGAAGTCTCTGATAAGAGAGCTCAGAATGGAGAAATGCAAATTTGAGAACACCCTCACATCTCTTCTCGAAGGCGTCGCCTCAGATCAGCCAAATCTCCTGTTTTTAATGAATGATCCGGAGTGTAAATTCTGGTGCACGAAAGACTTCCAAGAAACCCTGAAATCTCGACTTCGTCCTGATATGGTCGAAGTGTATATAGAGGCCATGGAAGAGCTTTATTCTGCGCTTGAAAGCTTGACTAATAAGTTTGCGCTTGGAAGTGAAGTATATATGTCCTTTGCACTATTTGCCTTGAGCATAGGATGTTTATATGCTGATATCAAGCCTTAGTGTGAACCTGATGACAAAACTGCTTTGAAAAGAAAGTGGAAGATGATTCGACTTGTTCTTTCGAAAGCAGAGTACAAAGAACAACTGAATCAAATTTCCAAAATTAATACTGACCTCCAGACCCTTACTGGACAAACGAACGTTTCTGATACTACATTTTCCAACACTACCATAGCCCAGGCGACTACATCTGTAAAGAACTACAAGCGTATACGGGACCATGCGATGAGCCTTCATAGGGTCCTCAAAGAAAACCTCCAGCCTGTAGCACCATTTTGCCAATGCTCAACTCTCCACAATGCGAACTTGCAATTAGAAATGAGAAACGCAACGCTCAGACAGAAAGGATTTGGACATAGTACATCCATACGATTCCATGTCGTAATATCTTTTGAAAGAGCTGCCGGTACAGGAATACCTCTACTTCGTTCTTGGCGGGATTTAGAGCTCGAGCCTGTGGATAATGATAGGGAGGACAGAGAATCCTTGGCGAGCGAACAGGCGGGAAAGATCGATAGCTCTAGCTCTGGTGGGACTAGGGGTGCAGGTTTTCACTCACATGTGATACCCCCTTCCCCATCGGTGGCCGCAGAGGGGAATAAGAAACACGGGAAATCACGTTTTATATGGAATACTAAGAGCGGGGCAGGGGTAAATTCCCCCCCCCAAGAAGATGAAATGTTGAGTAAAACATCCAGGTGAGATCAAACCCAAAGTCTGGTCAGGATGCCTTTGTTAAAATATCTCAGCCTTCCTGAGCCACATAACACTATACAACGTACACGTGCCTCTACAAAGGCTTCGCTCAAATCATCTTTCCTAAAACATTTCAGCCTTCCTGAGCCACGCAACCCTATACAACATACACATGCCACTACAAAGGCTCCACCTAAATCATCTTTGCAGATACCAAGAAGTGAGAGTAGGCCTACAACGCCCAGAAAAGTCTCTTTCGCCGTCTCATCCACCCCCCCAATCTCTGTGGTGTCCAGAACACCTTCCAACCAAATCAAACACTTATGCTCAATCATACAGCAAGCAGAGAGTGATCAGTCTTGTCTTGGTGTCCTTGCAGATAAGAGCGGGCAGTATCTTGTCTGGCCGCTTATGTCATCCTCGCCGCCTGAATCGACTGACCTCATATCTCTTCACAACCTTCTTGATGAGGGCAAAATGCCGGCAAAAAGGGATACGTTAATTCTGGGAGTACAACTTGCTTCAACGGTTTTGCAGTTGCACAAAACCGGATGGTTGGCCGAGGACTGGAGTAGTAGGGACATATTCTTTCACCAGATTAACACTGAAGGCCTAGGAGGAGTACCAGATTTCAAAAAGCCTTTCGTCCGGCAATCGCCGGACTTAGACCCGAGTTTACAGCAAACACAAAGTAAAGAAGAGACTACAAAATCCGCCCTTATACCTCACGACCGGAGCCTCTTTTCCTTAGGCATTGTTCTCATAGAAATTTGGCACGGTTTTCTCTTAGAGAAGCTTCAAATTCGAACGGACGGGGATGAGTCCGGTTTCAATACAAATTACATGACTGCAATGCGATTAATTGGGGAAATATCGTCGAATGCTGGTGCAAAATATGGTGACGCCGTGAGACGGTGTATTCAAGGCCTTGATCACAGATCTGGAAGCTTAGACGTGGATGATTTCAAAACCGAAGTCCACATGAAAGTGGTCGCCCCGTTGATAGATAACTTGAAACATTTTTGCGACGAGGATATCAGTCAAATATTTCCAGAAAAGAGGAACATGTCGGCCTCTATCTAGTCATCCAGCGGTTTGTTAGATCCCAATTTACAGAGAGTTATGATTTCGATGAAGGATCTGACTGGTACGGTAATCTATAGAGTTTGTTCGAGTTCAATGTTTTGTGGAGATGGGGTTTGCAAACCTTTGTGTATTGTTATATGTTGGGATTGTCAATTTCACTGAATCTATTGCACTACTCTATTTTTCAAAAGGTACCATACGGGGAGTGATGGATATCATTAAATTAGTGAGAATACTTGGTTCTCATATCTCCGTCCCCAAACCGCACACATTTGGGGGGGGGGGGGGCACTACGTCTCTGGCAACGAAATTTGGACTATATATACTATTAATTAGAGGAACTGACAACGTTAGGCGTTTAATTCCTTCTATGTAATTCCACGCCACCTTATGACCTACAGGTATATTTATTTATCTCATTACATACCATATGCACAAAATAAACACATCCATGCATGGGGCATGAAGTCAATTGTATGTACTACCCGTATAGTAGTAATACTACGTGACTTCGGGGTTACGAACGCTACCGCCAATTCAATTCTGCGACTTACTAGAGTACAGGACGACTTCATATATGTATATTATATCCCCTACTATACTTGATCATGATATAACCCCCATCCAACCGGCCACACAGACACGTACACATATATAGAGCTCTATTCCCTATACGATTCGCCATGAAATACATTCTTACCACATTTATCCTCCCTTTCTGCATATTCCCCCACCTCACCACCGCCGTTAAACCTACACTCTGTGGAGGTATTGAATATGATATAGCAAAAGTACGTCTCCAAGCTACCATATATACTTATAGCTCTCCCTACGGTCTACTCTTCCTTCCTCACCTATTCCTATCAAACTAACCAAGGAAAACCCCCTCTACTAGTACGTCTGCATCAACGACCGGAAGCTATGTCCCACGGATGCTCCCGACCCCTGCGGACATGCATGTTTCAACGTCATGGGAGGGAAAGGACGCTACTTCTGCGATCCCCAGGGCTCGATTCTACGGGAGATGATAGCTGTGCCTATATCCACATCAACTGTAACCAGCGAAACACCTCCGGTTACTGTCACTACTATCATCTTTGTTAATAGGAGTGCCACTACAACGCCCAACCCTGGGGCAGTGTAAGTGGGGGCGTGATTTTCTTGGGAAGGGGGGGGGGGGGGGGTGGGGTTACGTTACATCTCATAATTATGAATTTCGAATTCGCTGGGTACTAGAGCTGTGCGGTATTTCTCGTGTTGGGGTGCACATGGCCGGTCGTCCTGTAGGCAAGCTTGTATTTTATCTTTGGGTTTAGTGCATTCGTGTAATTATGATCTTGATAATCGAGATTGGATATTGATATTGAGATTAGATATGAAGCTTAAACTAAACCTCGATAAGTTGGCCTGTAGATTATGGCTCGCACCAATAGTATATATATATGTCTTGGCCCTTGGGCTTTTATCAACCCAGACATCTCGCGCTCCAAATTCTATCTAACCGCAGTTCTCCATGCTTTGCCCGTTTAACCATTACCATCCCTATTTAGTCTGTCAATATATTCAAAGCATGTGGATGTACTTAACTCATTCATTCAATAGTTCATAAGTATTTGGATCACCAACCATCACTCGGCCAAAACATCCGCCATGAATTTGATACGTATATAGCTGGCCGTCAATGTAAATGTGCATCAAACACAGTCCTGCAAGACTTATCCCTCTCTATCGCTCTCTCAACTCGTTTTCCGCATTAAATCTAGGACTTGGCGTTTTTAATATCAAGTACATGTAGCTAGCCCGTCCATACATGCCAGTAACAGGCTCTCTAAACCGATCCGGACCTTCAAAAAAACATATATTTTACTCTAGATCTCTATAGAACAACAATCATGTGGTATTCGACCCTATCACTACTTCCACAGACAGAAAACGCACCGATTAGCTTTAAGTCTTTATAAACCAACACTCTTCCAAAGCCATCTCTAAAATTCCCCTATGCAAGACGTATATATACTACCCCCCAAATCAAATACATCACCAAATTCACTTTCCTCTTCAGAAAACCTGCCTAGCCGCCATCGCTGCCGTCGTCTTACCACGGGTAATAGGAAGCCGGCACGCAACCAATAACCACAAGTCCCGGGCAGTGCGGTGACTCTTTTATAAGTTCATGTGTTTAGTAATGCTAAAATGCCTATGGAGAGAGTGGGCTTATGTCCTCGGCAGCTCTACCACAGTTCTATGTTTTGAGTAGCCTACTGGTTCCGAATCGAAGCCCCCAGGAACATAGTATGAATTGACGGCCCGACGTTCCAATGCATATAAGGTAGCTGTCTGATGAAGATACAACTCTCGATTGCGTGTCAGGGCTAAGGCCCTACAGAGCAGTCAGATTCTCTTTTGCTTCATGAGTATTCGGCCAACTAGATGGCTAGCTATAGTAATATGGGGATGCGCCAGCGATTCGAACCGCAGTGCCTCCCACTCGGGCTCAAGCGATTACAGACCGAACTTTTGCCTCCAATGGCTTGTACACTAATTGAACTCTTTTGTTTTCGACTTATATATATATATAAGCATCCAAACCGCTCTGTATACATGTAATCACACGATATAACGGCTCCCGGGCAGCCTTTGGATCCGGTGAAACTGGACCTTAGGTATGGGCGGAGACCAAGGCAAGTTTCCTCTTCGAGCGCGCGTCATGAATCCGGACCTGTTATTAATCCAGTGCTGTCGCCATGGCAGGCCTTTTTCGGGGATGGGCCAATGTAATGGCGGACATACATAGCCGCTAGCTATAGAGGGCCAAAGCGGACCCTCATTCCGGTATTCGAGCTCGAGACTAGTCACCGGCACGCGAGTATAGTCGGGGCCGCTTCAGTCTAGCTAGCCAGCTACTGATATATATACCGCACAATGCCCCACCGCCGGGCCCGCGCCCCGGCTTTACAAATACAGTACCGGTGGTCTCTACCCCACCACGCACATCTTCCCCGCATCCCCACGGCTACACATATCGCATCCGATTCCCCAGCTAGACGAGCGCATTATTCGCAAAGTAAGTACCGGTACGTAAAATGTTTTATTTTGCTTTGAACCCCTTCGAATCCCTTACCGGAACCGTTTTGGCATGCGCATGCGCGGCCGCGGGGCCGCACCGGTGTAGACAACCACCCGCACGAGGTGAAGTTCACCGCCGCTTCGATCCGGGGCGGGTGACTGGAGGGAGCCCGGCGCAACCGTCCAGAAACTCCACGGTAGTCCTGTGTGGCAAGAGTGGGGCGCATTCCTTGGAACACCGCAGACAGCCCAGCCAGTTATGGGAACTGCGCGGCCTTCCACCCCGAGAACCAGCTAGCCAACTTTGAAGAAGCTTCCTCCCAGCTCCTGCTCCAGTTGCGCGGTGTCCTGCATACGCGTTTTAGCACCCGTTTCCACAAACTAGCCACGCCACACATCTTTGCACCAGCGAGATCGTGTTTCTCGATCCACGAGGTGCGCCCGACGAGTGATGCGCCATGACTACGGGCCGGTTTCAGGTGACTAATCCGAATCGCGAGCTCGGGCCACACTCAGGCCACTGCTCGTGGCATGTTTATATGTAAGGTACACACTTTATGTAATGTAGTAGTACAACTCTAGTCCCGGTAGTAATCTCTACGCAGGCAGGCAGGCTCATGTTCGAGCTCAGTAAAACAGCTGATCGGGGAGCCAAGAGCTAGCTGACATCGTGAATGGAGATTCAAGACATAGGCGGGTGCCGTGCTCTAGCTACGCACAGGTCTAGCCCGCTACTTTACCCCCCACTTCTTGGCTAGCTGGCCCATACTGCGCCCCCCATATCAGCTAATATCAGCGCATTTGTTTTTCCGCCGCCATTCGAATCACACGATATCACTCGAGCCTCGGTATCCATTAACCCGACTGTGCACTGCTAACATGAATACTGGGTTATAGAAAATATCAATCTCCCGGGGCGCACAATCAAGCAAGCGCCCGTTTTATTTCCATGTCTATTCTCTATTCTTGAAACTGTTCCCAGTTGTTGCTGGGGGTTGCATTGCGCGGCGTAAGTAGGTACATATACATAGTTACTTCTTTATATGCACGGAACGTCCCGACATATACTCGCGGCTGAAAGAACAAAAGCAAGGGACGAACGTGACCGAGAATAGTAAACTACTTACTGGTGCGGAATAACTCCTCCTCGAACGCACGCGCCATGCTCGAGCCCAACATACATACGCCCTGCAAAACGTACGTACGGCCCAAGACCTCTCGAGTGACAAGCTATGACGAATCCGCATTATCCGCCACCCCCCAGATCTAGAGTCAAGATGGACCCTTCCGCTGATTCAGGAATAATGGGTATTATCGCCGCACACACTCTCTCCTCCTCCCTCCAACCCCCCCGGTCCCGTTGTGTAACCCTAACCCTATCCGTAAGTTGAGTTACAAGAGGCAAACAACTAGCTTGGCGGAAAAGATATATTCCGCGCCAGTATCACCACCAAACTGGGTATGTAGGTACACTATGGACCAGGTCTGCAGCAGCAGTCGCTAATATTTCTCAAACGGTTTTTTTTCCCCTTCTTTCTTTCTCTTGCTTTCTCGGTTGACTTGGTTACAATTAGGGTGGGGGATCTCCTCCCTCGACCGGCCCCGCCACCGCAGGTTAATAAAAAAAAGAAAAAAGAAAAGAGGGATCCCCAGTATGTTGCTGCATACTCTACGTACGTCTAGCTAAGCACTGAATTGAGGGATGGATGTCCATGGGGCGAGGGGAGGGAGATGACAAGAAGACCAAGCATTCCAATCCATCCGTCAGGTAGTCTGATCAGCTCAAGCGGAAAAGCAAGTGGCTACATAGAGTACTACATCCTAAGCGGGTACCCCTCATTTTCCTTATAGCTGACATCCTCTAGATCAGTAGATACAGTTACGGCACTCTAACGTTAGCTTCCCTTTTCCCGTTTCCTGTTTCCTGTTTTCCGGGAATGCCCTTATTTTCTTTCTTTCTTTTGTCGCAGTTTCAACAGCTTACATCCAGAGATGTAGCCGACGAGCCATATTTTTTTCGTCCTTTGCTATAGGGCCTGGGGGGGGTTATTCCTACTTGTTCCGATAGTCCCCTATACGAATGTGCAAAAGAAGGGGAAGAGAGAAGGGGGAAAAAAAAAAGCACACCCTGGTGTAATATTTGTGTCTCTAGGTTATGTTCTCCCCCCAGGCACCCAGACAGACATAGACAGATAGATAGACAAGACATCGAGACAACAGGCACACGACACATTATTGATTGATGCACAGGCCCTTTAGCGGACCCCAACTTTGATCCTAGTAAGTGCTCACCGCATAGGTACGGCGTGGTGGTCCGCAGAAAGTATGTAGAGTATCTAGAGTAGGTAGCCCAAACAAACCCGGCGAAGAAAATTAATAGGAAAGTTGGGCTCGCCAACCCCCCCCCCCCCCCCCCACAAGCCCCCAAGGTATGGATGTAGTTGATATGCGGAGTGTGGAGTAAACTAGGGACTCCACTAGTATCTGGCGAAATACGAACGCGTATATACGGGGTGCATAAGAAAAAGGCTAGGTCACCGTCGTATGCAGCAAACTCAAACGGAACGTCCTGTTAGCCCCCCCACCACCACCGCTACCACCACCGGGCCCCCCTACGTCGTCTTGGGGGAAAATAAATCACGCATTTTTTTGAAACAAAAAGATCAAGACGAGAAAAAGAAGGGGAGTGCAGTGTGGGATCAACCGGTGTGTATGTATGGGGGGTTCGTGTACGTAGAGGGACATACCATCGATAAGAGTTAGTTTTTTGTTTAATTTCAACATGTTCATTTCCACGATCGCAAGGTTCACGATAACGATTCAGTACATATAGAGAGATATATGGACGAGCAGACACCCCTCCCCCCTCCATCGGTATTCAGTGCCTTATATAAACAATCTGGTGGGCCGGTATCTAAAGCTTAGGTATGTAGCTACGTATGTACCGCTGTCCTCTAGGTAAAGTAGAGGCTGTATGTCGACGAGAAGAGCGAGTGATGTTCATACTGTTGTAACTGCCACTTACTCGAAACAACTGATCCATGGCGGAAGAAATCGGACGTAACTGGTTTAATCCCTGGTGCGTGCAGCGAAAAATCACCTCGATGATATACCTCAAGGGTTCAACCAGTGCGAGTAATATGCTGGCCCTACATACACGCACGCGGCTAGAGTTGAGTGTGTCCGTTGAACGGTCTGTATGGTAGATATGTGCAGTGTTCCGTAAAAAGTGTTCTTCTTGGCCGATCAAGCGAGATACCTGAAACCTGGTTTACAATCGTGGTGGAAAGTGAATTTTGGGATTCTTATTCGATAGAAGAGCTGCACGAGGAAAGATAGTCGCACCGGGCCCTCGTGTTATTTGCTACCGAGTGGTTAGAGATTTACGCCCTCGCCATCTCTTCCAAGTGCCGCTCCAAAAGTCTTTTAATTTTGTTTTTCCTTTTTTCCGTGTTCTTTATTTCATCTGCTTCACGATGAAGCTCAAAGATTTTTTCTTACTTGGGGCTCGCGCCCCAACAGCTTGTTGCTAGCATCCGTGTAACAGGTAAGCTAGCAAGGTGGTTGCCAAGAATGTGTTAGCTTCCCCTCATAAGGAAGGTTTCATAATTTGCAGCTCAGTGACATTGATCCCGGGAGAGTCTTTAAGCGGGTCAGTGAAGCGGATTAGGATTCGGATTATTCATGACTAGCCCTAGGCCCTCACAGGTTGGTGGGTGAGCAATAGGCGGTACCTTATTGGGGCGTTCGCACGATCGGAGAAACCGGGCGTTGATGGTGGGGAGTGCCGAAGTTTAGCAGACATCCGGCCTTTTGTCCGTTCGACCGTAGCCGGACAAACGGCGGGTGCCATTTAATGCTGCTGCTGTGCGACTCGTGAGACTTGAAATGAACTGTTTTGATGGAGAAGAGAGTTGACGACTGAAGGACGAAAGGCAGATACCTATGAATACCTATCGGTATAGTTATACCTTTTGTTTGTCTATTGTTGGATGTTTGAATTATATCTCTGAGCGTTACCAACCAGGTCCCTGTTTATATCATGCTGGTCACTAATATTACGATGGTGATGGTGATGCTGTGTTGTTGTTGCTGCTGCTGCTGCTGCCTGTTGAGGCTGATGGGTAGTGCCGGATCAATCGGTGCACTGGTAGAGTACATGGTACCGGTTGTTAACTAGGTTCCCGAGATCTTTGGTCACGAGAGAGAAAGAAAAGAGCCTTTTTATTTCCGCCGTTGAGACTTACCAAACGCACCACCACGTACCCACGTCCAGGCCTCGCCGGCCTCCCAACATTCTTTCCAAGACCTCACGATGATTGGGAATCTATGCTAATTACCACTCTCCCCGAGTCATTTATCCATTTCCCTTTATTTTTTTTCATTTTTTTTCTCCTTGCTCACGAGCATTTTGATTTGTGGGGCTTGCAGTTTGCCAACTTGGCGTTCTCGGTAAAGCAAGTCGTTAAAAGTCATTAGAAGCGATTTAAGTTGCCCCTTTGAAGTTTTGCGGGGCGGAAGCCAAGGAAAGGGAGAGGAGGGCACGCGATCTTCCTCATTTTCCCTTTCTTCCTTGCTATCTAAATTCGATGATGAGATGAAAGAGAGGCTTTCTGCAAATCACATGCATGCGACTAAGACTGGAACCTCTCTGCGCAGCTGTTGCTTGCCTTTGCCCCAAATAAATCCACCTACTTCATTATTACCCTCATCCGTCCCATCCACATCGATTTCCCATAAAACAGGACCCTTGCTTTCACATACCTGCCCTGTCTACCTCAGAGATATGTATATGTGAAGTACCTACATGTACGCACCGTTCAGTAAGCTGAATTCGAGGTTGGGATTGTCATGGTGGGATAACCTATTGTGGATACCTACCTGGTGTAAGTAGGTGGAGACGTCGCAGAGCTCTCCGCCGAGAACTTTGATCGGCGGTGTAGCTGATTAATCCGGTGTCCTTTGCATCCCCCTCCTGTTCCTCCTCCTGTCATTTGCCCCACAAAAGCCGTTTTGTCTGTGCCGTTTCTGGGGAATCCTGCTAGGCAATGGTGGTGAAACAAAGCATGAAGCTAGGTAGAATATATATGCCAGTGACAGTAGTGGATTAATTGGACGAAAGGAAAGTAATGGGCTCTAAAATCTATGCGGGTTCTAAAGGAGTTCGAGGTATAAGGGGACAGTCCCCAGGGCTCACGATGGGGGTTTTCCCTTAATTGTGGTTGGATGGAAATGGAGGAGCTCATGTGGACTGGGCTGCGAAGACGGAGCTAGGTTGATGGTGGTGGTGGATGGGAAATGCCTCGTGTAGTTTAGTTAGTCCTCTTTGGTGCGTACATCACGGATACGTAAGAGTGCTAGTTTTTACCATTTATGTGCATGAAAATGTGCCATGAACCACCACCATGGCCACCACCACTACCAGAAGTCTTAGTATTTAGCTGCTTATAATTGTTCCGCTCGGCCGTCCCCCGTCGTCTGATGTATACATACCCGCCCTTCCCCAGATTTCCTTTTCGCCCCACCTACCTGCTCCTTCATGTTCTTTGTTCTTGTCTCTGCTTTTGGTTGTTGAGAACTTATTGAGAGTGGTAATTGATTGATTGATTGATTGCTTGCTTGGAAGGAGTTCTTCTACCGCCGTTACTATTGCTACATACTACTATCACTACTGCTTCTTTTACTATTATACTACTACATCATTATCTTGCCGTTCATAAAAGTCTTCAACCATGGCTGTCACTGAATCTGCAACAACGACTACTGCAACAGAGGACTCATCAGCGGTCCCTGACTCTATCACATCTTCGAACCCCACAACTGGTCAAAAGAGATCTTCAACGGCTGCCGGAAACTCCTCAGGTACAAATTTTCGTCCCGTAAAACGAAGAGCATCGAAAGCCTGCCAATGCTGCCGGGCACGCAAAGTTAGATGCAATGTCGTGGAGCATGGAGCTCCCTGCACTAACTGTAGGTTGGACGAGGTCGAGTGTATCATTACTGAAAGCAAACGGAGAAAGTGAGTCGCATTTCCATTCATTCGACCCATTGTGTAGTACTGACAAATGATTGTTGCTGTAGGAAGTTGTGGGGGACGAAGGTTGATTCTGCAGGGTCCGCATCCGATACCGCCTCTGCTCCAAAAGCCGCACCGGCTGTCGCCACTGCTGCTCTTAGATCACCAAGCACCTCTCATCACCCTGAACAGCATCACCATTCACCTTCAGCCATGTCTGTGGATGGTGGTTCAGATAGAGAAGGACATGTTCCTCATATGATTTGTATGCCCAAACTCCTCTACCATTGCCTATCAATAATGTAGTCACGTTACAACATCATTCTTACAAGTCTATAAAGATCAAGCTCAAAGTATGCGAATGAGTCTCACTGGCCAGGAACGTGAACGCCGGGCGTCATATGCATCCTCTCACGGCTCTGTGCCATCACTCACAAATTCCCTCTCTACACAAACCTCCATGACCTCAACCGGACCACACCGCGTCTTGCGCTCTCCTGGGGCCATACCTCCATTTATAAAGCCCACCCCAACGAGAATACCCCCAGAGGACTTGGAGTACCTGACGAAGAAGGGGGCCCTGACACTGCCGGCGGAGCCGTTGAGGAGTGAGTTGTTGAAGAGCCATTTCGACTTTGTGCATCCATACATGCCATTGTTGAATCGAAGGGAGTTTTTAGACATTGTAACTTCAGAAGATGGGAGTAAGGGGAAGGTCAGCTTATTACTTTTTCAGGCAGTAATGTTTACTGGTAGTGCAGTATGTTCCTCCCAACCACTCCTCATCCCGATTGGTATTGAATTAGCAAGCTAAGTATGAGTCATAAAGTTCGTGGATATGGACAGCCTCAGAATTGCCGGGTTTACTACCCGAAAAGCTGCCCGTAAGGCTTTCTTCACAAAAGTCAGGGTACGTCAAAAATATAAAACCAAAAAAAGAAATTTACCTCTCCTAACCGAGTAACTAACTTACAACTGGAACAGGCGCTATATGATTTTGATCACGAGCAAGATCGCATGTCACTTGTGCAAACTCTCCTACTTATGACCTATTGGTACGAAACTCCAGACGACCAAAAAGACACCTGGCATTGGATGGGTGTCGCCATCTCGCTGTGTCACACCATTGGGCTCCACCGAAACCCCGAAAATTCGAATATGGACCCGAAGCGTAAGAAGTTATGGAAGCGGATCTGGTGGAGCTGTTTCATGCGGGACCGCTTGGTTGCGTTAGGGATGAGGAGGCCCACTCGGATAAAGTGCGAGGACTGCGATGTACCAATGCTCACCCTTGATGATTTTTCGATCGACATGGCATTAGAGGGGGAGGAAGGTGAGGACTCAGTATTTTGGAGTTATGAGCAGAGGGAACAGAGGGAGAAGGAGGCGAGAAGGCAGAGAGAGCTGGCGATTATGTGCATTGAGAAAGCAAAGCTTTGTGTATGCATCAGTCAGGTCCTGTCGGCACAATATTCGGTGCTCAACACCAACCAAGGCAGCCTTGCAGCAGATGGAAGCACACGAACAACCATGATGTTGCTACCTAAAAAGCTAGATCCGGAATGCTGTCAAGTTGCTCGATGCGATAGCGAGTTGGCAAAGTGGATTCGGGAGCTACCGGAGGAGGCACGTTACTCGCCAAATAGAGCCAGCGACAACATGGATGACGTCCTCACCCTACATAGAAATCTGTTGCATATGGTGTACTGGTATGTTTAATTTCTTCTTTCTTGATATTAGGGGTGTAGATCGCGGGGGAATATCGGCTGACATTGATCGTGTAGCACAACGGTAAGCGCTTTGCATCGGCCTCAGGTGCTCCCGTCTGCGCCCGCTCCCTGGCCGGCAAAGAACAATGCCGCCGAGTTACAAGAAGTTTCACGAAGGAAGGTGAGGCAAGCAGCATCAGAGATCACTCGTATGGCCGAGGAATTGATTGAGCTTGATCTTGTTAAATACTTGCCTACTACTGGGTATGTCTTACTTAAAGTGAATCATGATTTTAATTGCGCTAATAAATAACAGAGTTACGGTCATGCTTCCTGCCGTGATTATTCACCTGCTAGATATCAAATCCTCGAATGCTCTCACCCGCGAACTTTCTCTCGAGGGCTTTGGACTCTGTATGCAAGTGATGCAAGGTCTCCGCCAATCTTACTCAGCTGCCGATTACGCCACTCACTTCCTCGAAGCCGCCATTAAGAAAGCCGATATTCAAGTTCACGGTCACCGCAAATTCGGTCACCGCAGACGCGCCCGCCATAGGAATGTTACACAACTTGGAACATCACCAGGAATATCTGGCGCGGCTGCTATCTCAATTCCCGCGTCTGCACCGCCTAGTAATGCAGCATTGACACCTCCACCAGACCTAGAAAGCCTGACGGCGATGGATATGGGCAAGGGTTTAGACGAGAATGATTTGCAGTTCAAGTTAGAGAGTTTTTTGCAGGCCCCCCCTTCGCCTTCACATGATGCTCCACTGCCCAGTGCTTTCAATGTTGGATCAAATGGGAATAGCACTCTCCAGGCACCTGCACCTGCTGGAGCAGAAGACCTCTTGTTCTCGGATTCGACGCCACACCTTTCTATGCCTGCCGATGGCGGGGAGGGAACTAATGATTTGGATGCGCTCTTGAACATGAGAGAGCAGGGCGATCCGTTCTTGGGGCACTACGATGATGCGGGGCTGTCGGGACTGGGCAGTAAGAATGCAACTGGTGGGAGAGCATTTGATTTGATGGGAGAGTCGAGTAGTTGGCTAGAGGAGGATATGTCAAAATTGTTAGATGGGGTTGATTTTGATATCGACGATGTTATTCAGGTGTTGGAAACGGAAATTAATTAAAGTTCTGGGACAAAAGGGGGATTTCTTTCTTGGGAGCTATTAATGCGGGATAATGGTTTTCATTCTGGGTCTTTTTGGAAAGGAGTTGTGGTGTTTTTCTTCCCTTTGTCTTTTGTGACCTTTGGAGCTTGCTGGCTGGAATGACATTTTTCTTTCTTTTTTTCCTTTTTCTCCTTTACTTTCAAGGTTATTTGCTCTTCTGCGTGGGAGGATCAAATTGTTTTTTTGTACGATATCAAACATGACGATGTAGATGCATATAATATAGAAATGACTAAAAAGTTTAATTTTTCAGAGACTTCTGCTCCTTTTCGAAGAATTTTTGCGCTGACCTTTGCTGAAAAGCTAACTAAACCTGGCCGGCTTAGTGATCCGATAAATCACGTCGGCGACAACGCTCAGTCCGTCGTAACCCCTTAACCATGGTCTCGTCCCGTCAACTTACGGAAGCTTTCCCGCATAATTATCGTTCCAAAAACTCGAGGTTTGGAGTTGTACAGCCAAGATACCGAGGCTGTTGCTGGGGGGGTTTAGGTTTAAAAAGACTGTACTATGGGTATATAAAACTAAGTACGATTATACCGGAAGACTCCCCGGAATGTAAAGAGGAATATGTATTTCCTACATGCAAACGTAGATGCCGACACCAATTGTTATACAAATAGTTACAAATAGATACTTTTCGCCCAGCAGTTTTTTCCGGTGTAATACCTAGGTACGTATTAATGTCCAGGCCACGGATTGATTTCATTTCAGGCCGGTGGTTCCAATAATAATGACCATATACATCAGTAGGTTCCGTTTTGTTTCTAGAGAAATTATCCATCGGTATGTGCTATATATATGCATAACGGGGATTAATTGCGTGTGCATAATATTTATGTGACCGTTTTTTTCAAGTTGAGGCTTTTTTTGCGTGCAGTTGCAATGAAAACGGAACTTGTCATGTGTCATGTACCAAAAGATGGCTATTAGATCTACATAGGAGTTTGGCACCTACAGCCCACCCTATTCAGTTAGGTTCTGCAGGTAAAGATACTGTAGTTTGATGATGAAATCCCTGTCATTTATGCCATGCGCTTCATTCTCGGTATGTAGGGCAGCTAAGCAAGTGAGAAAAATGTGGCGATTGGTAAAGTGCTGGCGCATGGCGGACTGTCTTCATCGATATCTAGCTACTTGTGTCCACCTGTCTCTGAAGGTATGTCTGTAGAGTATCAATAATAAGGAGATCTCTATTAGTCGAATTGCATACACTACGATCCAGTGCCAAGGATCATTGGCTCAGTTTGTGCGCGATCATGAGTGGTCTGTGCTCAGAGCGGAGTCGTAATTCCATATGATCCTTTCATAAGCAACTAACTTAATTAAGTTTTTGATGGGCGCCGTGCCAGGTTGTGGGGATGCGGGGGAGGTTCAGGTTTTTCACATGCCCTGCTAATAGCGGTACATCCCGTGCCGTGGGGAACCCTTGATTTTTACTCTACTCCAGAGCCTGGAGTTGAGCTTAGCGTTTCGGATTTTCTCCGTTCTATCAAAGCTGGTACGTACTGGATGTTCAAATTTAGATAGCTTTCTGTTAAACCAGAGAGCAATAGGAAACCTATCCGGAGCTCATACTGTGAGGCTGGCCTGGGGATTTTGCGGGGAAGGGTCACTTCTAAAGTGGTTAAGCTAGCTAAGCAGATACATGTAGGTTTATGTCATGGCGCTATTTACCTACTCAACGTTATAAGCTTAACAGAAGCTGTAACTTACAATTGATAGGAGCCTGTTTATGGAGGCTTGTTTATTCGTCCGGGTTACTGGGAAGAATATCGTTGTAACACCGTTAGCTTCCACGTGTACCAGCAGTCGCCGGAAAAACTAGCCCTTCAAATGAAAAGGATTTTGGTTCTTTGCATTTGTGTCTCATCTGCAATAACAGATTAGGAAGTAAGCTGATGACTAGCCACATGTAGCAAGATACTAGGGTAGATCTATCCATCCGCGGTTCGCATGTGCGATGTGGTAGCTGCCTGGCCCTGGCCCTGTTCCAGTAGGGAGGTTATGGTACGGGCCTCGACTCAAGGAAGCTGTGCACCACCATCTCCTATCATTGATGTTAGTGGGTTTAATAAACATTGTACAAATTGATATAGGTACATACATATACTTGGTATGTGATCGGTATCCTCGTTTGTATGCTGTAGCCAACTGTAGGTGTTGCCCATGTCTGATATTGTCGTTAATGATAATCGCATGCATGAACCGAGGTTGGGGTTAGGGGATTTTTTTACATGAATACGTATACAACTCTTTGAAGTGCTTGGAAGGATGCTCTCCTTATTCAATAATCCCGTGAACCATCCCGAGGTTTAATTTGAATGTTACTGGTTGGTCGTAAGCCATCTCTCCGATAATAACATGCAGGATACCCTATAGCTATGCACCTGCACCTAAAGAGTCAGTTTATATCGTTTTACGAGATCGGACCTGCAGCCTCGCTAATACCTGTCCAATCTCCCATCGGTTGAGCCAGACATAGATCACAAACATGTGCTTAAAGGTGGAAAGACCAGTTTTGAGACCCCATGTGATAAAAAACATCAAGCTTTAGATTTGCACGTGTCAGAACCCAGATGAATCTGTACCATCCGGGTATCCCTTTCAGTCCGAGAGTCTGCAGACGTACAGCCTTTTACCGTCTCTTGACGAATACTCCCACTTGACGAACAGGGATTCCAAGTATGGAAAGAAACAGTCAAGCAACAGCCAAGCTACGAGATCTCCGGTCCTTTTAATTTCTATTGGCCCAAAGTCCCCTGTTCGTCAACTGGCAGTATTCGTCAAGAGACGGTAAAAGACTGTATCGTATATCTGGTAGAGATTCCATGTTACGTACGTAGGCTAACGCATGCAAGGTTTTCGAGAGAAGGCTCCAAATATAACGAAGGATCCTAGGAGTAGTAACCGCATTACATTGTCATCTGCAGATTTACCCTCATTTCGAGACACAACAGATGTAAAAGGCTGCTCGTCATAAATACCCTTCTGGATTGCTAACTACAGGCGCCAGAATTTGTGTTGATCCTGTAGAGTACGTAGGGTGCGGTGTTATGTAATTTCAGTGCACAGGTACGCCGGGAATTGAAGGCCATGTAGGTGGCATGGCTCCCCACATTAACTGATCAAGGCTAACCACTGAATCAGAAGGGGTGGTGATTCAGTCTACTACGTGGGTTGCGGATTACGTGTGTAAATCTCGAGTGACAGGGCTTCTCGAGACGTAGGATGTAGTCGATCCCAGCCACGTGTTCACGCGCCACCCCTTTGCAATGCGTAAAAACCCGTTTACATTTAAAACAAGCTAGTCAAATGAATCCTCCGATGCTTTTATATATGTGATCCATCTGGCACGACACAGCCTACCACAACATATATGTTATTATGTCTTCACTAGATATCACTCGCAGTCTCGTGCGCCAGAAGATCATTTAGAACAAATCGAAGGTGATAAGCTTTCCTAGCGATTGAATATAAAGAATGTAAACTTATATACAAGTATCCAAGAACTAACAAATTACGAGGATGCGGTAGGCCTGTACTAGTACATTCGGACAACAGAAGTTTCCGGACATGACCAGCGCAGCTTCGCCTGGCATATCTGTCATGCTAGCAAAAGGCATCTCCATATTCTCAAAAAAATCCATACAATCAACACCCATCATCTATAGCTACTTACAACCGATTTTGATCAAACTAAGACATTTATTAGTAACTGGGAGATCACAGGTAATTTTAGAGTAAGTCATTCTCAAGCTAAACAAAGCCAATGGCACTTCCTGCTATGTTCCAAACTAAGTGATAAATCAAATAGAATAACGTATAGTACTCACCACTTGATTGATAATCACCATCTACATTCTCAGGCTACACTATCTATCTAGCCTGAAGCACTCTCCTGCAAACCTACACCTGCTCAAACGTCACCTTCCAGCATCACCCTGATCCCCACCACCCCCGGCACTGTCAACAAGTAATTATCAGCCCGATAGCTTTTTGGCCCATGCTAGCTCCCGGGCCCCTGTTTAATTCTAATACTCCCATTGCATTAGCTTCAATTGAGGTCAGCACTTATATTGGATTTAGTTAACATAAGGACAAGTTTACTCATAATCTTCGGTACTAGATGCTTAAGTTGGCGTGGGTCGACAACTCATACTAGGGTAGGATACTTAAACCATAAAGGCGGTTTTAGCCGGATATTTACATGTAGCTTTAGTATGAATGGAAAGACAGAATTGATTGAATGTTCAATTAAGAATTAATCATGTCTTTTTATCCCAGTTTAAAGTACGGTACTAGTATACTGCTGAACAGTATTTTGTGAAGTTTATCGCGAATAAGGTGTTGCCTCTAGATCTTATGTATAGTTATAGTTGATCTACATGATGCTTTATAATATGTGTGGGTATCAACACCACAAATTGCATACGAACACATGATACATTTTTCAATCTCTGGTTTCGAAGAAGAATATTTGAGAGAGGACATCTCGGGCCTCAGTTACTTATCATGGCCTTACCAAGAACAATTGATATATTTGTCCATAATAGTAATAACAGCAAGTCGTGGTCAGTGATATGAACATTTGGTTTATGCACCGATTTTACGCCCGACTTCCCGAACTTCCTATAGTCTTTATAATGTCGAGTAATGTACCTGATTATGACAAAATCTATCAGTATTTCCCCGCACTTCACTCTAACTAAAGTCACATAAGAATAGCAAATATAGCGGCGTAACGTAGAATTATAGGTCTATATATCTAATCTCTAGCGCTAAGAGTAAACTGGGCCTCAGCAAAAGAGAAAGATTGGATATGCAAGAATGATGGATGAGTGCGAAAATTGAGAGTGAAAAATGTTTGTGTTAGCCTAATGCCGAACTCGTTGCTACATGCGTAACAGAAATCTAAACCTCTATAGAATATCCGTCCTCTCGGTACCTCTGTTGACCTTGTGCTCCGCATATCGGCAGGTCACACAGAATGCGAGTAGTTGAAAATAAACATATATAAATCACCAACTATCACTCGACATACCACTTTATCAGTGTTGTTTAAATAATAATAATAATAAATGCGGAAGACTTAATTGAGTTTCTTAACTATAATACAGGGGCATATCAAGCCCTTGTTTATACAAGAATATTGTGCCTAGAACAGTCTATATATAACTGCATGTTGTCATATATACTGACACTCATATGAGTATTAGGACTTTGCTCCTAGGCTCGGAACACAATTCCAACAAGTGTAACTCATGTAATATAATAATGTTTGTTATAAGCACTTGTATCAAAATGAATATCGGGATCGAAAATCTAATCATCAAGATTCGTTTATTCCATTCCTATATCACTAAAAAGAAATATAAAACCCCAATTACTCCCTCGATCATAAGCCCACATCACATCCATATCATCCATCCCATCCGTCCTATCCATAACTCAACTCACTCCACCATAATACCTATTTACAATGCATCAAACCTCAACAACGTTCTTGTGAAACTATTCTCATTTCCGCTGGCGGGAACCACTGCTCCACCATTAACGTTCACCATACTGACCGCTGCGACTGTGTTAAGGTTCAATAAACTGAACTTGTTGCTTGACTCAATATTGACAATGGCCGCCTGGCAAGTTTGTGGGGTTATACACTCCTGTGCATAGTTCTCGAAGAAGGAGTATAGTCCAGCACCATAGACGACAATATCAGACGATGAGACAACACGCAGAGCCCATGACTTGCGGCAGGAGGCTGTGGTGCATGAGGCGTATGTGGGATCGTTCCATGCGCTATTGATGGGGAAAGGAACGGTAGCGTCAGGGTTGGATTGAAAGTATGGGGTTTCGGTCTGAATCATGGCCATGAACACATTTTTGGTATTCTGGAGTTGATACTGGTAAAGAACATTGTGTTCGGCGGCAGTTCCGTACCTATTCATGATATCAGTATATACTCATTACTGGTACTTTTTATCTGTAGAGTGGAAGGGTAGATGAACTTACAACCACACCGGGCCATTAGTACTCTCGCTCAAGATACCTCTCCCATTATAGATCGTAATTTGTCCAAAGTCGGGCCCGTCCAAAGCATGATCGCTTGTCCATGCCCACACATTCTCGGCATATAAACTCGCAGTCTTGCCAATATGCAACAGCATGAATGCGCCAAAGCACGCAGAGTTTGGTGTACTGATAGTCGTGCTCGGATTCTTCGCGCACTGTGCTGCCTCTAGCTGTGTTCCTGCAGATCCACCAACACGGAAATGCACATCCCAGATACCATTGACACCCTGTTGGCCAGATGGATCTCTCGAGTTCCACTCCATAAGGACGGCCCCTGGCTGTGCACCTCGGGTCTCAAAAAGCAATTCTGAAATCTCAACATACCCACTATCACCAGCATTACCGACTTTAAAAACTGGCGTGGGATTTCCAACTTGCTTGAACGCGCTGCCGTCTGCCATAATGACACTCCATGCCTCACCGACGATTTTTGTGTTTACGGGGACGGTAACGGTATTAGAGACACGGTATACGCCATGCGGGAAAAATATGATTTTTCCAGTGCCTGCATAGGTGTTGAGAACTGTCTGGATTGCTGTTGTGTCGTCGGTGGTACCATCTCCTTTTGCGCCGTTGGATTTGACAGAGATAAAGTTTGATACGGCTTGGTCCTGGTACTGGGGGCGAGAACGTTCGAAGATACTGCTGGCACCTGATGTAAGGATTGAAGAAGGTTTAGAAAAACCACGGGTGAGAGTGCCTTGTACAAAAGAGCCCCCGGTGTTGGTGGTGCTATAGTCCTTCCCTTGACCCCAGAAGTCGATGGTCATTGTTCCACCAGAAAGGATCGTGGCCCCGGTGGTAGGGTTTGCAACCGCTTTGGGGACATTGACGAGCTGAACGTTATCGAGGAGGACTGTTGCGCCTGTAGTAGGTAGCGAAGAGGAGGACTTTACAGTGTACACGCCCACTGGAGTATCCGAAATCTTCGAATCCAAAAGAATGATCGAGCCCACGCCTTGCGCCGAAGCGCCTCCAGAACTGACGTCGATTCCGACACCACAGTTTGCAATTGTGACACTCTTGAAAGTCCAGGCCCAATTCCAGTTCATATAGATCGCCGTCTGGCAATTGTTGAATTTGAGATTCCTGGTCATAAACTGCTGGTTTCCAAAGAATGCCCCATATCGTCCTCCGTTGAAAGTCAAATCACTCATAAATCCGCCACTGCCGTTATCCATAAAAATACCTTGATGTAAGTTTCCGGCAGCTGTACTCATCTCAAAGGTCAAGTTGATCAATGATGTCGCCTGCGCAACCTGCCAATGCATCCCGGTTCCTGCATTCGCTGGCATCGCACGAGTGTCAATGATGAAGTTACGTACGGAGCGGAAGAAGTTGTTTTGATTGGTGTACCAGTTGGATCCATCACTCTCATAAGGATCAGAGTCAATCAGGGCCATTCCAGAGAAGCTGGCAGCACCCTTGATAGTGGGAATATTGTTGGGGTCACCAACGAGCTGTGAATAGTACATGGCGACGATAGGCTTGGTGACGAGATAGGTTCCAGCGGGGAAGTACACAACTGCTGGCGTAACTGTAGATGAATCGCAACCACGGCCGCAGCGGCCGCCGTCTTGGATGGCGGCATTGATCGCCGTGGTATCATCAGTGACTCCGTCGCCTTTACAGATGTATCAGTAAGATATTGTATGGAGAAAAGTGGCGACACTGACCAACTGCGCCATAGTCTTTGACGTTACGGTAAACCTTATAGGCAGAAGGGTTGGTGTTGAAGGCTGCTGTGCCTTGTTTGGTGATTGCCTCGTACCAGAATTGGGTTGCGCGTGGTTTGATACTGGGCTCTTCATGGCGGGGGGGAAGGACTGCTCCTGAGAGGACGAGTGACACGATGCATGAGAGGGTAAGAATAATTGCCCGCTAGAAAGACGATTGTTGATTAGTATATTATGATATATTAGTAAACAGTACTGGCTTATACTTACAATCGAGCCTATGCCGGAAGAGGCCACCATTGTCGATCGAGGGAGTACTATATCCCAAATACTTGTAAAAGTACTATCTGAATCCAACAATAGTAATAATAGGGAGAAATAAAGAATTACTCTTATTCTGCGCACAACAACAAATAATAAAGGAAGGTATAGAGAGTGAGTATGTTTGTTGCTATGATCAAGCAGGAATGTAGATGAAGAATCCGAGAGGTCGGTGAGAGAAAGTGGTGGAGCTATATAGCACTGCACTGGAATGACAGAGATGATTTAAGGACCCTGACAAAAGAGGTGGTGGGTGTGGTATACAGCAATCATTTGTTTGACCATGGTCATGGAGAAAAAATACCAAGCCCTAGAATAACTTTGTGGCTTAAACTAATAGCAGCCTGCCAGCCTGCGCGGACAACATTCACTATCACCTAGGATCAGGGCTTTGGTTGGGGTGTAACAAAGAAATTCAGCAGGACCTCTCCCCTCTTGCTGTGCTAGCCAGGGGACCAGGATTGTTGACATTTCTGTTGACAGTCAGGCCAGTCAGTCGGTCGTCTTAATTTCATCTTCAAGTTCCTGGCCCATGCAGGGGATCCCGGAATGCATAGCACCTACCAGCGATCAGTGAAACCTCCTTCTTCTTTTTTCTGCAGTTTCCCCAATAATGTAGTACTACATACTCACTCGCTTCGTTCTCCCGTGAAAGCCGTTGACATCGATCGCCAGTTAGAAAAGAAAATAATAGCCTCATAGTGGGTGGACGGTACTTGAGTGGTACGGTGTGATCATGGATAAGAGGAAATCATCAACTGCCTGATCATGAAAAGTTCTAGTCGACATTTTTGTGCCTCTAGCTGAGTATTTACAAGCAGTACATACATGTGGTTAGGAACATCCGTATCTAGCAACACTTCCTACTAGGATTCGATACAAGGCCAACTCCCCTAATCCACTAACCCTCAACATCGCTTATTAATCATTACCACCCTTAATAACAACACCACACACAATCACTCGTTTCACCTAATCTGCGACTCGGCCCATGGAAATCACTGGTCCTGATTTTGCGCGGGATCCTTCGGGCGGTTACCCCCCTTTATCTCCCCTCCATGCCCTAAAGAAGAGAAAAAGGTTCCAAAACACTAGTGCTGCGGTTATGGCAAGACGAGAGTGTGTTATTCCTTTAGGGTTATGTCAGAATCACGAGCGCGAATTTACCACGAGAACAACCTTCAAAACTCTCATGAGAACCTTGTGGTGATAGTGGTGGTGCGGAGTTTGGGACAAATGTAGGGCTTTCCCCGCACGCCGATCCTTTCCGTTACTTTATGCACACCCCGCAGCTGGATATAGTAGTTCGCAACAACCACCGCTCTATTATAAAGGTACTCATAATTGATAATAGTAATCTAATATAATAAAGCTTTGTGAACATGTGCCCATTGGACCATAGCCTGACCAGTGAATCTGTATCCTACGGTTCGGGTCTCATCTCATCTCATGATGACTTTCTGCACTTTCTCGGAGAAAACCTTGTATCGACTGGGTTTATACCCCCTCTATCGAACGCCAGTCAATATCATACTTGTTTTCAGGTGCTTAGGGTTTGGTTTCGATCCTTGTGATGATTTACAGTTGACTCTAGATCCTGTGTGCTTTGGAGGCGAGTGAGTGAATGACCATGAATGTGATGTTTAATAGGTTCGTAATGATATTTGTTACGACCCGAGTAGTAAGCTCTGATGCCACGACGCAGTGAAGCTTAAAGGAAACATATCGCATAGATACTTAATGGTAAATTATAAATCTCTTAGTCTAAGGCCAGATATTTGTGGGCAACCGATGACACACCTCCTGAGCGACTTAGTGCATGATTTCATCGGTAAATTCGTTAGATTCTCACATAATCCTCCAATCCTCATCAGATCAAAGGTTGTTCTCAACATCTGATGTTAGTGTGCTAGTAGTCAACTGGTACCTACCGCGTGCCAAGCCTACAAATAACCAAGCCACTAAGTTAGTACCAAAAAGCAAGTATATCAAGGTTGTACTACTTCCATTCCTTACAATTTACAACTACATGCATATAGTAAACTGCAAGTCAATTCCACAGATGGCGAAAAGCCCCTTAGTGTCTCGTGGCTATGATGTAATCGAACCTAGCTATTTCGGGGCAATTATAAGACGGCTTATTGTAAACCATGACATGCCTGCCCAAAGTCACACTGCAGAGCTCCAATACCTACCTCAACTACATTGCAAATATTACCCAAACCTAGGCCTAAATGTAACTGTACACCTGGTACCTATTAAATGCCTCTCACATATTACCCACCCTCTTTTCTCTTAACGTCCCTCTGTGTGACGTTACAATGAACCCCCCCCCCCCCCCCTTCCCCAAACTCCCTGTCAAATTGTGAATCGGTCAGGCTACCCGTAAAGTTTATCTCCATCTAGTACTTCATGTGTATCTGCATGTATCTACCCCTGCAGCAGACTTATCGGTGTATTCTCGGGTTAACCTTTATACTACTTTTGTTTCATCGTACATTGTACAAGCAATGGTGTACTGCATTTAAGATCACAAAGTTCACATGCCATAAGTTTTATTGTTCCCAGGGAAAATCCCTCGTCCCTGAAGATATTACCCCACCAGTTCAACCGTCAGCACAGGATCACGGCCCGTAGCGATCATGATCATCAACATGATCATCTTTCACTCCAGCTTAGTATCACGACTGTTCTTTCTTCGTGAAAGTGCAAAATTGCAGAACTATACTGGAGACTTTTCATACTCTAGATCACGCTGGCTCAAAGATCTAGACCCAAGATCGATTATTACATGTACTAGTCACGTCACATCGCTGTCGGCTCGACTCCTCGGTGGTTTATGAGAATCAGGACTAGTTTGGCCATGGAGGTTATAAGGTATATCAAGCGGGGTAAGGTGGGCCATGGGGCGAGAATAATAAGATCGGCTTTATTCATATAGAAGGCTTAGCTATTCGCTTGTAGGACCCCGTGCCAGGTGATGAACATACATGTTGGTGTTTACTTTTCCGGGAACTGTAACGTTGTCCCGCTACTCTATGCAGGGTAGGAGATCATGGCCATACGGTAGGTACAGCGCCATGCCATAAGTCATGGGAAGGCGCGAGGTCGCAACGCCTGAACACAAAATCTTTCACCACCACCGATGGCGCCCAGAGACCATGTACCCCGCCAGACAGCTAGGAGGGAATGACAGCCTCCCTGCTGTGGCAAAAAACCGGAGGCTTACAACTCTGGTTGGAGGAGAATAGGGTAGATGTTCTGGAGGACTGGCTTGCCTATTCCATCCCATTGAACATGTTTGGGTACACCTCAAGAAGCTTTACCATCAACAGTGCCCCCATTTGGCATATGGTACTAGATCACCTTAAGTATTAAAGCCCCTCGTGGAGGAAGGTCTAATTCATTGCTGGGAACTGTTACCTGATGATTTCTTTGGTAGCTAGTTGAGAGCATGCCTAGGAGAATAGAGCTGTTATAAAGGCAAGGGGTTGGTACACAAGATATTAAATGTCAAATTAATTTTATTAAGCTACTATTTAACAACTATACAAAAAGCCAGCTCTCCAAAGGATCAATTGTGGTTGCTAGGTGGGGGTTTTTTTTTTGTTTAATTCATTAATTGCATGCAACCTTACAGTTATGGCAATTTGCTGGGTGGGTAGTCGTGGTGGCCCGGGAGATTGCTACGCCGCGCCTTCCCATGATTTATGGCCTAGAACTATACATGTACGTAGGACAGGACATAGATGAAATAAAAAGTCTTGTTTCATTGGAAATGATCGCTGTACTGAATTGTGTTTCCGAACAATCCGCCCTATCTGTGCATACCATATCTAATACCTGCCCTATCCGTTCCGATTGTTATATCCCATGGGCCCACGCGCAAGTCTCATACTGTAATATACTCCCCAATATTAGCACGCCATTATATATACTACATGTATTTTCATAGGGCTGCAGTTGAATAACAAGGTAGTACTGAGTCACCGGCCTAGCTACAGAACTACATGAAGAATATACGCCCGAATTAACCCGACATTGATCCATGGTACGTACCTACATGTACCTACCCTACCTGCTGTAATATACATATAGATAAGCTGCTTATATACAAGATCATACAATCTTCGTACCCACAATACTTTATCTTTAAATCCCTCTAGCTCTTCAAACCAACTTCCGGAGTCCGGCATCAATTCAAGACCTACTTCCAATTGCAAGTGTGTCGGTCTCGGCCGAAAAAATTGCTCTACCAAAAGATTCTTCCCTTCCTTCCTCCTTCCTTTCTTTCATTCGTTCTGCAACGGAGCAGAGCCCGTCAATTCCAACCGTGTGAAAATACATGTGCAAATCAGCTTAAAGAGCTGCCAATAAGCATAGGTTCCGGGCGACATATTGATATCGCTATTTAGGTAGGTAGAAACATTTACTCGAAAAGGGGTTATCGTGTTAACCCCTAACTCCATGCGCATAGGATAAATTGAATTCGAAGAAGCTAAAAGTACTCAAGTAGCGCCAGCTAGCTATAGTCGCAGAAAATCATAAATCTCAAAATCCCTAGGTTAAGATCTAGCTGGCGCCCGCTGACTTTTTAATGTTCTTCCACTACTCAATTTCTAAGCTTTCTCTGTAACATAATTATAATTATAAAGCGAGCGCATGAGTATACCTAAGGTAATATGTTGCCATATGCACCCACCGAGTGTCACCACGTTGATATGTAGGTGTTGTCAACAATCTCCTGCTTTCATAGAGCTACCATCTAACCGCCTCCAACGTGGCGGAATACCCCAAAACTGTAACGTTAATTTAAGTACTCGCCCGACCTACCAGTCGTTTCGTTTCCAGCCCTACCCTGCAGGTACCCAACCCCGCTGACCCCTACCGAAACAATGACCGCAAGCGCTTTGACAGTACCCGCAAACAAAGATACGCCACCTCAATTCGCGGGCCAAGGATCTCCCTTCCATCAAGCC